CGTCGATGGTCCGGATCATCCGTGCCGGCCAGAATGGCACATAAACCGCGATTGCTACAAAGAGCGGCAGCGAGTCCAGGGCGTAGAAGAACACCTCCGTTGTCGCCAGGTGCCCGTGGTACCCCTGCGAGAGCTCGCTCACACGGTACACACAACGGACCTGTGCGAGCCCGTCAGACATGTCGAGGCGCGAGCAACGGCGGAACGCACCAAGATCCCGACCGAGCTCACGATCAGTACACCGGCCAGCGTTCGCCAATCGCGGTGCCAGGGCAGCGCCGCGTCCATTGCCCATGTGCTCGGCTCCATTTTCCTGACCCGGCAAAGGAACCGCAGCACGACGAGCATGAAGAGGAAGAACGACGCCAGCTGCAGCACCAGACCCGCCAAGAATATCTGAACGCATAGGGTACTCCTCGCACTCTCGAACGCGAAGACTACCAGGGTGCTCACATGTTCTCCTGTCTTGGACAGCTTCTGGTCCTTAGAGATTGACAGTCCCGCTCCAGCAGCCTGGACGAGGAACGTAGAGATGTCGGACACGACGAACACGACCGTGATTCGCTCCGGCGAGATGAGGAGGTGCTTGTCCGAACTGATGTACCTCGCAGGCGCCCCATAAGCATGTACTCGGACGCGATGAATGCGCATGGCTAGCAGCAACATTCCTCAGCCTTGTACACGGGTTAGAGGTGATTTTTTGCTTACCGAAAGCACAATAAACAGATAGTACGCGATGTATTTGCCTGTGCTGTCCGGATCGGAGTGCAGTCCGATACGCACCCCAAAGCCGACTACCCAAGCTGCGCCGCCACCTGCGTCAGCCTCCTCGTCTCGATCGCGCCGAGGCACACATTCACTCACCGAATTCACCGATCAACATCGACAGCATGCACCGACCGCCGTACTTGAACATGAGCCATGATTGCGCGAGCGCGACGGCGAGGACGAGCGCTGGAGGAGTCAGAACAGAGTTCAGCCGATCGTCCTACTGCATACTTGCTCAGTGTCCTCCATAAATCATTCGAAATTGTCCACGCCACAAGGAATTGTAGTGGAGGCGCTCCCATGCACACGTCCCACGACAATCATCGGCTTGACCGTACTAAGACCGCAGCTGCTTCGCCAGCCGAAGCACAATCCTCCCAGCCTGCGGTGCTTCCCTGCGCTTCCCCGCCTCGCTTCTCATCTCTCCGGTCATTATGAATAGATTCTGCCCACAGCCGTCCTGACAAGCTCCTTTCTGCGCCACAGGCCGCACCGCAGCCCGAGAAAGGCAACCGTCGTCGTTCCCCACTCTGTCGCATACAGAGCCAAGCACGGAACGAACGGACTCACATATCGCGATCGCGGTGAGCGTGTTGCTCACGATGTACCGCAGCGGGTTGTACGGGTCGTTCTTCGGGTCGGTGAACACCCACGGCACGGGCATGTACGCGCCTTGCGCTTGCTCCACGCATGCCGCGAGCACGAGCGCCGCGCTCATCCATGTCTGCACCGTTGCCATAGCAGGTCCGGGGAGGGAGGGGGAGCGCATCTTGCACAGTAACTGGGGCCCGGAAGAAGGAGGGAGATGGGGATCAGGGAAAACCGTGGAGGAGGGAGGGAGGGAGGGGGGTCGCGATGTGCCCTGCAAGCGAGGGGAAGGCGACTACCGAAGGCGTCCTTCGAAGTGGTGCGCCGCGGGTGGCAGGCGAAGGCGGATGTCGAGGACGGGGACAAACGGCAGCGGGAGGGGACCCACGCGGCCGAGCTGTGTGTCTTACATATCATTGATTCATCCCCGAGACTCAGACTCGGCGCCGTGCTGTCGAGTCGGATCCAGGAGGCCTTGGCGTGTGGGCCATGGGTCGCTTTCGGTGCGCGGATGATAGCGGCGACGCGGCATGCGTGCGCCGCTCGGAGCCTCGGAGCGCGGGGAGAGGCTCGCTCGCTCGCGCCAGGCACGCGTCTGCGCACGTCATGGCCGGGGCGTCTTCGGCGGGAGCTTGCGCGCGTTCGTTTGCCCCTGTACATACTTACGCATAGCACACTGCTACGCCGTCGAATGCACCGAGTGCCACACAACTCGAGAACACAACGCGTGTCCTGTCTGCACGTGCAGCCCGGTCGTGGCGCCATAATTTTGAGACCCCGGCGATCTCGGGGAGCAGGAGGACGTGCGGGCCCCGCGGCATGGGCATGATGACACAATTCACCCGAACCGACCGACTCTCCAACGATCTAAGAAGGGTTTGGTCCTTATGTTGCGGGTTAGACGAGGATACTTGGCCAGATTTGTGCAGGTAAAAGCCTGTAAAAGCCCGACCATTTGACCTCGAGCTCAAGCCTTTCCAAAAGGAGGGACCAGGCAGTCAAGAGTGACAAGCTGGTTGTCCGAGTGCGGGCCGTGGGGCGGGCCGCACTTCCGACTAGAGCGATTCGGGAAGTCTTAGCCAGCTGCGTCCAGCCATCCGTGGGTGCAGTTCTTCCAACTGGGGCGTTCAATATTCATTCGGCACCTTGTGCCATCTGTCGTGGGTTGGCAGAGGACGGGTTTACGAACGTGCCCAAGGACGAAGCAATCGAGCGGGCGATGACGCGAGCACGCATCATATTCTGCAGCAGAGACATGATAAACAGACAGCAAGTACAACACCATGAACCGTGGCTAGTCCACCACCACACCCATTCGTCCACCTCACTCTGCAGCGCCCCAGATGCGCACTTCGCGGCCGGTGACGCCCCAGATCTCTTTGCCCATCGGTCCGAACGCGACGTCCACGACCTCGCCGCCCTCCTCGAACCGGGCGAGCTCGTCCCACGTCTTGTGCGCGAACACGCGCAGGCCCTCCGCGCCTGCGACGGCGAGCAGGTTGGCGCTCACGTCGTACCGGACCCGGTTCACCTTGAACGCGTCCCCGAGCGCGATGCTCTTCGCCACCTTCGGCTTCCGCAGGTCCCACACCGCGACCGAGCTCAGCGAGTCCGGCGCGGCGAGGTGGTACCCGTTCTCGGAGAACGAGACCGAGCCGACCGTGAACGGCGCGGCGCCCTCGGGCGTGAGGGACGCGGCGAGCGCGCCCGTGCGCACGTCGAACACCTGGATCGTGCCCCCGGGGGTGCCGACGGCAACGAGCACGCCGTCGGGGTGGATCGCGAGCGACGTGTACGGGTCCTCGGCCTCGGGCGAGCGGTAGACCTGGTCGAAGCCGGCGAGGTCGTGCACCGACCAGGTGCGATCGAGCGAGGAGAGCGCGAGGAGAGTCCCGGACGGGTGCACCGCGAGCCCGGTGAGCTCGCCCTTGTGTGTGCGGATCGTGGCTTTGGGGATGTATTCGCCCGAGGCCTCGTCGTGTGCCCACGCCTTTGCGATCTTGTCCGCACTGGCGGAAAGCACGAAAGTGGGCTCGCCTTCGCGTTCACGTAGCGCGACGTGCGTGACCTTCTTGGTGTGACCCTTGAGCGAAGCGAGGACCTTATCCGTGTCCCTGTCGTACAGCTGGACGATTTTGTCGTTGCCGCCAGTAAGGAACTGGGACGGGTTCGTGGTCGAGAGGGCGATTGAGGTAATACCAGAGGGGGAGGGGGAGTGGAGGGTGGGGATAGTGTGCTTCGCGGCGTACCCCTTGACAGCGGCAGGAGTAGCGTACCCAGCAGGAACTTTGCGCTTTTTGCGCGTCGCCGAAAGCGCCTGGTGCGTCTCGTCGATAATCTTTAGGGTCTCTGCAGGCAGGCCTCCAGCCTCCTGGGCACCGTCACCCATCTCAACGTCTCCACCCGCTGAGGGGGCCTCCACATTCATGGTAGCAGCGACACTACCAAGCGCTCTGGGGACAAGTCGTGAGAATCTAGCGCAACATACGCGTAGGTGGCAGACTCACTCTCGTGCTGCGTCGCGCTCCTTGATGAGACGCGCCACGACGCGTTGCGCCGCGTCCTGTGCATACAGGGCATAGCTCAGCTCCTGTCGGAGGGAGTTGTACTGCTGGCGCAGAGCGAAAGTCTCCAGCATGGCCGCGTCCCACTCGTTTTGGAGCATCTGGAGGAGCGCGGGGATGGAGGTCGCATTTGGGGGCCGCGGGGGTGCGGCTTTTGGGTCTGCGTAGGTACGGATGCATGGTCACCACACGCGCATACAACAAGGACCGCTGTGTACGCACTAGCTTTGACCGTGATGAGGTCCGACTCCTCCAGCTTGTCCCCCGTGATTGGGTCCGTCCCATTCTCGTTGATGTACTTGACAATCAGCCGCCGCTCGTACAAGTGGCCGGACTTGACGGAGATGACGGGGTCCTGTGGTGGCTCGCCGGAGATGCAGCAGAAGTGGGACATGGCAGCAGAGCGGAGGTGACGCGAGATAGAGACTCGGACGTCGAGGTGAACCACTGAAGGCGTCTGGCGCCCGCCGCGCATGCCACCGCGCAGATTGCGGGCAGCCTGTTTGCGGTGTTGGCCGGCGCCTCCCCTGCGCTCCCCGCCCGCGGCGGCGCCCTGGTGAGGCGGCGTGCGTGTGCGTGCGTGCAGCCCAAGTCCTGTTTCCGCATTCCACCATGTCCAACAAGCAGCGCCTCGTGCTCTCGGTCATCGATTTCCTCAACCAGTCCATCGACGACGGCACGGTGAAGCAGGATGACAAGGAGAGCTTGGAGGTAGCCAGTGCGTCCCGCTCTCCGGCTTGCGCGCCCCCATCTCCCGCTTAACCCGTTCAATCTCTACCTCGTTCGCCCCCGCGGCCTCGCCCCCGCGCCTCGCAGTCCAGTGCATCGGCGAAGCCTTTGGCGTCGACCCCGCCGACCAGGCGCAAGTCGACCGCCTCTCCGTCAAGCCCGCGAACCTGCTCTCCATCTTCGACGTCTTCCTCAAGACCAAAGACAAGCTCGCGGGCCCCTCCGCACCCGGTCCCTCCTCCGCCGGCGCGTCCTCTAGCACCCCAACGCCGCCGACAGGTGCGGCCAAGGCGGAGGCGGAGAAGCTCAAGGCGGCGGGGAACGCGCAAATGTCCGCGAAGAAGTACGACGACGCCGTGCGCTCGTACACGGACGCGATCGCGCTCGATCCCACGAACCCGGTCTACTTCTCGAACCGCGCCGCGGCGCACTCGAGCAAGGGCGACCACGCCGACGCCGTCGCCGACGCGGAGAGCGCCATCGACGCCGACCCGTCGTTCGTCAAGGCCTACCACCGCCTCGGGTGCGTGCTTTTCGTCTCGGTCCGTGGATTTCGGCTGAGCGGCCCGCCTCGCGTTTCGTCCTCCCCTCTCGCAGGCACGCGCACTACTCCCTCGGGGACTTCAAGGCGGCCGGGCCGCGTTCCAGCGCGGCCTTGACATCGAGCCGTCCAACTCCTCGCTCAAGGTCGGCCTCGCCAACGCCCAGGCGCGAATCGTCCCCGACGACGACGAGATGCCCCCGCTCGAGGCGGCGGCGGGGACGCGCGGTGCGGGCGCAGATGCGGGCGCAGGCGGGATGCCGGACATGGGCGGTATGGCCGAAATGCTCAGCAGCATGGGCATGGGCGGTGGGGCGGCGGGTGGCGGGGCAGGCGGCATGCCCGACCTCTCGTCCATCCTCGGGAACCCGCAGATGATGTCGATGGCCCAGCAGATGATGGCCAACGGCGGGCTGGAGCGGATGATGCAGAACCCCACGGTCGCGAACATGGTGCGTCTCGGCCCGTCCCGTCTCGCCGCGCTTCTGCTCGTCACGGGGGACCGGCTGCTCACATGTCTCGCAGATGAACCGCATGCAGTCGGGCGGTGGTATGCCCTCGATGTCGGAACTCATGGGCGACCCGGCTATGCGCGACCTGTGAGTGTCTTCGATTGTGGCTTCCGTTCTTACGCTCACTGCGTTACAGCGCCCGTCAGTTCTCTGGCGGACAGTGAAGACACTGTGCATGGCTGCGGAATGGACTCTCAAGTCAGAAGCATGCACTATCCTTTGGGAACGTGATCCGGTGTATTTTGTTTAGATCAAAATGTTTTACGCTCGTGACGCCCTCGACACGGCTGTGCGACCGCCGGCACTAGGCTTTGCGTGCCCTGTGTCAAACAGTGTCTGGAGACCGCGCCTGCGCCCACATTCGTGACGTCGCAAATATGCAGGCGTCGTTGTTAGGTGCGTCGCGTTCGCCTTGAGTGTATGCACTGAGACGTTCACGGGAAACGTCCACTTGGCTGTGGAGGATGTTCCAAAAATTTCCCATTCAGATCAGGGTGGTTCTGAGCAGGGAGTCTTTGGTCAACAACTGCGCCTCAGCACTAAAGGTGGCAAGTTTGCCAGTCGTCCTCTCGGTTCCGGAGGCCCCCTCTCAGCGTCCTTCCGTCAAGCTGCCGTTTCACACGCGGGGCTGCGTCTGCCCTAGAATGCATGTTTTGCTGACGCGAGGCAGCCACGGGGCTGAGATCGGAGAGAGCCCTCCGCAACGCTCCTGCTGTAGTGAAGAGGAATTCTGCGTCTTATAATTGACCGCGTGATGTGGGGTTCCAATTAATTCCAATCACTCGTCGTAGGGAGGCTGTCTACCTCACCAAGGCTTCGACGGAAAGGATGCTCCGTGATGAACCCCGAGCCGTCGCCAGCTACTGAGTAGCTCTGATCGCCCGGGGATGACCCAGCAAGGCCGCCGCGTCGTGGTTCGCCTCGGGCGTCCCGGGTTCACTTGCGAACCTTCCTCTGAGCTTGATATCGTTCGACGAACTCATCGCGGGGAATTCTGACAGGCGTCAAGGGCTGATCCTCGGTGAGCCGCATGCACAGGCCGCTAAGGAGCGGGAGCGACTGCAAACGTGCGGCGACGACCCGACGGGTCTGCGTCCGTGGCAGTTTGTTGAAGCGGTGCTTCACGAGTTTGCCGTCCGATATTTACGTCCAGATATGAATGTTGAGTCTTCCATGCCGCTTGCAGCTGGGCTCACACACCTTCACAGCGGGGTACCTGAGACGGGAGCAGACGTTCACGACGTTCAGCTGAAACAAGCGCTCATACGTCGCCTTGGCCGACAACAACTCCATTTGACCACATCAGCAGTCATTTCAGTAAAACGGTCATGGACGGACCGAGGTTTTCTGAGACGCGATGCGCGGCAAGTGGTCTAGACGGACGTGTCCCGCTGCTCTCGGGACCGAAAGCGCCTGGGACGTTGACGATCCGCGCAGAGCTGCGTTTGGAGGCTCTGCAGTACACTGCCGTGTGGGTTTTATGTGCGTACCGTACATACGTGTCAAGGTGAGGGTTTGCTACCCGAGGGTCGCATCACTCCGCGCTCAGCCTGGTGAAGCATGATTGCACCCGCACAGCCATCTCTCACGCCAGATTTCGGGGCGCGCGAGTTGAAAAGTGCAGCGAGGCAGCGAGGCAGCAGCGCAGGACCGCGGCGAGGACGGCTTGGGCTTAAGGGCGGGCAGAGAACAACGCTGTGGGGGTGCAGAGGGAGTCAGGAGGCCAGGAGGCAAACAAGGCGGACAAACAGAGAACAATGGGCGACGGGGTGCACTCCGCCGATAGCGCGTTTACCACTCGCCGGCATTCAAGCGACAATTAATCGCATGTAAGGCGCAGTAAGCCTGCGGGGTTAATCGCGAGATTGACATCGGCAAGCTCGCGCCAGCTTCTCCCTCTCCCACCACTAACCTGAACTCATTACCCGCCGCCCAGGTGCGCAACCGGCGGGAAGCGGGACATCGAGACCGAGCGAGACCGGCGAAGCAGGCGGGCGAGGCAATACTGGGACTGACCGTGGACCGGGGCTCGGCAAGACATGGCGCTGCGGAACATGATGTCGCGAGGGCGACGAGCCGGGAATGGGAGCAGTTGTTGTGTTGATGAGATGCGGGCGCGAACCTCCGAGGCCACAATAACTACCCGCCTTCCCTCGCCGTCCTCGCCGTTGTTCCTCCGTTCTTTTGTCCGCCTTCTATATCTTCACTCCGGGCCCACCGCGGCATCCTGACTCTCCGCTCCTTCTTGCGTACTGTGTACGTCCTTCCGTCTGGCACTCCTTCATTCCCCTCATTGCGCTTGTTCTTTCACCAGCGCCTTCCTACGTATCCTCCACACGGCGCCCGCAACATGAACACAGTCACCACTAGCTACGTCGCGGTGCTACCACCGACCTCGAACACGCTTGACGGCCGCCAGCGCGCGCGCCTCATCCGCTCTACCCGCAAACTGGGGGCGGTCTTGGGCGCAACACCGCTGCTGCTTGAAGGGAACGTCCGCCCGTTTGGTTACACCGCAGCCAAGCCCCTCCCATCTCCGCCCAAACGTGACAGGAAGCGTCGTCAGGGCTCCGTATTTGGGTTCGCGCCACCGACAGAGCCGTTCTCTTACAACTACTCCTCGACGCCAGCTCTTCATCCACCTCCCTCGCCCTTCCCCGCACGTCCACAGACTCGCAGTCCTCCGTCGACTCCATGCCCTCACTCCCCACCCCCCAGTCGTTCGCCCGCCACGTGCGCGAGAAATCCAAGTACAAGGGCAAGAGCGCCCCCCTCCCCGCCCCGCTCGTCCTCCGCCTCAACGCCGTGCCCCTCCCCCATCCGATCCCCGCCTCCAGCCCGCCACACCCGACACCGGCGCGACCTTGCGCAGCGCCACCCTCCCCGTCCCCGGCCCCTCCACCCACTCCGGCCTCCCCAAGACCCCCACCACCCCCGTCACCCCACTGCGACGGAGACGCGCCGGAAGCGGCTCGCGAAGCTCAAGCGCACCCTCGGCGAGAACGTGCCCCCCGAGCTCATCATGCCCCGCAACCGCCACGCCCACTCCGTCGCCTCCCCCACCGAGCCCTCCCGCCCCAAGCGCGCCGCACCCCCGCCCCAGCGCGCGGACTCGTACGTCCCCTCGCACCCGTCCGCGGACGCGGTCGCCAAGACGGCGCGGCGCCGCAGCCTGAGCGTCGACCACTACAAGCACGGCGTCGGGTCCCCCGTGCCCGTCGCGCGCCCTGCGCCCGCGTCCCCCGCGCACGCGCACGGACGCTCGCCCTCGACCCCGCCCGCGATGGCAATGGCAGACCGCGGGCCGGGCAGCGCGGGCGCGCACGGGTGGACGACGGGCGCGAAGAGCTGGATGGGCGAGTGGAACCGGAAGGACATCCGCGACGTGCAGAACCAGCTCCGCAATCTCCGGCTGAGGTGATTGCGCTCGCGTCGCTGCGCCGCCGCTCCGGTTGCGTTCGGCGACGGACGGCGTGTTGATGTCGCGGCGTTCGTTGGTTTTGACGTGTTGGTGTCGACGTCGAGCGCGCACGGCCTGTCCGTCTGCGCGCTGCGCGTGCGTTTCCGCTGGGACGGACGCCGCGCGCGGGGTTGACGGTGCGCGCTCCGTCTTCTGGCTCGCTCGTTCCTGTGACGACCCCCTTGTTTCGGCCCATAGACATTTACGGTACTTACCTTAATATTATTTGCCCCCGTTCTGTGTCGATACGTAGTAGGCCCATGTACACTATCTCGCTAACGCCTGGTTGCTCGTCCCGCTTTGATTGTATTGTAGGCGATACCTCTCAAAAATCCACCCACTACATGAGCGTAGCCTCGTTCATCCCCATCCCTGCAACGCGTGTGCCGTGAGCAATACACGCAACAATCAAAGGTCCGGGTTGTCTTCAGCAGACGGGTACAGACTCCGTTCGTAGCGGCATAATTAGTGCTGTAACGGGTTGGACTCTCGCTGTTGTCGAGGAGCCGGATCAGTGATTCTACTGGTAGTGAAATGTGGAGGACGTAGGATCACGTTTTACAGAGTATTTGTATGCTATGATACAGCATGGAGGGGATACTACGAGGCACTATATCAAGCAGAAATGTCAACAGAACATCACCACGATCGGCCAACTACCGGTGGCTCCGTGTGCTCCGTCGCAGCTGCTGTGTAGTCGACACCGGGACGTCCTCAATAGCAATTTCTGTCGCGGGCTTGTTCTTGCCGAGTTGCCTGCAGATACATCGTACGTCGTCAGCGTTGCACGTACTCGACACCCACCCGCAAGACTCACCGCTTCTTCTTCTTTCCACCGTCCACCTCGCCCTTTTTCGGAACGTACTCCGCCCCCGGGCCGGCGAGCGCGATGTCCTCCGCGCGTGCTTCTTGTTCGGAATAATCAGAGTCGAGTCGTCAAGCGAGAGCCCGTCGAGGACCTCCTCGAGCTCCTTAATGGTCTTGGACGGTCCTCGTGTCGACCGGCGACCGGCCGTCGTGCGCTCGGCCTGTTTCGCCCTCGCCGCCGCAAGGGGCGTTGTTGCGGGGCCTTGCCCTTGCCGTCTTCGCCGGGGTGGACTCGGAGTCCTCCGAGTTGGACCACTCGTCCTCGTCCTCGTCCTCAGAGCTCACCGCCTCGTCGCCGTGCCGGTCCTCGGAGATCGACACCCCGACCTCTTCGTCGTCGTCGTCGTCGTCGTCGAGGTCGTCGTCGGACAGCAGCTCGTCCTCTTCAACGTCGTGCATCTCGGTGTCGTCCGCGTCCACGCCGGTGTCGGATTCCGGAAGGGGGCGCGGGGGACCGCGGCTTTGAGCATGGACTGGCGCATGGGCCGGGGCTTGCCCTTCTTCGCGAGCGGCGAGGGAGTCCGGCTGCGCGTGCCGGACGAACGGACGAACCCGTCCGAGTCGCTCTCGTTGTCGGCGTCGCGCTGAAGGATTTCGAAGGGTTAAACGTGCACGCGGGGCCACAAGTGAGTCGTCGACATACCCCAGCGACGGACGACGCGACGTCGTCGAACTCGCCCTCTCCGACGTCGCTCATGCGCAGCGGACCCACGTCTGAGTCTGCGACCGAGTCGGAGTAGCCCCCTTCCGAACGCGCCATCCCGTGCTCGTCGTGCAGCAGTCGTGACCGTTGGATCATGTCGAGCTTTGCGTCCATACGCTCGTCGTTGTGTTCCATCTGTGAACGTGGATCAACGTTGCAGACCGAGTCTGGAACGCAGAAGATCGACGCACCACTCTCATGAGTCGCTTTGTGAAGGCGTCCTCCATCTTCTGCATGCGCTCCTCCATCTCGACCATGACTTCCTCGCGAGTCTCGGCCTCGATGAGAGCACAGCGAAGGTTGACGTCGTACAGCTGCATGCGAAGGGCCTCGACCTCATCGAAGAGGGCGTTGACGAGCGGGTTGATGGGCTCGTCATCCTCGACGCTGGTCTCATCGCCATCGTCCACCTCTTCATCCTCTGGACACCACCGTCAGCCACGAGCACCGCGAGGGCAGCCCGTTCACACACACCTTCGAGCACCTCCAGGTGCGCCTCGCTGGCCTTCCTCCCTGGACCGCCCAACGACAACGTGACCTTCCTCCGATACGCGCCGCTCGCCTGTCGCGCATTCGCCGACGGCTTCGTCGGCGAAGGCAGCGTGCGAGCAGCCACCGCCGCCGGGTTCGTCGACACCTCCCTCGCGAGCGCGGAGAACTTCATCACGTGCACGTTCTCGTCGAACCCGGTGTCGTACGGGTTCACGTTGACGATCATGACCGCGCGGCCGTCGCCGACGAAGTAGTCCATGAGGACCTCGGTGAGCTTGCTGTGCCGGAAGGGGACGACCGCGAGTCCGCGCTTGACGTCGCGCGTGTCCGAGTGCGTGCCGGCCTTGACGGGCTGCTGCAGGCTGCGGGCGAGCGTGCGCTGGTTCGCGCGGAGGGTCTCCATGCACTGGCCGAGGACCATGAGCGACTTGTTGATGTTGCCGGCCTCGCGGAGGCGTTCGCCGGAGGTGTGCGTGTGCTTCGTCCGCTCTGAGCCGGCGAGGTCGACCAGCGTGAGACGGGCGGTCTGGATGCTCGTTGGGTCCTGAACGGGTGTCATGTCAGTATGGATCATGTGTGCAAAGTGCATCACACGCACGTTGCGCTCCCCGCGGTGCACCCGGAGGACCTTGATGGTGACGAGAGCGTGGCTGCGGCTGCTTTGACTGTTCGCGAGCGTCCCGAACACTCGACGATGAAGTTGGCCGATGCGCAGCAGCTCCTTCGCCTCTGTCGCGCTCCGGACGTGGATTTGACGGAGACCCGCGACGTACTTGCCTGGCGTGGAGTCGCCGTCGCCGTCACCGGCTGGACTGGGCTTGACGGTCAGAGCCTTCCGCGTCAAGAGTAGCGGTGATGCTTTATTTGTCGGCATCGACAAATTGAGGAACGAAGAGGTGGACGAGGAATGCCTGACGACGCCTGTGGTGTGCTTGGAGTCTGGCCAGACTCAAGAGCGCTGAACAGATCGTAGACTTTCTCATTGTATACCTCGGCGTACGATAGCCAGATCGTGTGCTCATAATTGCGATCCAGAGTGAGTACTGTTGGATCAGTATCTGTGCTTGACGACGCAGAAGCGGGCAAGTCCTCCTCAAGTACGTCGCCCAGTGCCGTGGCGCCAGGTTTGGTCGGTAGACGGACAGTGGATGGTTCGTCGGACTCGGATGCAAGCTCAATGCCTTGCAGTCGTACTGGCCTGTACTGAAAATAGGGTTATTAGAAGGGTCGATCGTTCATACGCTGAACCTTACCATCCCATCGCCATGCAAACCGTCTATGCTGTTGAAGACAACGTCTAATGTTCTAGGAATGATTCCAGCACTTCCTTGCTCGGCGCCGCCTTGGATTGTGTGCGTCTTTCCGGAGTTGGTGACCCCATATGCAAAAAGCAATCCGTTCCGGCCCTCCAGGACATCTCGAACGAGAGGTAGAGTTGTGTGACTGAAGAAATCCGATTGTGTAGTCTCTGGTGGAAAGACGTGCGTGAAATGATATATGGAAGTTGGGTTGACAGACGAGAGCCGAGAATGCCCAGTAGACGAGGACGGATCCGTCATGCGCACGGAAGAGTCTGAAAGTGGATCAAGGTAAGGTTCATATCCGGCTTCGGCGTCGTCTGTACGTGGTCGAATTCTCAGGAATGCCTATTCAAGCCGGGGTCAGTTAGGAAGGTACACAAACATAGGTCCCCGATATGATTTCGTTAGTGGAAGGGTATCCAGCACAAGATCCCTGATTCAAGGTATATCACGGTGTTGGTGGATTTATGAGAGCGAACAGATTCTTGATGCTCAAGGGGAACTATCCAAATGTGAATCTCACCTTGATGGGTTCACGATCTGTGTCTGGTGATGGCTCTGAGGCACTGAGTGGTTTCGCCACCGCCTTTGGCTTGGTAGCATTTCGGACGGGTGTCTTATCCGGAGAATTATCCCGATTAATCAGTGGTTTTCGAGAGGAGGTTTTTCTCGTGGTCTGCGTTGGAGGTGCAGCGGCAGCGGATTTGGAAACCGCGCGAGTGGCTCGGGCCTGTGCTGGAGGATCGGGATTGACAGTAGCCTTGGCACGGGTGGTCGAGCGGGTGGCCTTGGGCTTGCTGGCCATGTTGAAGGGATTCAAAGAAGGCGCTGCACAGTAGTACGATGAAGTTGCGCAGAACGGTAGGGTGTGTGGGGATCGATGGTGAGGGCGACCGACAACAATGTCAGGAGGGGATCGATTCAGCGAGCGCGACGAGCGGATGCCGAGACGGGCCACAACCACGAGGGCGCGTCTGTCACGTGGTCGACGCGTTGACCGCGATCGCGCTTCAACACCACAGCGGTTTGCCCTACTTTGCGCCTCTCCTCCCCGCACCCCGCCTTGCCTGATACCCACTCTCCTCCTGGTTAGCCTCACATGCCTGTGGAGACGTCGAAGAAGAATTCGCCACACCGACGGCGATCTCTTGCTGTTCTTGGACACGGCCCCTCGAAACCCAGCCACCGTAGACGAGCATACAGTATCGCACCTGGGGAACGGGTCAGTCCGGCGGCGAAAGCACGGAGACTTTTGGTGAGTAGATAAGGGTTATATACGCGATCTTTGCGTCATGTTTGCGCTTCTTGAGACCTGTGATGGGATGTAGGAATCGTGGCGTCTGCCTACACCTCCGGAGGGTGAGTCTTCGCGCGATGCTTATGCTTTCTTAGGTGCCCCGCAAGAGTATCCTCAAAGCCTCCATAAACCTACCTAACAGTCGAGTCTCCGATGCCGCCGAACCAGTTGCGTCTGCAGGCGCGGACGACCAGACAATGGATCTCACAGAAGTCCATGGACGGGGTCCACGGAAAAGCATCCTTTCCCGTCGCGTCAGTTTCGCTGCCCACACCCACGTCCGCCTCTTTCACCCGGAAAGCAACAAGGGTGACCCCCCATCCTCTCCTCCGGCAGAGTCGCCGAGCCCTCAAGCCCCCGCCGTTACGTTCATCACCCGTGAAGATAATGATGAGAATGCGGTTCCTGGTCAGGCCAACCGACGATCCTCAATGCGGCGGCGGTCCTCGGGGGCGTTCAGTGAATTCGGAGAGCAGTCGATGGATATGGACATGGACGACACTGTGCCTCTCCCTCAAGACTTCTTGCCCCCAAGTAGCCCGTTGGTTGAAGATACCACCGTGGAAGACGAGGAGTTCACAGAGGATGAAGACGAGTCCGACATGGAAGTCACAGAGGCGATTGCCCGGAATATTGAACGCAAGAGGTCCCTGTCATTGGGTCCGAATGGTGCATCTAGGGCAAGCAGGCGACGCTCCTCCATTATGACGGCGTCCCAGTCCCAAAGCGAGAACCAGCCACCTATGGACTCCGACCCACCCGACGTGCAAGAGGGCGAATCTATGGCGGAAGATTTGACAACCTCTTCTGCACACGAAGGGACGTCGTTCATGTCTGAAGGGTCTTCTGTTGGGCCTGTGGAGTATACAATACCCGTTCTGCCGTCGATGCGACAGCCCAAGGAACCGGACCCCGTTTGGTTACAGCTTCGAGCCATGACACATGCAGGAAATGAGCCTTACGAACCTCCCCCTCCTGAGTCAGACGATGATGCGTTGCTCATCCAACCTTCACCCGGTTCACAAGAAGCCCTTGCTCAGGAAGGGCAAGATGAAGACGGTGAGGTTGACATGGACTTGACATCCGCTGTGGCACGTCTCCAGAAAGCCCGCGCTTCACTTGGACTCGCTTCAGCACCCTCATTCTCTGCTCCGGCGGAAGACAGCTTCAGCGACGATGGAGGCCAACAGCTGCGCGATGATACATTCAGTACCGAAAATAGCTTTGGTGACACCTCTGCGGATCTGGACAACCGCACCATCAACTTGACCCAACGCGTGAGTCTTGGGACCATTGACATGACGGAGGTGCAAGACGGCGTTGTGAGGCTGCCTGCAGCCGCCCGTGCCGATGAATCAACGCCCACTGCACCCAAAACCCAACCATCCACCATCGAACCGCTCAAGGGTAGTGTGTTCGGCGCACCAAACCCATCCCTCTCATCCAACGTGTTCGGCGCGTCAAATCCATTTCTTTCCTCTAGTGTCTTTAGCGCACCACCGAACGTCTTCTCCGCACCTACGAATGGACAACCACCCTCTGTCTTCTCAGCACCCCCTGTCGCGCAGAAAGCTTCCAATGACCGCCCCCACTCGCCTTCGAAATCCCCTGGGCCAGCAACTGCCCCTAAACCCTTCACATTCGCTCTCCCTCGAGCAGGGTCTCCAGCCAAATCACAGACACCAGCGAGAAGTCAAACACCCACTCAACCCCCACATCGCGGTACTGCAGCCTTCGCGCTGCCCTCCGTCCCGAAGTCACCAAAGCGTACATCCACCGAGAACCAAGGAACCCCGGCCTCCACCTCACGTCCTTCAGTGGGACGGCTCGATGTCTCTCGTACAGCCGCTTTCGATGGCGCTGCAGAACCCTCCCAGTCAGCAGCCGACCCTTCCAACAACAGGCGTTCGAGTATGAGCCTCCGTCGTCCATCTGGATACTTCGCGCAGAGGAAGAGCTTGGGCGCGGGCGTCTTGCCACCAAGTCAGATTTCTGAACGTGCCAGTGGTCCCGAGAAGGTGTCAGGTGGAGCCGGACTCAATCGCCCTCGTGCGAGTGTCGGTGCGCAGCCTTCAGGTGCCGGCCTTGGCCTACCTCCTCGCCGCACAAGTAACGGTCCAGAACACGTCGATACTGGCGACCCGCTTTATCCCGACCTTTCTCAGATCGAAGAGGAGCAAGAATCGCTGACAGCTACCATCCTCGCCCCCCAACCGGATAAAGGCAAGGCAAGAGCCACAGAAGCGCAAGCAGAACCGCCGGCGTCTGACAGGATATATCCACGACTTGACTCTCCTGATGCCCCTCCGTCGCAGCCAGAGGCCGTGCCAGAGCCACGACGTGCAGCTTCTCCGGCTCAAGTCCGCCCGCCTCGCAAGTCTGTTACCCACATTGCCCCACCATCCCGACCGGTTATCGACGTCTCCATGGCTGTAGATACGGAAGAACCTCCAGATCCTGAGGGTCCAGGAGTGTCCCAAGCATGGCGCGAAGGTATCGCAGAAGAGCCGATGCAAGAGGATGATGAGGTATGGAGTCTGCTACCTCTAATACAAAGGTTACTTAGCTGAGTTGCACACCTAGCCTACCATCTCGATCGAGCAGTTCTTCCAAATGACAGGCATCCGATTCATGGACGAGCTCACTATGCCCCGACCTCGTCGTTCAACAGTCGGGCCCGGACAGCTGCGACCACGTCGACGCCGGCGGTCCTCTGCGGCCGAAGAGCTGGGGGAGAGTGTGGCGGAGGAAGACCCGATCCCACTCGCCGAGTTCGCGATCGCAATGGCGGTCGACATGCCTCGGATCGACCTGTACACTGCGATTACGCGGGATCTCACCGCGTACATCCAAGAGTGCAAGAAGATCTACAGCGAGGCGGAAGAGGAGGCCCTGAAGGACACCCCAAGCTTGTTCCGGGAGTTTGCCAATGTGGACGAGAGCGAGCAGGCGATGCTGATTGTGAGTGCCATATAATACTACGAAGAGAACGAATCGCTGATTGCAACTTTTTCCAGCACCAACTAAAGCTCATCAAGGCGAATAACATTGGGACCGCGAAGTCCCAATGGTACGACTGGAAGCAACAGTGGGTTGCACAGTTGTCTGAAAGCGCCTCGTTGGGTTTCTCCAATCTCGAGTCGGTGAGTTGGCCTGTCATTTGCTGTCATTTTTTTCGAGAGCTGATGTATATATAGGACGCCACATACCTCGCAGGCATCATCAAGGAAGCGCAAGACATCCTCCCGGCTCTCCGCCAGGAGTACGAGGAAGTCACTCGCCTTTTGGAGCAGGAGCAGGCCGACGTTGACGAGATTGAGAACTCTGACAATGACTATCTCAACGAGTTAAAGGCTTCCATCGCCGAGCAGAAGTAAGTCTCCCGCCGCTTACACTGGACCAAACTCGCTAACATATACATGACAGCAACGAGATCGAAGCCTTCAAGGGCGACGTCTCCGAGGCGAAAGCCAAGCTCGAGCGACTCGAGGAGAAGCTTGCGGATATCAACGCTCAGAAAGAAGACGCGACCACTGCGATCAACCAAGCGAAGCAGATCGCGCACTTCCAGAAGGAGAGCACTAGCGTCGAAGTCTTCCGCCTCAAAGGTGCGCTTGCCGGGTTCTCAGCGTCACGTCGCGATGCTCACCCCCACTCCAGCGGAACTCGAAGCGATGGAGGACCTGCACCTCTGGCACGCCGTCAAGCTTACGCCCACCGTCGCTGAATTCGTCTACGCCTCCAAGTTCCGCGTCGTCGTCCCATGCGTCGCACACCGTCCCATCCTAGCGCGCGTGGAAGTCCACCGGACCGAAGGATCTAAGCTCAAGGACCGAGACCCCTTCCCCGCGCTCACCCAGCTGACGCTTAAGACCTCGCGGAGCCTCGTCGCTGATGCAGACGAGAAGCTCGACCTCAAGCGCATTCTTGAGCGTCTTGGCGACTTCTGGTCGAGTTGCGCGCAATTCCGCTCGCAGCTCAACTTCCTCGCGATCAAGTACCCACTCAAGGTCGAGATCGTGTCCGACGAGCAGGGTCAAGACTACCTGCAGGCGACAGCCACGGTCATCTTCCCGAACGTGAAGGGCAAGGCATATATATCGTTTCTCTTGGATAGGGACACGTACACCCGTTGGCCGCTCTCCGTTCGTGGCCTTAAATCGCACGTCGAGGTTGCCTACGGGAACATTCAGTGCGTCCGCCTATCCTCGCTCATTCGATCTGACCCTGGCGACTAACGTGCCTCGTTTGTCAGGGGTGACGCGGTCCTGCAAGCCATACTCAGTCGGCTGATGCAGGTCAGCCCGGCCGACAGCCATGGGTGCCTCTTGGACGCTTGTATCGAGGGATCGGAGCAGTACGAATGATTCGTGTGTTTGTTTATTTCCTGTTTATCGCCCGTGGGGACCGAGCCCTATGGTTTGTATGTGATGTGTATGCTGTATACCATGTGATCGGAAGCGGTTGCCTACGATATCATAACATTGAGGTATCCTCGCGATTATCACAGAGACCGGTCAGGTTGCAATTGGAGGAGTCGGTCGGCGGAAGGGATGAGGTCTTGCGGTTAACGCAGTCACGCACATAGATGTTGCTGGCTGGCTGTTCACAGTAAGAACACCGATCCGGAGCGAACCCGGTAACTTGACCCTGGAAACACTACGAATGAATAGCGAGATTATGATATATACTGTGTACGTTGTACAAATAATGGGGAACATGCCACCCACGACCCTACTGGTCATGGCGATCAGCATCCAAGAAGGCATGAGGAAACATAAGGGGCATGGGGCGGTGAGAGCCAGCTAGTGGTACAAATGCCGAGAGATTACAGAAATCAAACACAAGGCATCGTGAGGATGAGATAGGAGAGAATATAGTCGTAGATGAAGTAGTCGTGTACTAGAGATCATCTGTCAGCGCCAAGGTGAGCAACAAGAAACGATAGTCACTCACAGGACATAACGTCGTGTGCTCACGCGCAGCTCAACTGCGTGATCGTCTGGTCCAGGCTGAGAAGAAGCACCGCTAGCATGTCCTTGTTCTGCCGCACGAGCTCCAGCTCGCCTTCCGCCGCATGCCGCACCTCGCCCCACGCCGCGCCCACATCCTTCGCCGCAAGCGCGAGCCCTGCACGCGCCTGTACCTGCTTCGCGCGCTGCTCCGCCTCACGGCCGGCGCCCATCGCGTCCTTTGCCTTGCGCGCGGCCGCTTTGGCGGCCGCATCCTGCGCGTCCTGCGCGTCGCGGAGCATGTCCTCGAGTACGGCGATCTGCTCCGAACGCTGCGACTCGATGAGCAGATTGCTGTGCACCTGCTGCTCAAGCTCCGATATCTGCTTCGAGAGGTCCTCGGCGTCTTGCGCACGCGCGACCTTAGAAGCATGTAGCTGCTCCTCGAGCGCCTGCATCTGCTGGAGGCGATCCTGCGCGCGCTGCTCGGCCGCGGCGAGCTGAAGGCGCAGGAGGGTGAGCGCCGCGCCGTCGGTGTGAGTCGGGGTCTCGGGCTTCACGTCGAAGAGGTGGGCAGTGTTGTGCATGGCGGGCGAGGGGGTAACGTCAGGAAGTAGGACCTGTGAGATCGAGCCATACCCTGTGGGTGAGGGCATCGCGCTGATGGTTGGACTATCCGGAAGGTCGATGGTGCTGAGAGCGGGGGAGATTGCGCCTGGGCGGAAAGGCGCGGGCATCTCTGAGATCATCCGTTCGACCTCTTCATCGTCGAGCTTGCTGTGCTTCGCAAGCTGCTCCCATGAGAGGATCGAGCCGCGGTCGTTGCCTGCAACCTTGAGCCTCGGTCGCAAGAATGGCGAATTTTCCGTCGAAGACGATGGTGGTGCGGGAGATACGTACGAAAGGTTAGCGCGGGAGGGGAGACCACCACGAATTGGAGTGTGCGGATCGCTGGCGTCGTTGACTCGCAATCGCGTTCTAGGGATAGAAGGGGTGGGGGCGGTGGGCGAAAAGGAAGATCCGAGCATGAACTCAACATCGTCGGCATCGAAGCTGTCGAAGCTAGAGTCCGGCTTCATGATTTGAGGTGCAGGGACGGAAGGGAACTCGACGGGAGCCGAAGTATACCGTGTATGGGCGGATTTGCCGAGCTTGCGGGAGGAGGTGCGCCCAAGAGGAGATGGTGAAGGGGACTCTCGGCCGGCAATGAGTGTGCGTAGAGGGCTAGGACTGGGACTCGAACCCCCGGAGACATTCTTCAAACGCAGGGAGTTGGAGCCCTTCGCAGAGCTGCCTGGAAGTGTGGGGGTAGTGGGTGTGTGAGGGAGACGCACCGAGCCGCCAGATCCAGATACCGATGAAGACGCAGATGAGGGCGGGCGCGGGACTGACGAACGCCCGACGCCGCGCCCGATGGCGGTGGGGCGGACGTCTTGCTCGTCTTCGACGCCTTCGTCGATGTCGTCCGCACCGATGAGGGTGAGCCTTTCGGCGGCTGGGGCGTGAGCCTGTCCTTTTTGTCCGCCTTCTTCTCTGGCGTCGCCGGCCGCACGTTGATTGCGGACGTCAAGTTGACCTTCAACGCCGAACGATGCGGGACCGGCGAGATCGCCCGCCCCTGCTTTTTATCCGCGCCGGGGCCGACTGGGGACAGCTCCTTTGGCGTCTTGACCTCGTCCGTCTCGTCGTCCGAGCTGCTCGTGCGCCTGCGCCGGGCCTGGTGCGTCGGCGACGGCGCCTTGGGCGCCACGATCACCTCCCCACCTAACATCGAACGCGGCCGGTCCTTGGGCTTGTACTTGGGCAGGCTGGAAGACGTGAGCCCGCTTCGCTGGCGCACGGAGCCGCTGCCAGAGCGGGCGCTGATGCTCGCCTTGGGCGGGCTCGCGCTGTCGGACGGCGACGACGACGGCGAGGGGGCCGGGGCTTCATCCTGGCCCGCGAGCTTGCGCAGGGCAGACTGTCGCCGGGAGTGGCGGGTGATGGTCTTCGCGTCGGAGCTGTCTTCAGTGAGGTGCGAGTTCTCCTTCCGCCGGGACGACGAGATAGTCGCGGGGGCGGGGGCGAGGTTGATGGTGCTGGAACGGCGGTGGGACGTATCTTTCTTCTTCGCCAGCTTCTCGCGCTCCTTCTCGCTCTCCTTGTCCTTGTGCAGCGCGTCCGCGAGGGCCTTGCTCATCGAGGAGAGCCCGAATGATTGGCGGATGGAGGAGCGGGTCGCCGGTTTGGACCGCGTAGAGCCACCACCGGAGGCGACCTCTTGTGGCATCATATGTGTAGAACTGTGCGACGCGCTAAAGGCGTCTTAGGCGAGTATGTGGGGGAGAGTTTTTGGGGAGGTGGAGAGAGGACGCGGGGGGCGTCGCACGGTCGTGAAGTACAGCTGGAGAGATGAAACCAAGAGGCTAGGACGCCGGCGTGGTTCGGTTCGACACGCGCGGGCGCCTCGAGCCGGTCGCATGCCGCGCCAGCGCCCAGTCGCAGTGTCGCCTCACACGCAGTTCCGAATTGCAGGTTTCCAAACGCCTCTGCTCTTTCGTCGTTTACGACGCCACACTCTACGTACCAGAGTACACTACCACATGAACCGGCCCACGCCCGCCGCTCTTTGTACAGGAACACCCACATCGTCAGTCCGTTGATCGCTGCGTACCAAAGCCCTTCAACTGCCACCCCCACAGCGGTACGTCCTTCACCTGTGCCCTCAGCAGAATATAGGGAATGAGGAAATACCGAGGCTCCAGGAGCGGCGTAGGCAGCAGCATTGGAACCACGAAGACCGGGAGAAGCAGATTCTGCAACATCGTCTGATCATCCCCTGTGCACAAGGCGTGGTCAGTCTCCGGCTCGAGGCCCGACTACTCAATGGGGCAGACGCTCACCGATCCGAATGTACCACGCCCACGCGCAAGCAATGTAGGCCGGTAGAGGACGTAAGGCACCAGTGGGTGCAGCAAGAACACCCGTCGCCAAATGTAGAAGGTGTAATGTCTTTGTCCGACAGGAGGAATGGGTGCTGGATCCTGAAGGCATACCGTTAGCGCAACTCCACGGAATCCGACGCGTCGAGACACGAACGTGAACTTGTGGATCGTGTAGCACATGAGCAGCGAAGCTGCGCAGGTGGCGAGTGTGTTCCTGCAGGAGAGTCAGCTGGGGCACAGAGGGCTCTTGGGGTGGCATAAACGACCTCCTACTCCCAAACATCCTCGCGTACACCGCATGCAGAAGCGGACGTACGCCGTTCTTTCCGCTGATCAGTGCCGGCCATCCGAACGCGGTCGTGAACCCGACGAAGTAGTATAACTGCGGGACGTGGAAGGCGGGTATATGGTTGGACTTGTCACCTGGGGAACAGGCTCAGAGATATGGATCATACACGGAGGTAGGCCCTGTTCGAAACCCGGACTTGAACGCATTAAATCATGCCCGTGTCACCGTGCACATCGTCGCGATCGCCCTGCACTACGACATGCTCGCTGCTCAGTGCCTGAGCAGAATCTGCGATCTCGACCCCTTCACAACGATGGTTCGCAATATCCGAACAGGGCCTCAGTAGGGTGCACTCACCGAGTACAATGCCACCGTTCCACACCACGAACGCCCCAAACGCAGCAAGGACAAGCGCGTACGGGACGAACGCTGGCAATATGTCCGGCAGCACCTTCGGCGCGCTCAGCAAGGCCCACACGAGGTCCACTGCGCAACCCGCACACGTCAGCCGCGCAAAACGGGGGCCACTTCGCGACACATACACACGCACCTGGCTCCGCCTCGAGGGCCGGTCGGTCGTGGAGCTTCGCAGGGGGCTTCTCGTTAGAGTTCGGGGGCGCGCGTCGGAAGCGCAGGTACATGAGCTGGCTAGACGCGTACGCGTACAGGACCCAGATTATGTTGTTTTGGCGGAACGTGCAACTCACGAGGCCGACCTAACGTGTCTGTCCTCCGTGAACTGCTACCCCCGAGAGGTTCGGAACATGAACACATACCAGTGCGGCAGTCCAGTGGTTCCCCTGTGATGCGTATACAACCGTCATGACAACCGATACCAGACTGGGGACCTCGGTGTAATAGAGAAAACCAAAGAACCAAGCCAGTGGGAAGGCGGCGAGGACTACAGCTTCGAGCGGCGGTGTTGCGAGGGACGGTGGGCGCAATCGCTTGTGGTAAGACACCAGGAGAGTGAGCGCGAAGGTAGGGTCGCGAGGGATAGCATTGGAGTCAAACGGAGCATGGGGAGGTTGCACTTGAACTTGAAGACGGTCTTGAGTAGCATGCTGAGCACATACCTACGTCCAGCTCAGTGTCTGAAAGCATACACGCACGAAGTGGCAACTCACAGTCCAGGAGGTGTGGTTATCTTAGGATCCCAGGTCCAATAGTCCCCTTGCAGTACGCCTGCGCCTGCGGGATATGAAAAGGCTCATCCTGCGGGGGGTATTGTGAGAGTGCGGCGCCGGCAATTTTGCTAATTTCCTCGCACCATGTACGGTTCTGTGACTTCTTCATTGAGGCTTTTCAAGACGATGACCAGAAATGTGCAGAACGCGACATAGGGCACAGGTGACGAGGAGGACATGGTGGTCGTTGTCGACCTGTGTTGTGGCACCCCGGCGCGCGCGGCGAACAGAGGCGGCCCGCCGTGGCGCCGAACGCACCCTGCCACTGGTACTTGGTCTCCCATCTCCTCATGCTCCCCACCCCAGACCTCTCACACCTCAAGAGCGAGGACTACAGGCACGTCTATGAACCAGCAGGTCATAAGTCAAGGCATCAACCATGTTCACGCTGCTGATTGGGGTCAACAGAGGATACCTTCATCCTCCTCGACGCGTTAGAAGAGGATGCTGAAACACTACGAGAACTGAGACCTGCTGTATGCGTGGAAATCGGGTACGCAACACCACTGCATTCTGCATTGGCGGTCCTTACAGGAACTCAAGCTCAGGATCCGGATGTGTAACAACGTTTGCGGGCAAGATCCTCGGGGCGTCTTCATCTTGTACGACCACTCCGCCCCGGCACCCGCCTCAGCTCACTCCGTCTCAGTGTATCTGACCACTGACATCAACCCTCGGGCATGCGCAACCACTAAAGCAACCGGATGTCAAAACACCGTAAGCCATCTCCTTGTCTCCTGTGCATTGTTCGCGCTGACCCGTCTCCAGTAGGTTCCGATCGAACCCATCCTAGCCTCACTGGTAGGACCACTGCGCGCACGTCTGAAGCATGCAGTGGACCTGCTCCTTTTCAATCCGCCGTACGTCCCGACAGACGCCGAAGAAGCCGATGCAGCGCAGGACGACGCGGGCATTGCGGGTGCGTGGGCTGGAGGACAAGACGGCATGGCCATCACGGACGTTGTGCTCGACCAAGTAGAAGTGAGCTTGCAGCCCTTCGTATTCGCGTGCAGCCGCTGAAACTCGTTGTCTGAATCTGAACAGAACCTGTTGTCCCCTCGAGGTCGCTTTTATCTCGTCGCCGTCAAGCAGAACGACATTCAGGGGATATGTGGCAGGATGCTGACCCAACACGGCCTTCGGGGCGAGGTGAGTCGATTTCACCCAGATGTGCCCCCATTTTTCACTCAACTTCGCGATTCAGGTCGCGCTGCAGCGCAGAGCCGGGAGGGAGCACCTGTACGTGCTAAGGTTCCATCGAGAACGTCCAGATCGCACATAGTTCACAAGTAAAGCAGTATACATGTCGGTTGGCTATTATCAGTATCCCAAAGCGCCGGAACCCAGCGCCTCCTAGGGGCCGGTGCTCTCCTACCGAAACCTTTACCCTGACCGTCATGTCCGCTCTCAACAGCACCCAGTCTGATGATTATTGTGTGCCAACATATGTGCGTGAATGTCCTGGTGGTCTATTTTCTGACCAGCTCATCGCAATCTCTAGCTTACCCAATGGTGCTCGGACGCAGCCGAGGCTTGCGGGTTTTGGGATGGCAACCGCGCTTGGTTGCTTCGCAGAGGATTCGCTCTGTACTCGTTTGAAGACATTCCTCCAGGACGAAAACTTAGCTTCGCGGACGGCAAGAAGTGGTGTACGCCAAAAAATGCACCGCCCAGCGAGCCTGTGGTACTGCCGTGGGCTAAGCACGTGAGAGGGGTGCAACGGCCGACATTCAGGCTCTGGGTACGCCTGCTTTTACGTCCTTGCACATCAAGCCATGACGCGCGGCCTCAGTATCACATTGCTCCGGCCAGGGATTTCTCTGGCAGGGACCTCATTCTCAAGCCCATCGCCCGAGACAGCCGAGAATATGCGATATGCAAATTCCTGCTGACTGCCGCGGATTACACCGATCCGTCAACGTTTCCTTGCATCATCCCCCCTCTGGCCGTGCTGGATACTCCTTACGACTACTCGATCTTGTGCATGCCAAGGTGTGTTTGACAGTGGTGTATCTGGCTCCCGATTGACCACTAGGTTCAGATGGTCGGAAGTGACGTGGTTAGACGACGTCGAAACTCCTCGTGAGTTTATCTGTCTTGCCATTTGCTTGCTGCGGGTGAGTGCAGTGCCGCATTTCCCTTTACATATCCTCATGAAGGACAGGGGCTTGATTTTCTCCACTCCCACCGAATAGCTCATCGGGTAAGCTACCCCCGAATTCGTTCTAGATATCGCACACGTAACAACGTGACACAGGACATCGTCCCATGCAACATGCTCGCCAACTGCTACAGACCAGACGACGACGACGACGACGTGCTGAGAGCCGATCTCAGAGAGCGTCGGGGTCGAGGCGATTGCGAGAACATACTCGCTTTGATGGACTTCGACAAGTCCATCCTCCTTCCTCCCAACACGTCGTTGATCAATTGTCGTCGGCCGTCGCTGGAAGCCACAGGGGATGGTTTCTTCGCCCCCGACGACATCGACTACGGAGCGCCGTACTACAACCCGTTCGCGTACGATGTTGCGACTCTGGGAGGTATCTTCAGATACTGCTATGCGGTACGCAGCCTCGCCCAATGCCGAATGCGTCCACTCATTGCGCCGCATGCCTTAGGATATGGCGTCCGTCGTCCCTTCTTTCGCCCCACTTTTTGACAGAATGACGACCCATCTGATGCGAGAGAGATTCACGGTGGAGGAGCTTTGTGCTTCTTGAAGGACACCACCTCAGACCTCTCGGAGGAAGCCTGGATACCAAATTCCGTTGCTGGCGATGGAGATATCGTCTGGGGGATCGTACTGGTCGAAGCTGTCGCCCCAGGACCAGCGGTCTGGGGGAGACACCGGACACCGTCGCAGTCTTGGTGGAAGCCACTTTGCGCTGGGTCCTCCAGTCTGAGAGGGTGTGAAGGTTCTCTTCTCCATCCGCCGTCTTCTTGGGGTTTGACGATCCGATTTCATGTTCGTACCCGTATCAGAGCCTTGATGTTGCTTCTACCTCGTCGTGGCTAGGCAGAAAGGCATTCGTGGCAGGACGCTTTCCCAACACGGCCTTCAGGGCGAAGTAAGTCGATCTCACCCGAACGTGCCCCCGTCGCACCGACTCAGGTCGCGCTGCAGTGTAGAGCCGAGATTCCACCGAGACGTCCAGATCGTACATCATGAAGTTTACAAGTAAGCAGTATACACGTCGGCCGGCTACACTATTACCTCTCTACCCCCGTGGCCCTTTACAGCTTCAAGTCCGGGTTCGCCGGGATGGGGCGCTCGGCCTGAGGAGTGATGCGCGCGCCGTGGCGGCGTTCGCGGGTGTCCTCGAAGTCGAGGATAGCCGACTGGCGCAAGCCCGCGGTCAGCACACGCTGGTGAGAGGGGCGGAACGCAGACGAGAACACGTACGTGGGCCGTGACGCGGTTGTCCCAGATGACGACGGTGTTGGGCTCCCACTTGACGCGCACCTGGTTCTCGCCGCTCTTGTCGATGTGGTCGTAGAGGAAGTTGAGGATGGCGTCTGCGCAGCGGGCGTGAGCGCGTGCGCCTCCCTTACCGCGATCGGGAAAAAAAGAAACGAAGCGCTCACTGGACTCCTCGAGCTTGAGGCCGACGATGCGGCGCGTGAACTGGCGGTTGACGTAGAGGGCCTCGTCGCCGGTGACGGGGTGCTTGCGCACGACGGGGTGCACGTTCTCGACGGGCTCGCGGCGGACGACGCCGCCCCGGCGGCCGGAGCGCGAGAAGTCGGCCTGCTCGAAGCCGGAGTGGACCGCGGTGAGGGTCTTGAGGAAGTCCCAGAAGTGGGGGCTCAGGCGGCGGAGGGTGGAGACCTGGCTGGTGAAGAGCGTGTCGCCGCCGGTGCGGGGCTGGGCGAGGAGGAAGAAGGTGGTGAGCCCGGGCGGCTGGAGCTCGTAGGAGACGTCGGAGTGCCAGACGGTGGGCTGCACGCGGTCGTTGAGCTCGTAGTTGAAGGTGGTGTGCTCGTCGCGGTAGACGAGGTGGAGCTCGGGGACGCCGTCGGGGTGGCCCGAGGTCGGGTGGATGTGGGGGCGGCCGAAGTGGGCGGACCAGGCGCGGAAGAAGTCGAGGGAGGAGTCGAGGAACGGCTGCTGGTCGCGGAAGACCATCACCCCGCGGCGGGCGACCTGGGCACGCGGTGCGGGGAGGCACGGTGGGCGCCAGTGGTTATTGTGAAGACATGATCATTGTAGGCCGCAAAGAGGGGCCGGATTGGGAGGACAAAGGATGGTGGGTGGTGCATGAGAACGGGCGCGGGGCGTGGCGGGATAAAAGGGAGACGGACCTCGAGTGCGAGCTGATCGCGGCCGTCGTTGTCCAAGTCCACGAGGTTAATGCCGCGCACCTCGGTTCCCAGACGGGGCGTGAGGTCGACTAGCGAGGCACCGTCGAGGAACGCGCGAGGGTTCGAGTGGGAGAGTGCGCGGGCGGCAGGGTCGACGTGTTCGAAGGGCGTGAGGGGTGGGTAGTGCTCTTCCTTGGGAAAGACTGGAAGGAGGTGGGCGTAGCGGTACTCCTCCTTCACGGCAGCGGGCTTGTCGGCGTCGGTGCTGCGGAGAGTCAGGGTGGGGAGGCTCTCTGTGATGGTTTCGACGGTGGCCATGAGATGTAGTGCGAAGAGGAGGGTGCGCAGAGAGCTGTGGAGGAGTTGTAAGCATCGACTGAGCATTTGTATGGGGTGTTCAGTATTTTCGCCATCGGGTCAGCTGAAGGCGCAATGGTCACGCATGGGGAGACGGGCTTCTGTGTTGGGTGACTAGGCTCACGGGGACTCCGCAACGGCAGTCCGTGGAAGTCTCAAAGGGTACGGTATCAATTGCGACATGGAGCGTGGCTTCGAGCAATATGTACCCCCGAAGTCGTGCTGCGATAAGATTAGATTCCGCTATCTCATCTCCGAGCGCCCGGCCGAGTGCGGACCGCAGGTGTGGGAGTGTGGGAGACGCGGGAAGGAGCGCCGGCTGATTGCGGGGAAAGGGCGGCGGCGGGCCAATTGTGTCGCATTTCCTTTGCGAACAGTCGGCGAGGCGTTGACAATAAGCAAGGTCCCCGCCTCGCTTCTCTGCTTCCCTTGCCCCTGGCTGACGCCCTCTGTCCGCGCAGTCCTGATGGCACGCCTGCCCGGTCGCCACCGCCATCGACCACGCAGCCCGGCACCGTCACTCGCGATGCCCTCAGAAATCGCCTGTCCGCCGCACCACACACGGCGCATGTCGTCGACGCCATCGGCAGAACCGCCCGTGGTCTGCACGTGCGGCCGCATTGACCGCCGCGCGTGGGCAGATGGTGCACGGGTCTTGTGCCGATCGTAGATCCGTTTCTTATTGTCTTTGCACCCCGCCACCGCCCGCCGCGCCCGCTGCCCGGACCAGGGATAGCGTCTGTCCAGCCATCTCGACATCCAGAAACGCCCTTGGCTAGAGCCGACGCGCAACACAATTGTCCCCTCCACACGTTCCACTCCGCCGTCGCGACCCCGCCAGCCTCATAAAGCCCTAGCGTTTCTCGCCATGCTCCCCGCCATTCCTCCCTCTCTCCTCCCCGACTCCCGAGCCGCCTTCTTCTCTTCTCCGTCAGGGAGACTTCGTAGTCAGACACTGCTGCCATGGCGTCCACAGCAGTCAACCTCTCCCAAACCCTCCCCCACCTCTTCCAGCGCCGCAACGGCTCCCCGGACGTCCCCGAGGACATCGACCACTTCAACGACCCGAACTGGGACTACGATGCTCCCGCTTCCCCGTCCGAGAGCACCTCTACCTTCGTAGAGAAGCGTTCCTCCTGGACCAACACTTCCTTCCGTTCCTCCGATGTCGATACGGACTCCCGCCCTAAGTTGGACCTCCGCGAGGCCGCCCTGGAGAACGAGTACGTGATCCCTCCTTCACGTACGACCCCTCGAGCTCACGTCTCTCTCTCTCTCTCCAGAGACTCGCCTTACGCTGAAGTGCGTGCCGCTGTGCCCAACTACGATGACCCGACGTTGCCCGTCAACACCTTCCGCATGTCCGTATTCTCTCACCACCTCAGTCGCCCTCGCTCACAGTTATCCTCAGGTGGTTCCTGGGCCTCGTCATCTCCACTATTCTCTACGGACTTAACCATTTCTTCGTCACCCGCTGTACGTCCTTCTACTACACCGCCACCCTCCCTCACCGCTCACTTCTTTCCAGGGCCCTCCGTCTACATCAGCGCCCTCATCGCACAGCTGATCGCCCTCCCGGCCGGCAAGTTTATGGAGTGGGCTCTCCCGACCAGGAAGTTCAACACCTTTGGCTACGTTTGGTCCTTCAATCCAGGCCCGTTCAACGTGAAGGAGCACACCGTGATCACGATGATGGCCAATGCCGTCTACTCCGACGTCTACGCATCCACCATCTTCCTCTCCCAGCGCGTCTTCTACGGTCAACGCCCCTCGGTCGCCTACGAGCTCCTCCTCTCCCTCTCGTCGCAACTCATCGGTTTCTCCTTCGCCGGCGTTGTTCGCTCGCTCCTCATCTGGCCGTCCAGCATGATCTGGCCGTCCGCGCTCGTGAGCTGCGCGCTGCTCAACACCCTCAACAAGAGCTGGACCAAGGTCGAGACCAAGCATATTTCGCGCGAGAAGTTCTTCCTCTTCGCTGCCGTCGGCTCCGCGCTGTGGTACTTCGTGCCCGGCTTCCTGTTCACCGGCCTCAGCGTGTTCAGCTGGGTCTGCTGGATCGCCCCGAAGAACCAGACCGTCAACACTCTGTTCGGGTACAACACGGGCCTCGGCCTTGGCTTCCTGACTTTCGACTGGTCGATGATCTCCTGGCTCGGAAGCCCCTTGGTTTCTCCCGTACGTTTTCCTCCTCGCGTTCAGAGCCGACGCTGATGAACCTTACAGTGGTGGACTGAAGCTAACATCTTCATCACATTTGTTATCGTCTACTGGATCATCGCCCCGATCATGTACTTCAAGAACGTCCTCTTCACCGCCTACTTCCCAATCTCCTCTTCCGGCGCATTCGACAACACCGGCGCGCCCTACAACATCTCCGCGGTCGTCACGCCCCAGGGCGGGTTCAACGAGGAGGCGTACCGCAACTACTCGCCGCTGTTCATGTCTGCTACGCTCCAGCTCGCGTACGGCACTCAGTTCGCGGTCATCACTGCGGTCATCGTGCACACCTTCCGTGAGTTCTTCCGTGTACGGCCCGCTCGGAATCCTCGCTGACCGCCACGCAGTCTGGTACAGGCAGGACATCATCCGCCAGTTCCGCCGCACGATCCGGGACGAGCAGGACATCCACTCGCGCCTCATGTCGGTGTACAACGAGGTCCCAATCTGGTGGTACGGGCTGCTCTTCGTCATCGCCTTCACCTTCGGCGTGATCGCGATCGAGATCTTCCCGTCGCAGTTCCCCGTCTGGGCATTCATCCTCTCCCTCGCCATCTCCTTCTTCTTCGTCATCCCCGTCGGCATCATCCGCGCGGTCACGAACCAGATCCTCGGCACGAACGTCATCTCCGAGTTCGTCGCGGGCTACGTGCTCCCCGACCAGCCGCTCGGCTCGATGATCTTCAAGACGATGGGCTTCGTGCCCATGTACCAGGCGCTCGGGCTCCTCAACTCCCTCAAGATCGGCCACTACCAGAAGGTCCCGCCCCGGGTCATGTTCCTCGCCCAGGTCGTCGCCTCCACGCTCGCGTGCTTCATCGCCGTCGGCATCCAGGAGTGGCAGTTCGCGCACATCGAGGACTTCTGCTCCCCGACCCAGAAGGACGGCTTCTACTGCCTCGACGTCAACACCTTCGCGACCGCGTCCATCATCTGGGGCGGCATCGGCCCCCGCCGCCTCTTCTCGCCGGCGGGATGTACAACTGGCTGCTCTGGTTCTTCCTCATCGGCGCGCTCCTCCCCGTCCCCTTCTACCTCCTCGCCCGCCGCTACCCGACCTCGGTCTGGCGGTACGTGAACATCCCCGTCTGCTTCGCCGGCCTCGCGCAGCTCCCGCCCGCGACGGGCATCAACTACTCCTCCTGGGCGATGGTCGGCGCCTTCTTCCAGTGGTTCGTCCGCCGCTACCACTTCCGCTGGTGGCTCCGCTTCAACTACATCCTCTCCGCCGGCCTCGACATCGGCGTCTCCCTCGGCGCCGTCCTCGTCTTCTTCTGCCTCCAGTACCCCAACGGCGGCCTCACCCTCAACTGGTGGGGGAACACCGTCTGGCAGAACACGTTCGACGCGGTCGGCATGCCCCGCCTCCTCGTCACCGACGTCCCGATCGGGCCCCAGACGTGGCAGTAGAGCGCGCCGGCGCGGGCCTTGGTTTCCCCTTCCCCCCTTCGGTTTCGGTTTCGGGTTACACGGAGACGAGATCCCCCATCCCATACACACACACACACCCGGTCCATGTAGCATTATGTCCGACCAAAACGGTCTCCCCCGTCTCTCTCCTCCTCTCTCGGCTTGTAGTATCATTATGTACATTTAGCAGCGCGCCCCCTCACCACCACCGTGTCTCGTCTTAAGTTTGTTTGTCTTCATAGCTGCACCCACACCCGCTCAGAGAACGCTTACCGCTTACCCCCTCTTATTGCGCAACCTTCCCGCCTCCTCTTAGTATTCCCGCCGAGGCCCCCATACCCTCATCCTCCCCTCGCATCCCCATCTTCCGACCTTCCGCTCGTTTCCCGCCTTCGCGCGTGCGCAGTACAGGTCATACTACGCACCCCGCACGCCTTCCCTACACTTTGTACTACCTCTTCGTTACGCCCACGGTTCCGCCCGCTCATGATTTCCGCACGTCGCACAGTTTGAATGAGAATCACGTCTGCAATGTCTCAGAAACAACAAACGCCTTGCCGTTGGTGTTGATCTTGAGTGAGGTCTCCTCGCAAAGTCGTCCCACTGACACGTCGTTTGACATTGAGATCCAGCATTCGACTGTCAGAGGAGTCGCTCGTCTATACCTCAGCCGAGGCTATCGAGGTCTCCACGCTGGACCCGATACTTCCGCCCGACGTAGGTCCAGAGCAGGTCGATCTCGCACGCACGCACATCATCTGAAAGCGATTCGTTCGAAGGTGCGTGGAAAACACGGTGGACAGGGCAGAGATATGCACAAAGAGGTAGAAAAAAGGGAGCGAACGGGGTCCAGATCGACAGATCGAGTGCGGGATAAGGGGATCGAGACAAGGAGCAGGACAGCCTGAAGACTGTTCTGAACCATTAGTGAGTCCGGTCAGCGGCGAGCTGGGGTCGAAACGGATGCGAAGGTGCAGGAAAGAGGCGGCGCGGGTCCTACGTAGGCCAAGGATGATATCGTATGCGTCACTATCGTACACTTCAATGAGAGCGGGGTCAAATGCGAGTCCATAATGCGAGTGAAGGAAGGAGAGCCGATATGCGGTTGTAATGGGCATAGGAAGGGAACGGTAGAAAGCACGGGACTTCGGAGCTGGCGCCGCTTTAGTCGTCGCGGTCGGGCCGCCGCCTGCTCAACGAGAACCGGGAAGGCGACATCCCAGGCGTCTTCTCGCCGCCTGACATAGACACGAGCGAACCACGAGAGCCCTTGTTGGAGAGCGTCGAGTCTGCGTCGAACTCGAGCCTGAGCGTGAGGAGTCCTTGGCCCTCGCGGAGCTCGATGCTGAGGTCGCGTGCCGGGACTGTCTCCCCAGGCGTGAGGTGCTCCCAGATATCGACCTCGGCGGATCCGAGCAGCTTGTCCTTGCCCAGCGTTTTGTGGTCGAAGATCCAGGCGAAGAGCTTGGGTTGCGTTCCGGGCGCTGCTGAGAATGCAAACGACTCGTTCCTGTTGGACAAGGGTCAGCATGTACACTTCTGCTGGGTATCCCCGTACTGACCATTCTGGCTCTGAGGTCTTATGCGCATGCTTCGTCTTGCACTCCTTGTCGCCGACCCGGATGACCGCGTACGGCTTAGCGTCTGTCATACCTAGGTCCTTGGCATGCTGCACCATGACCCTGAGCGTCCCAGGCTCGGTCTGGTGGCCATTACCGCCTGTTGTCGACGGGAATGTCGCACCCGACACGATACCGTCCATCGTCGCAAAGTCGACCGGCTTCGAGACGACACCCGCAGGGGGATCGGGTCGTCGGTGGTCGTCGGAAGAAACTGAGCTCACGCTGCCACGACGGCGGAACACTCCAGTGACCCCAGAGATGACCCCTTTGCCAGCCGCTCCGGGGATGTGTCCGATCTGAGTCATCGCGCGGCCGGCGGAAGAAAATGTGGAAGTGTTCTTGCGAGTCTTGACGATGATTTCGGGCGTGAAGAGCAGGCGGACGCGAATCTCGCCGTGGTCGCCGTGCTTGTCGTGCGAGAGAGGAACCGAGCGCTCGACGGCCGTGAAGGGCTCGAGGCTCTCAAGTTCGACGAGGCCGGTACCCAGGCTCTTCGCCTGCTCGATCTGGTTCCAGTCGAACACCTCCAGGTTGAAGACCGAGCCGGCGCGGGAGGGCTGTATTGAGGTATGAATATGTTGAAGCGTTGCAAGGCAAGTAGAGGACACATACCACTGGAACGCTGAACGTCTCGTTCCACTCGGGAGTGAGCGTCTTCTTCTTGGTCTGCGACTTGTAGACCTTCTGGCCGTTGAGCGAGAAGACAACAAATGGATCAGACTTGCCGCCGCGATCAACGCCACGAACGCCATGGCCGTCGATGAGGTCGACGCGCAGGACGCCTTGGTCTAAGACAATGCTCTAGCTCAGCTGCTTTCGTAGATTTTGTATAGACGCTTACTGTTCACACTCTCCCTCGCCTCGAGCTTGAGCGGCACAGGGAGGTACCTGGCCTCCAGGGTCACAACCGACCGCTTGGAGTCATCATCCTGATTCACGAGCGTGAACTCCGAAGGGCCATCCTGCACCAACATCGCACCATCAGCGACCAATGCCCGACCGCAGCTTACGACACACGCAAGAGAAGATGGCCATCTCACGCACCATAGTCTTTTCCAAGAACGCCTTCGCGTCGCCCTTCCACTCCGCGATCACGTCGTCCTTGTCGCCCTCGTCGGCCTCGTTGAGCCGGAGCCAGACGCGGCTGAAGTCGAGCTCCTTCACGACGCCCTCGCCGATGTACTCCCAGTGCGCGTTCGTGCTCCGCGGGCGCGGTGTGCTGAGCGCCGGCCAGTACGCTTCGTCGAGCAGGACCTCGAGGCGCGCCTTCTTGTGGAGTTGACCGGTCATGACGTTGAAGATGATGATGCCGGACTCTACGAGGAAACACCGCGTAAGGAGGAGTGCACTGAAAGACAGAAATCAAACGCACGGTGCTTGAGCACCTCCTCCTTGCTCATCTCGACGCCCTGCTCCTCTGGCCGCTTCTCCTCGGGCGTCGCCGACTCGCCGTTCGAGACAGCAGAGACAGCAGAGACAGCAGAGACAGCAGAGACCGTGGTGTCCGTCGACTTGGCCGCGCGGTGGCCAGGGCCCTCTGCGCCTTCAGCGCGGCTGGTCGTGATGCCTTCGGGGACCCCATAGTCCTCTTCGTCGCTGTCGTTATGCACAGTACCACCCTCTCCGGATTCGGGAGACTCAGCCCTGGCGGCCTCTTCGATCTCGTTGGGGCTAGCGTTGAAGCCGATGCCACGTATAGCGTACGCGGGGATGAACTCAGCGACGTAGTGGAGCTTGCCTTTAAAGGTGCCGTTGCCGAGCTTGAGGCCTTCTTCAACCTCGCGCTTCCCTGTGGATTCGAAGAGGAACTCAGCGCCATCGGGCGGGTTCTCAATCTGCTTTACGAGGTCTGACACGCGCAGTTCCGTGTACCCGAGTGACCGGTCCTGAATGTCACTATGTCAGGCAGTAACATTACGGAACCGCATGGTGGCGCACCTTTGTCAGGTGCTGGTAGTCCATGCACTCAAGCATCATCGTCTGTCAGTGGGAAATGAGCGTTATGAGATTTTGGGTTATGTCAACGACGTACTTCTTTCATGGAGTGTACTGCAGCGGCCAATCAGCATGCAGCTCAGAATGGCGTACCGGGCGTACTTACCAGGGATGTAAATGATCTGGTCCCATTCTGGGTTCAGGTCTGAATGGTATCAACGTCAGTGTGGTGGACAAAGGCGGATACAGGGTCTGTACTGACTGTTATTGACAACTTCCGTGCGGCCTTCCGTGACGTTGTTGATCTGCACGCGGACATATGGATCGCTCTATAAATCACCGAGGTCTGTCAGTCCGTTTCCCTTGCACTCCCTCCCCGCGAACGACGCACCTTGCCACCGAGCGTCGCCTCCACGTTCCTGCCGCCCAACACGATCAGGAATCACATGTAGTGAGTTAAAAGCCGTTACGCACTTAACGTCCGTCGCGCGCTGTAGCCACAGGCGGACGACTCCCATGGAGGCACGTACTGATCCGCCCGTGCAGACTGCCCGCCATGGCGAGGGCTTCCACTCTGCGGTAACGCGGAGCTTCCCGCATCGCGCGTTGCTGAGCGTCCACCAGTCCTTGCCGGACGTCTTCGCCTGGAGGAGGTCCGTCAAGCGCACGCTCATGTAGCCAATGACAGGGTCCTTCAGGAAGTCGCGGTCGTCGATGACTTTGGTGACTACCACCGCATTCTCCTTGTCCGTGCAGAGTACTCAAAGCTGTCCTCCCATACCGGGTTGTTCGTGTGGCGCACTTTCTTCGTGGAATGGGCGGCCAATTTGGATTTCCCGGTGTAGATCTTCACGAAGGGGTTAAGTTCACCACTCATCGACTTCTGCGAATCAAGGTCCTTGGCCTGGTGGACTGTCAGGCGCACGATGCCGACCTCTGGGAAGACAACAGGTTAAATAGGAGTCCACATCCATGTTAAACTAGAACGCTCACTGGTATCAGGAAGTTGCTCAACACCACTGGCATCAACCTCAGGCTTGAGAACGGGATAGAAGTTCACGTCGAAGCGAATCGTTCCACGAGGCTTGCCATCCTTGAGGATTGGTTGCTCCATGCCCTCCTGCGTCGCATCACCCTCCAGGCAGCTGAGATCGAAGGTAGCAAATCCAAGGTCGGTGTTGGCGCGGTGGTCATTGTAATCCCACACCTTGAATAAGAGCGACTCCTGAAGTGAGTTGACGAGGATGAACTTAGTCTCCATCCACGACGGGTTGTTACTGCAGGCGCCCAGGGCGGCGATTAGCCGGGCACAAAACTACGTCATCTCCAGAGGAACAAATGACGTACGTGTTATGCTTCCAGTGCGTCCGTGGAGCTCAGCCCGTTCGTTGAGGCACAAGCTGACGTATGGGTCAGGGCGACCGCCGCCGAACTTGCTGCTAGGCAAGTCGCGCGCACTCTGCACGGTGATCTGGAGCACACCACCGCAGTGTCGATCGGAGCGCCGGAGAGCATCTGCTCGAGGTTGAGCGTGAACACGTTCGGCTCGTACATCATTGGGCCCAGGATGCTGTGGACGGTGTCGCGAATGAATGCGGACAAGCCAGGCACCTAGATGGACCGGACCATACGTCAGCTGAGATATTACAATGAGGTACGACAGTTCCCACTGACGTTCGCGATGTCAAACCCAAACGTCTCACCACCAATGGGCTTCAGCGCGTAGTCGATAACGGCTTGGTGACGAAGGACACGTCCACCATTTGGATATGAGGGAAGTTCGTCATAAGCTTCATGCGAATTTTCATGTGTCCACTGAACGTCATATCCTCGACCAGTATTGGCATGGCCGCGCTAGCGAAGCCCTTGCCCAAACGAACGCTGAGGATAACCTTCGGGTTGACCTTGTTCAGCTTCTGCTTGTCCGTCAACTCCGAGAGGTCGTTGGGTGTGAAGGAGAGGAACCAGTCCATGAGAACGACATCATCCTCCGTACGTGGGTACGTCTTGACCTTTTCAATCCGGGGTGCCTTGGTTCCAAGGGTGAAGGTGCTTAGACGCAGAGATTCAAGGAATGGTGGGCAGCTTTGAGAGAGGATCTGGTCCACAGAAGCGACGATCGTACGGGACAAAACAGGCTCGTAGATAAGCCAGAAACGGTCGAGGAAGTTGTTGAGCCAGTCGCAGATTCGAACTCCCTCTCCGAGCTGTGACGCGTCTTGACCAGCTCACGTTGAATCTCGTCACGCGCCCGCCGCCGAGTGCGCTCCATAGATGTCGAGTAGTAGGTGGTGCAGAATGCCAGGACGACGAACACCCATCCCATACCGAGGTGGAAGCGAGTGAGGAAGTGGGTCACGAAGACGGCCTACAACACGTGTGAGTGCCGCCCCTCCCCAACTCGTACGCATATGCTCACCACTACGATCATAGCAGCATTGTGGTACCACTCTCCATAGTACTGCTCGCTGATAAACAAGTCGAGGATCTCCTTGTGCTTTTCATCCCCCACTTTCTCGCGAATGGTGTCTATGCCAGAGACATCGCGCCATCCGAGCTTATACCAGTCAGGGATGGCTGGCGCGGGTCCATTGGGCATAGCTCCTGGAGCCTGTGGTCCTCTGGGCGGGTTGGTAAGGTGGGTGACGCAGGCCAGGTGGGAGTAACGGGTGTTTGAGGCAAGTTTGGATGTGGGTCGTTGTTCACGGGGAGGTATCCGCGTCTTCGACTGTGATGGTGGGGAGACCGTCCATTGCTTGGCCCGCCGTCTACAGCTATTTCTGCTAACACACGCGGTTAGCGCCCCAAAGCTGCGGATAAACGCACATATAACAATGGCATGCACAGGAGGAGGCCCGGAAATATAACTGACCTTTCGCAGCACTGTTTCCCGCCGCGCCGTTGACCGCAGCCTTAGCCCTGGACAGGTCAAGCTGGGGCACGGCCTTGCCGGCTTTGGCGGCCTTCTCTTGTGGACTGGCATCGGGGTTGAAGGTATGAACGGGCACACGAGTGCTGGAGGCGTCTTTGTCGACAATGCCATTGACCTTGGCTTGGTCGTTCGCAGATAGGGGGGAAGGAGAGGACCCGTTGACGGCGGCCATGGCGGCAGCGGTAACGGGGTGGGCAGGCGAGAGCGAAGGATTCGCTCAAGGGAAGAGGCGGTAAGGTAGCGTGTGGAAGCAAGGAGCGTGAGGAAAAGAGCGCAGGGAAGGGCAGATGTAGGAGAATGAACGCTGTCCGTTCCTCGATGACGTTCCACCAGTCCCCTGGGCGCTATTCTGGCAGCTTGCTCGCCACCCTCGACGCGCAGTGCGAGCTACCCGTCGGACTACGTCCAGCCCCGACCACGTCGACGTCGCACACCGCCCACTCACGCCGGCCATCAAACGGCCGCTACGACCTCCTTGTCCACACGCTGAGCATACCCGTTCAGACCCGCCCCGCAGGGCGCAGCTGAGGCTCGGCGTGCCTCGCGTGCTTCCGGGGTCCTACCAAGTGGCGCGACGCGCGACGGCGCGTCCCACGTGAGGGCGTGGGTCGTTTTATTTAATTATTCAACGCATGCTGCTTCCAGACTCCGAGAGTATCGCGCGCGACGCTAGCACCTATTGCGCATTCTCTCCTCCCGTCGGGGCCTCCCCTCCACCATCAGAGGTGTCAGCATCCATGGCGGCAGACTTGGAAAACACGTTGCCCTTCTGTTCGGACCCGCCCTCACAGTCCTTGGCTGCCCGCGGCCCAAGCGTGGCCGGATATTTGTATCTCTAGACCGCCCGGGGTCCCGGGGCCCCGTGGCTCACTGTCATATTATTACATCACGTATATTTAGCAGAGTCTCGATCTCCAGTGGCCAACAATAATAGCGTAGTACAAGAGGAAGCTCTAAAAACCAGCGCCCAACTGTCCGTCGAGGTGGATATCTGGCTGCAGCGGTCTGTACATGATGTGTATCGCGAGACAACAATTTCAAGAGGCTGCGTGGACGTTGCGCTTACAGCGCCCTTTGCCAGGTCAGGGATATGGCACAATTAAATTCAATTGTTACATAGCATATGCGGACACGAAGACCACCAGTTGCGGGGATACTGCGGACGGGCACAGGATTTCGAACTTGAGGCTCAAGCTCAAGCTTTGAAGCTTGACGACCCGACAGTGCGCTCCCGCCCTTATCCGGAACCTCCGCACTCAGTGATGGAATGTATGTGGTGACCAATCCGACCTGCTCCTGCATGTCTCCAAGGAAGCGCTTGCCGTTTCTCTGCTTCTCGAGATACTGGGCGTTGATACCTTCCCACCGAGGGCGCGGTTGCAGTGAGTGCCTACGCACTGGGCATTGAAAACTTCTCGCAGCACCCTTGCATGCTGTGGATGACATTGACATATCATGCATGATTTGTTGAATGATGAATGAGGTGTCAGTCCGGGTGGCCCGGCCGCAAAATTCACCTTTTTTCTGAGCTATGGTCTCGGAGACTACCTGACGTACTCAAGTACTCAAGTTCCAGCTCAAAAGCATTCATGCGCCATGAGCGCTAAAGAAATGGGATGACGTCATCGAAACGAGGCGAGCACGCGCTGGCCAACTTTTTGTCCTGCTTGTCTTCCACCAGAGCGGACTCATGAGCGTCCTCGCCCGCCGGCTCTATAATGGCGGCTTCAACCATCTCAAAAGCACTTCATTTCTCGTCGCAGGCAAGGCTCCACGCGTCGTCGGCCCGGCGTTCGCCCGCTCCTGCTCTGTCGCCGCTGCAAAACTATCGCAGGACAGCGAGGTTGTGAGTGCTCTTCTTAGAATCTCCGTTTCTTCCCTGCTATGTGATTTGGAAGTTCGTCTACCTCCCAATGATCACACGCTGTTGCACATCCACATCGCATTGGCTAGTACACATGCACCCGCCAAGATTGAGTCTCCCTTCCCATGCGTTCATTGGCTACAGAGTCTCCGTCATTCTGCCGCCATGCTCGCCCTCGATCGCATGCTTTCCTACAACGCCCCATAGGGGCATCGTATCCGATTACGACTCACATATATCTCTCTTCCGCCGCGATCAGTATCTGCCCCAGCCTCCCGTCGCGATGGAAGACGCACGTGCAACGCCAGGACCAACCCATATGTCTGCCCACAAGGACTTCGTGAAGCCCAATGAGGCCTACGTCGCCAGCTTCGGTGACAAAGGCAACCTACCTTTGCCTCCCTCCAAGAAGCTCTTAATCGGTGAGTTGTGCCTTAATGACCGCGGGGAAAGAAACGTACTCATGAAAAACAGTCACTTGCATGGACGCGCGCATCAAGTGAGGCGACCCATATCCCTCTTCACGCGTACACGCCGCTAATCCCGCCCTGCAGTGTGTATGCGGAACTCGGCATCCGGGAGGGCGAGGCCCATATCGTGCGCAATGCGGGTGGTGTGGCGTGAGTCTGTCCCCACTCTCGCCCCCCTCGCCCCACTCAAGTCCGTCTTCTCGCTTCTCCCGACAGCAAGGAGGCCTTGCGCTCGATCATCATCTCTCAGCGCCTGCTCGGTACGCGCGAGATCGCCGTCTTCCACCACACCGGCTGCGGGATGCTCACGTTCGACACGGCGGGGCTCCGCGAGCAAGTGAAGGCGTCGGACCCCGCAACCCTGCACTGAAGGCCGTCGACGAATTCGAGTTCCTCGAGTTCAAGGCCTCGAGGACAGTGTCGAGTCTGACGTGAAGTTCCTCCAGGAGCACCCGCTAGTTCTACCGGAGACGAAGGTCACTGGCTGGGTGTATGAGGTCGAGACCGGCAAGGTGAGCTTCGAGTGGCTTCAAGCGATTTTGGTGCACCTCGCAAGGCAATGGCGCGTGGCTGGCGCAGAGTATGTGCACGGAGCTGATTTCGACCTCCAGATAAGGCAGATCGTTTAACAGGGCACTACGAAAGGCCTCCTTGTGATCGCACTATAACGCGAAGTGAGTGTTCTGCTTCAGCGTAAACTATGAGTGTTAAACGGCAAGCTAATGATATCATGAGCAGTCGCCGCTGTTTGAACAACATCTGGTCCAGGTTATACCATGACAACCCATCAGTGTCACTCTGTCGCTGTAGTCCCACATCTTGCTTCTGTTACAATTTACCTTGTATAGTGTGCGCAGACCGAAAGAACGCGTCACGACCGTATATGAAACGCGACGCACGTGCTCGCATTGCCGGAGCTTTGCTTTTCGGCGGGCAGATTTCTCTGACTCCTCTCCCATCGATATCACCTCGGTGTCGCGCACTCTCGCGAGCAACCACATAACACAAGATGGCCGCCATTTCTGGAAGACCGGACGACCCCAAGCTCCACTTGACGCAGTCCGGGCACGCTACCCCCCGCACAGCTGCGCGCCCGGGCACTGTGCTCAACGAGTTCGTACCGGATGTGAGGCCGGTCATCGCCATCGACTTCGATGACGTTCTGTGCAAGACCAACCATGCAGTCGCGGCATGTGAGTGGATCGCGCGAGCGCGGGGCCCCGGACGGAGATGCTGACGAGGGATCGCGCAAGGGCATAACGATGCTCATGGTACGAAGATGGCATTGGATGACTTCTATTGTGAGTAGCGTGTCGGCCACATTGCACTTGCTGTATGCGTACTCGCGGAACGGGTTCTCATCGTGCGATGTCCCAGACTACTACTACTGGATGGTACGCTCTCGCCTCCCCGGCTTCCGCGCCCGCGCCCTTGCCCCTCGCCGCTCACGATACCTCGGCCTTGCAGAACCCATACTGGGGCAACCCCGACGAGACGGTGCGCAAGGTCGAGGAAATTTGGAAGTCGGACTACCTCGACCGCGCGGACCCCGTTGAGGGCGCGGCGGAAGGCCTCGCCGCACTCGCCGCGCGGGGGTTCCGGCTCGTGCTGGTCACCGCGCGGCAGCCCCGCGAGCTGGAGCGGAGCCTCGGCTGGCTGGACAAGCACATGCCGGGTCTGATCGACACGATGATCTGCACCGGGCAGTCGCAGGAGACGTTGGCGGACGAGAAGGAGCTGGTGACCAAGCTGTCGAAGGCGGAGGTGCGTGCCCCGTGTTCTCGCCCTGCTCGCCCGCTTGTTCTACGGGTGAAATGAACTCACCTGTCCCCCCGATTGTGCGCAGGTGTGCCGTCGCCTCGGCGCGAAGCTCATGGTCGACGACTCGGCGGAGAACGCGCTGAAGTGCGCCGTTGCGGACCCGCCGGTGCCCGTGGTGCTCTTCGGCGAGTACGAGTGGAACAAGCGGGTGGGACGGTACAGCGACGTCTCAAAAGAGACAAGCTTTGAGGACAGACTCGCGCGCGAGGGCGGGCGTGAGTTCTGGAAGGAGGAGAGCCTGGAGAAGGAGCTGCCGCCTGGCGCGCCGCTGTACCGCGTGAAGGACTGGGAGGCGTTGATAGACTGGGTGGACAAGCAGCGCGAGGAGGGCAGGATATGAGTGAATGTAGATGAGTAGGTTGCGATGCTCGGCGTAGTGAATAGAGAGTTCCGTGCTTCCGACTCTGTTGAATGGGGATGAGAGAGGATGTGCTCACGGCAGCTCACGGCCCGCTGACATGACGCGCAGTGCGGCGTGGCCACCGAGCGCGCCGCCTTCCGACAGCTTTCGACTATTCACCACCACTCTGGGCAAACTCTGGGTCTTTAGCTTATACCATAGCTAGTTGCTATACCTTCTGCTACACGACGGTCGGACTTCTACTCCGACTCGTACCTCTTTACCATGTCTTCCGCTGGGATTCGCCGCCTGCTGCAGCCACCAAACACTCAGGATTCGGATACCCGAGCTCTCGCATACCTCAATGACACCTACAAGTCGCTCAATGACATCGAGAGCGGCGAAGACCTCGACGTGATGGTAGAGCAGGCTCGACGCGAGCTCGAGGGTATCGAAACGAAGGTGCGCCATTCATTCTGACATCCTTTCCGACTCTTCTCTCGTCTCGTGCGCGCCGAACACCTCTCACCACCCTCTGCCTCAGCTCAGCTCGCGCACTCGCAAGCCTGCACGGAAGCCGTGATTGCACAGACGCGCGAACAAGCATCTGCGCAGCTCCATACCGCACAAGAGCTCGCGCTCCTTCGGCACTCCCTCGCCGACGAACTCACGTTCCTCTCTGGGGAGCTCGTCTCGGACCTTTCCCAGCGCGAGCACGGGGACGTTGAAGGACCCACACTGCTGGAGGACCTCGAGGCGCTGCACAGGAGCTTAAAGGAGCTTGAGAGTGTGAAGGGATACGTTCAGGTCGTGGAGCATGCAATGAAACTCAGGTACGTTCCACTCTTTTGAGGCACAGAAGGTAGGGGGCTCATGTGTACTGCAGCGAGGCCGCGGTCGAGCAGGTGCGCACAGCTGGGACCGCGACGGTTTCGGAGTATCAGAAGCTGCAAGAGTTTGTCAAGTCGGTTGCCGCAGCGTGCGAGAAGGTCGAGACTGTGGCCAGCCAGCCGGACCTGCATATACTTGGCTTCCTCGACAATGTGGTCGAGCAGACGTGGAGGGACATGAAGGGCGTACTGATGACGTGAGTGTTTGCGTATTGGTTCCTCTAGTTGTGATACTTCTCTGAGATACGCACAAGGACGCTGCTGGAGGTTGCAGAGAAGCTCAAGTGGCCGACGAAGGTGGACTACAGCGCAGCCTCCTCGGAGGATCGAAGGGCTTTCGAGACTGCCTTCTATAACTTGCTTAAACTGCAGACCATCGGGGCGAAGATCCGAGACTCCTCCAAACACAACGGGAAGGAAGGATTGTATCCAATCCAGGCTCTCGTACAAGCTATCTTGCAGCGATTCAAGTTCCACTTTGAGGGTACGAGACCAACTAACCGCATGGACAAGGTAGGCATCTGTGTTATGCTCTCATACGATGATTCGCTAACGAGTTTACTAGCCGGAATGGTACTTCACGCACATCGCGAATGAATCGCACGAGCACAGGCCATTCATGGAGTCAATAGTGCAAAGTTTGCTTTCCTCAACGGAGTATCGCACTATCAACGCCTGGGTATATCGCCTATCCGTCATGGATCTCAACTGCGTTCTGATATTATTCCTTCTCTAGCGCGAGTTCACCAACCTGCTCCTCCCTGTTCTGGAACGCAAGATCCGCCGCACCATCCCTGCCTTGCTCTCGCACCCTTCGATCCTCGCGCATACGATCTACCAGGCATTGTCATTTGATACCGCCATTCGAGATGAAGGTTTCGGCATTCAGGGGACGACTGCTGCTACCGGGAAAGATGGAACGGATGCTTGGAGAGGTATCAGCGAGATAATTCTCGGCAAGAAGGAATGGCTCGACGCTTGGGTAGAGGGCGAACGCAAGTGTGAGTACTCCTCCACATGCATTTGGACATCACTCGCTCATTCAGTTACACAGTTGCTATGGACCAGTACTTTGAGATAATCAGTGCGCCTGATGCATGGCTCATTGCGGATGACGAAGGCGAAGACGAGGCACCCTCGTGGACAGCTGGCCGTGAACTGCGACCAACCAACTCGGCTCGCCGTGTCAAGTCGCTGGTTGAGCAGGTCACAGGTTTGTGCACTGACAACGCTTTGAAAGACGTCTCTAATGTGTTGCGTTCCAGACCGTTACTCCCCGCTTCCCGAGTACACCCATCGCACTCGCTTCCTCATCGTCGTCCAGCTCCCGCTGCTCGAGTCGTATCTTGGTCGCATATCCTCATCCTTGGACGCTTTCGAAACGTTATCCTCATCGCTCATGCGCGCCGTTCCTGGAGCTCTTGGTGCTGGGGATGGCAGGGGCGGTACTGGCAATTTGACCTCCGGAGTCGAAGGCACGCAGCGACTCTGTAAAGCCCTGGTCAGCGCGAAATACCTTGCTGGCGTGATGGAGATGTGGGGTGAAGATCTGGTATGTGGTGTCCGCATCGATCCTGATCGCGTTACTGACCCTACTTTGTGCAGTTCTTCTTGGAGCTTTGGGAGGAGATCAACCGTAGAGCTGCATTGCGTACAAAAGCAGGAACTGTAGCGTTACTCCCCAATCCGAACGGCAGCGAAAGTGATTTGCCGGAAGGGACCATCTTCGAGGAGCTTATACGGCTATACTCCGCAACAACCGGGCGCGCAGAGGACATGGTTGCTGGGAGTGTCACAAGTGAGATTGAAAGCGGACTCAGGCCACATCTGCAGGGCGGAGCAACGTAAGGTTCTTCGTCTCAGGCTCGTTATGTTGGGGCTGACTTGCATCAATGTCTACACAGGCAGCAACCAACGTCTGAGGACTCTGACGACATCGCCCTGGCTCAGACCTTGCTCGCGCCCCTTGCTCTACTCTCTTCTCACCTCACCTTCCTCCGTGGCACGCTCCCTCGGACGACGGTCACGTCGCTCTATCGGCGCATTGCGTCGCGGCTGGCAATGCACCTCCTGCAAAGGCAAATCCTCTACCGCGGCCGTGCGCGCGCGACACTACACGAAGCCAAAGCTGTTCTCGCGGAGGCAGAGCTGTGGGTCGAGACCTGCCGCGTCGCGCTCAAAGAGGACCGCGGGCGCGTAGAGGCTCCATGGCGACCGTTCCTGCAGGCCGCGCGATTGCTCGCTTGCGAGGGCGACACCTGGGGGAAGATCGTGGACGCGACTTTTGCGGTGGCGAGCGACAACGAGTGGGAGGACGTCATGCTCGACGTTGTAGGTTTAAGCGAGTTCCCGCGAGAAGAGGTCCAAGGCATCCTGAGGAGACGGGAGGACTGCGAGCGCTGAAAGCCTTGAGTTTCGTTTTCTTAGTCGGTTGCTCTGGAGATATTGTATATCGCATCATTCTGTAACTGCATCATCATACTTCGGACCAGAGAGTGAGCATTGAATTCGAGGGGAGTAACAAGATGCCTAGTGCAGTAAACACAGGTAAACATTGCCGCGCGCCAGCCGCTGAGCCGGATCGCCGCGCACACTGACAAGCTTGTTTGCCACCACCGTCTGGCATGCCGCTAAGCTGCACAAAACACTGACCTCGACGTCACCCTCGGCCAAGAAGACCAGGTTCACTTTCACATAATGGCCGTTCCAGCCCCCGCGTCACTCCGCGATCTGTACACTACTCCTTCCAACGCCTGGTCCTTCGTGCCACCTCCTCTCACTCAAGACAATTCGACCAATCCCCCACTCTCTGGACCCTCTTCTTCTACTCAGCAATGGTCTACGCGCACGTCGCCGAACCCGCTGTTTGGCCTCTCTCCCTCCCTTACCGACGACTCTGGCCTTGACATCACGTCATTAGCGAAGGAGCTCTGCCTCGCAGCACTCCTGCAGTACTCGACCGCTGCTATTGCTCAGCCATGGGAAGTCGGCAGGACGCTGCTTCAGGTGCAATGGGTACCGCGAGATCCAGCAGACATTTCGCCTGAAGCTGGGGCGGAAAATCTGGAGGACGAGGGCGAGGTGCGCCTGACGTTTCATCCGTGCACACGAGGCAAAAGCTGACACCACGTCTGTGGATAGCTCAGCGACTCGTCGTCAAACGAGAATGACTCCTACTTTGCGGACCCGACCTCAGACAAGCCTGCACGACCACCACGTCCTGCGGACGAGTCGGGCTATGTTATTAGACAATCCGTGCTTGACGAAGGGACCCAGCCTGAATATATTATCCCTGTTGGAAGTGCGGACGGTGCGTGGGGGATGATCAAACGCGTTGGGCGATTTAGGGCGGAAGGATGGCTAGCGTTATTCAAAGGTGCGTACTATGGTGTTCGCGAACGAAGTCAGGGTCCAACCATACCATCTCTGTAGGTCTGTTAACCTCCGCTGTGTCAACTGCGCTTTCAAGAACACTGCAACCCATCATCTACTCCGTCCTCGAGTCAATATTCTCCCCCATTACACCCGCCTCTCCCTACTCCTATGGCCCGACCTCCGTGCTTCTCCCTGTAGCCTCACAAGTCCTGACGGGCTTCATCCTCTCTCCTCTGGACCTTGTCCGCACACGGCTCATGGTCCAGTCCTCCGTCCCTCGGTACCGCACCTACTCCGGCCCGATCGACGCCCTCCGCCAGATCCTCGCGCAAGAAGGCGGTCTGCGCGGCGTGTACCTCCACCCGCACCTCTTCATCCCCACCCTCTTCGACTGCACCCTCCGCGCGCTCGTCCCGCTCACGCTTCCGGGCACGATCGCAAGCTACGTCGGCTTCGGCCCGAACATCTCCCCCGAGGCGACCCCGCTGCAGTGGCAGTTCTCGGAGCTCCTCGGCGCCGTCGCAGGCGCGTTCATCACCCTCCCCTTCGAGACCGTCCGGCGACGGCTGCAGGTGCAGAACCGGGGCGCCGCGCGTCCGCTGAAGGCGTGCGTCGAGCTTCGGCCCGCACCGTACAACGGCATGGTCGACGCGTTCTGGCACATCCTCACCGAGGAGCGCTCCGACCTCCCGCTCAAGCCGCCAACGCACAGGAGGCGCCGCCGGCGCAGCTCGCACAAGGGCAAGGAGCCCGCGCACCAGCACGTCGAGGTAGTGGAGGACGTCGACCACGAGAGCTGGCTGCGTCACAGCGGCATTGGGCAGCTGTACCGTGGTCTCAGTTTGCGGGTCGGGGGAGCGTGCCTGGTGTTTGTGCTGGCTTTGATGGGTGGTACGGACGAGGTGGATGGAGGTTGGGCGGAGCTGTGATGGCTTATGGGTAGAGGCCACTTCGAGGCGTAGATACGGCGGGCCGAACCACGCTCATGCGTATATTCGCGTGGCGGCGTTCGTTACTTCATGAATGTATTCCCTATTAATGACACCCAGTTCTATACTCATGGCATGTTACCACCACCCCGAAGGCTATCCCGATACTGCCAGCCTCAGGTAAGACTGTAGCGCTGCCCTCGATGTCAGCCACCTCAGCTGTTCTATTGTTTAGCTGACGGTCGTAGTCAGACTTGCAACGAATGTCAGTCTCCGCAAAATTGAGACCACCGCCAGTGAGGAGTTGACCTGGTCACGTCCTTAAACCAACAACTCTAGTTGAAATTCGCTGACGTGGTTTCGGAATGGTTTCAGAGCAGCCTGTCAGAGCTCGCTGGAGATATCCCACTCGGATGCAAAGTCGAAACAACATGATCCATCCTAACGCGGGGCGGGAACACATTACAAAATAAAAGACTAGATAACATTACTGATCTCGTCTCGAAGTTCGTCATACAGCAACTCTTCTCCTCTGCGCCAATCCGTCCACGAGCAATCCCGAAACCTTGGCTTGAAACCTGCGGCACCACGGAGAGGGCGGGACGCCGGTCAAAGTAGATGGCGTCCGGTTGAAATGGCGAGCCAGCGGCGTCTCTCGGGGCAGAGCACAGCTGGCGACCCTAGCGCAAGAAGCGGGGTGTCCGGCGGGGCTTCCAGGATTCAACGGCATAGATTGGCTCTCTCGCGAGGGCTGAACCTTTCACGTTGTCAGTCTACGCAGTGGCACACCGGAGCCCCGGAACACCGACGTGTCCGCAGCGCGGTGTGAGGCATCTTGATTCTTCCCTGGGTGACGCTCGACGCCGAAACCGCAAGACCCACGTTGCAGTCGCCAGTCCCGGCGAGAAGGCCGCTCGCACGCGCGGAGATCCGAGCCTCGGGAGTAAGCAACGCCAAGGCCGCTACGGCCCCTATGCGGTGTTGACACACATAGCTGCGCCTCTTCCGAGACTACTCTCGAGAGTTATTATGGGTGTTCGATTGCTTTTCTTTCACCTTCTTCGCAAGCGCTGGTGGGACTACGGACAGCTGCACGGGTCGGTCTTCGTCCGCGTTATGTCCCTGTAGAGTTTCATTGGTGTGAAGGAAGCACCTCATGAGACCTTATCAAGGGTCACGTACGTGGACCAGGTGGTACTTCAGACCGCTCTTCTGCTTGTACTTCTTCGTACAGCCTTCGTGGGGACATCGGAAGGTGTTGTGGATGTATCGTCCAATCTCGGGCCCGACAAGCCCGATGGGAATCCCATGTTCATCTAGCTCCTGCTGAACAGGTGGGACGCTAGGTTGCGTCTTGGTGGGTGTGACGGTCGAATTGGTAGCTGGGGCATTATTGCGATCATTAGACGGCGCTACAGGGTCACCTTCTTGTGTCATAATGGCGTCTTGGAAGTGATACTTCGATCTGTTGGGGAGAGACGGATGAGTATCGGGTGTGAAGTTGGTACACACCCCGTCCAAACTACGGACAGAGTCAAAAGGAACATACATCTGTAGATGGTACTGGAGTCCGTTGAGGCTCTGTGACCGTACATGAGAAGCGTGACGGGACGGTTAATATGCGAATTCTCACCTTCCAGCTCTTCACGCAGCCTTCGAGTCCGCATCTGAATGGCGTGACACCACCAAGATCTCCGTTGTGGTCGTTCCTCGAATGCTTTGCCAATTCTCCCGAAGTGGTGAACACATTGGCGCTTTGCGACGCGTTGGGTGGCCAACAATCGCGATGGCCGCATGCGTATGCCAGCACGCTCGTACTGGCAGGTACATTATTGAGCACGCGCGGCCAACATACTAGACACGTACAACCGACGCTTACTCGGAGGTAACAGGAAGTTTAGACGACAGGCGGGTGACCAGTGGTAGCCTCCTTTTGGGCAGTAGAGTGCGCATATGTTCCTTCTCCTCTTCTGTGCGGTAGTGACCTTTGGCCGCAGGGACGTCAGTTGGACCAGGAGTAACGGATGGGTCGATATCCGACGCGGAGGCATGCACGGCACTCTGGGTTCCATCCATCGGCGAAATGCGACCGCTATGCTGGTCGCATACGGAGGGATGGTCGGGAACGTCGTCGTCGTCAGCCAAGAAGTCATAATTGCTGGGTGATACTGGGTCCTCAGCCGGCAGATCAGATGCCGTGTGTTCAGGCGAGAACGAGCCTTGAGGTTCGACAGGGGCGGGAGTCGAGCGACCAGCATCGTCGAGCGCGGATGAGCTTGGGAGTGCATCTTGCGACACTTCCTGGGCACTCGGGTGTGGAGGTGTTAAATGAGCTCCCGACAAGATCTGCTGTGGAGAAAAGGAGGCGCCTTGTGGTTGGAGGACGTGCTGAGGCGAAGAACCTGAGTGTAAGACAGACGGCGCCACATATTGCGGACTCCGACCATCCCAGAAGGGAGAGCCTTGATTCCCAGAGCCATCGGATGTTCCTTGCAAAGCAGAAGCGAGGGTCCCTGGAACGGCATGAGAAGGCCCTGCCTGTCCAGGGATTTGGGGTTGAAGTTGTCTCCTTCGGTCAAGCATGCGATACCTGAAGATCGCTTCAACGAGAGCATCCAGGCAGAGAACGATGAGTGGCTGACCTGTTCCTGCAACCCAATCCGCTTCTGTTTAACTCTTGACCGATGAGGCCCCATCTTCCTCCATGCCTTTCATGAGCTTCAAAAAGCCTGGCATCTTCATCGGCCGTCCAGTCATCGCGTTTGAGAGAGGGGTCTAATGCCTCCCTGTAACGCTTGGAGCAAGCATCGTCTGTCCTTCCGGGAATCTGGCGAGCGATGACGGACCACTTCTGGCCATGGGTGGCAAATAATGAAAGGAGCTGTTGATCCTCTTCCGCCGTCCACGCGCTCTTCTTCACATTTGGTGAGAGGGAGTGAAGCCAGCGCTGCACAGGAGACCTTAGAAACCGACACAGGGAGTCAAAGGGTTGTCCCAACCTTCCTGCACGCCTTATTCGTCCGTCCGGGCACTGACGCAGAGATGATCTTCCAGTTGTCGTTCTCCCCATGGATGGCGACCGCCTGGACAAGTAGGTTATCTTCGAGCGTTGTCCATGGCTTTCCAACACCGCGTTCGCTCATGGAACACTCCACGCGACGGCCGCTGGTGAGCCACTGCGGCCAGAGTAAGAGAGAGGAGGAAAAATGGTGGTCAAGAAATGCAACTGGCCAAAGTGACTTGAGACTGACAAGCGCCCGACGCGCTGAACGCGATTGTGCTGTCTTACGTAACCGCGTCTTGCTCTCGCTCCTGCTGCCATGTCCCTCGTCCAAGGCTACTCTTCCGACGAGGACGACGGTCCTCTGTCGCCGACCACCGATGCTTTTGGTCTCTCATCTCTCCCCGCGTCCAAGAAGGTGCGCGTTGAAGACACCTCGATGTCCCTTGTGCCCTCGTCAGCGCCACATGTACTCGCAGAGGTATTTATTCAACATTGCGGACCGCACGCGACAGGCGGCTAACAAGCAGTTCTTTCAGGACCCACTGCAACAATCTTCCCTTATTACGCGACCTACGGACACGCAGATGAATGTGAACATTTCGTATGACGACATGATGCTGCCCGTTCAAGGCCCGGAGAACCCTTTCGGAGACCGGAATCGGTTCATGAACCAAAACGCGCTCGCGGGACACGTAGAGGAGCAGGCCATGACGGAACACGCGTTCCGCCAACAACACCTCACGCACGCTATCCTCGGCTACTCCGCCAACCCTTCGGTGGACCCCAACGCGCCCGCTATTCTCGGTTCGCTGGACAAGGCGCAGGAGCACGGCTTCCAAACAATAGGCTCCGTGAAAGTGCCTAAAAACACGAAGAATGAACTGAAGAGGAAACGGAAGGCGAAAGGGGATTTGGAGATTGTGGATGGCGAGGGTGCGTACGAGGGACCTTGGGCGACTTGGCAGGGAGACGAGCCGACAGCGGAGGTCGAAGAGGCCATGGACGAGCCGGAGCCGGAGTCAGAGGAGGAACCAGAGCAGGAGTTCCAGCCCAGGAAAGCGAAGCCGAAACGGGGCGCACCGGGGCTCGAGTCCTCCGTGTTCCATGGCAAGTCGATGCACGACTACCAAGGACGGACGTACATGCACCCACCATTATCGGAGGCGCCGCAACTACAGCACGAGCCAGGGTCGCAAGAATGCTTCATCCCGAAGGTTTGTATTCACACCTGGACGGGACACACGCAAGGTGTTTCCGTGCTCCGGACTTTCCCCAACACCGGCCATCTGCTTCTGAGCGGTTCTATGGACACAAAAATCAAGGTGAGTGTGTCCCAATGCAAGTGTTGTGAACGCATTCCTGATTTCATGTAGCTATGGGATATCTATACCCACGGAAACTGTTTACGCACCTTCCATGGTCACATGAAGGCTGTCAAGGATGTCACATTCTCGAACGATGGTCGGAGATTCTTGTCTTGCGGGTATGACCGTCAGATGAAGCTTTGGGATACGGAGACTGGGCAGTGCATCAAGCGCTTCAGCAACGGCAAGATCCCGTATGTTGTACGATTCCACCCGGATGAAGATAAGCAGAACATCTTCCTGGCGGGTATGTCCGACAAGAAAATTATTCAGGTACGTTCTTCCGTCCGTCCGTCTTCTTGTTGTGGGTGCCTGACGACGAATACATTCAGTACGACATGAACTCTGGAGAAATCACGCAAGAATACGACCAGCATCTCGGTCCTGTGAACACGATCACCTTCGTAGACGAGAACAGACGGTTCGTCACGACATCGGATGACAAGACCATTCGAGCTTGGGACTTCGACATCCCGTCGTCATCAAGTACATCGCCGAGCCGCACATGCACTCGATGCCCGCTGTCACACTGCACCCGAGCAGTATGTTTCCAATTGGCCCATTCTTCCATCCCGCCACTGACAGCTTGGCGGTCCGTTGACGTCGACAGAGAAGTACTTCGCTGCACAGAGTCTCGACAACCAGATCCTCGTGTACAGCACGGACAACTTCCGGCAGGCACGGAACAAGCGGTTTGCCGGCCACTCCGTCGCTGGCTACGCCTGTCAAGTGGGCTTCTCTCCGGACGGCAAATGGATCAGCAGCGGCGATGGCGAAGGTAACGTCGTCTTTTGGGAGTGGAAAACGGGCCGCATAAAGTCCCGCCTGCGCGCACACAACAAGGTGGTCATCGCGCATGAGTGGCTCCCACACGAAACGGTACGTGCGCATCGCCTCAGCGGTTTTTTTCCTGCTATCGCGCCTGGACCGAGCTGACACGTGTGCACAGTCCAAGGTTGTGACGGGTTCGTGGGACGGGTTGATCAAGCTCTGGGTACGTCACCTCCGCTGCATTCCCGCTGAACAGAAGCGATACTGACTTTTGTCTGCAAACGTGCAGGACTGATGCCATTGTGCTTGCCATATGGACCGCATGCCGTGTATCCTATTCACCTGCTTGTAGACGTGTACATTAATATCCCTATCGGCGACGACGCGGGCTCGACGATTCGCAGCCACCCACACACGAAACCCATATGTATGGCCTGCGCCGCTTCTTCGCACCTTGACCGCGCGCGTCGCTTCGTTTCATCCCGTAATATCCCCCGGCACTCCGAGGACATCCTTTCTGCACCCTCGACTTACGCAAGAGAAGACGCGGGCGCGAAAAAAAAAGAAGTCCGCAGGGATGCGCGCCCTCCGTCGCAGCGGAAGCTCTCGGGCAGACAGGTGCTTTTCCACATGACGTGAGTGCTCGGTCATGCTCCGCCGTCGTCCACAAACTCGGCGCGCCCGTGCTCCAGCGTCCCGGGAAACCCGGTCTAGGGCCCTCGGATCCCGTCGCCTCGACGTCTGCGCAGAAGTGTGCGGCCGGCAGTGTGGCTGTGGGACGTCCGGACTCCAGCTCGTATCGTCCCCGTCCGCGCCAGCCCTCGGTCTCGTGAGCCCCGCACGCGATATGCGATAACGCTCGACCTGCGCCGTGCGGCGCGCCATCAGCGACGATTGCATCTGGCCGTCTCGAAAGCGAGCATTTAGATTATCATTAATTCCGTCTGGAGCTCGAGGCCGGGGGCCGAGGCAGGTTCGTGCTGTCACTAGTGGTCTCCATCTCCCCCCTTGTCACGCTCGAGTGCCGGCCGCGCCACCCGGAAGAAAAGAGGCCAACCCCCTGCGGTCGCGGGAGGGCCCTGGGAGTTCGTGCCGGACGATGGTGGCGCGGGTGTTCAGAGGAGGCGGGAGCCGTGGCGGTAGTTATTATACTCCGCGGCGTGGATGCTGCCGCCTGCGAAGCTCGGATGATCGGCGTGCTCTTGTACTGAGTACTACTACCAGCTCGGTTGTGAGGTGCGGTTTGGAAAGGATGCAGCGCGCGGTTTGGCGGAGGATCGGAGGTGTCTTGATCTTTGCCTTGACCGTCCTCGGCGGCGATAGACCTGGCGAGTTATGAGGACGCGGAGCAGAACGAGCGTGCGGTATACTAGCGTCCGCCGTGGTTGCCTTCTGATCGCGCTTTTGTGGGCTCGTTCCGACGTCTGTCAACCAGATCAGACCCGGTTCTACGCGCCCAGGGGCCAACGGTGAGCAGTGAAGTCTTGAGCAGTGGGCGTTGGAATACAAGACGCCACCTTCCGCTGCCCGCGCGTTTTTATTTCTGTGAGCTGGGAGGAGATCGCGCGGCGACCAGGATCGAAGGCCCTGAACGATCGGCGCAAGCGAGGAGCTCCTAACCACACCGATCTGCCCGACGCTCCGCCCTCCTCGGATGCACGATCGGGAGGTGATATGGCGACAACATACGAACACCGTTGGGGCGCGTTGGAGCCCGTCTCGTCGCTTGCGCATGCATGAAAGCGGGGGTGGGCGGCGGCGCGATGCCCGGGACGGTCTTCAAGCTTCAAGCTTCAAGGGCAAGGGTGGACGCCGTCTGTGCGAGACGACGGGATCGTCTCTCGTGCGAGCGTCCGCCGCCACCGCCGAGCGTGCCGGGGGGCAGACGTGGATGACGTCGGGTGGCGGGCGGACAGGCGAGGGCCTCCGCTGCCGTACGAGAGCAAGACATGAGGCCGTCGAAGGCCTGGAGGCGTCGCGGGGCAGCGGGACTGCAGCCAGGCCTGAAGGCCTGACGCGCCGCATGCCAGCGATCGACGGGCAGGACAGGGCATCGATCGCCAGGGCAAGCGGGAGATAACCCCTGTGCTGAGGTGCCTCGGAGTCGGGTACACGATCGCGAGGCGCGCGGAGTGCCCCGTGCAACGTTCTTCTGCGGTCCGAGCCCGAGCCACATACGAGAGAGACGATAAACGAGAGTTTGGCGACAGCGCACCAGGAGGTGGTGTGATGTGCATCAGTGCGTCAATTGTCAAATTGAAGCCGGGCTCGGCGCGGATGGGGCTTCTGACAAGTGTTCAGGTCTCAGAAGGCGGCTGAGCTTGTAATAGGTCACCGGGCACTAGCACCAGGTCTTCTTGGGCGCGGGGCGGGGCGGGGAAGAGGCTTCGAGGGTTCGCACAGGGACCACTGAGGGATCATCTGCGGGAGATGCTGACATCCGTCTGTTTCCGCGCGAGGGCACGTCTGCGGAGGTCCGCAGCGCGCTCGGGTGGGATCTGCATGCGGTCATAGGCTGTGGCTCGGGTCGCGCGTGTGGTGAGGCCGAATCATCAACTAGTGGCGAATTGTCGGCGGGCGGTCGCTCCGTCGACTTCGTCTCTCCGTTCGCAAAGTTCACGACGCGGCCAGGTCGGCGTTCTTCAGTGTGCGCGTGCACGAGCAGCCGCCGTTGAGTTCATCGCGGAGGACCACATGTACACGGTCGTGCGTGGATGCTCCCTTCGCCGCCGCGGGCACGCCTACAGATCCAGAAACACGGCTCTATGAGGATGTGCGCGCGCGAAGAGCAAGATAAAAGCATTCGGACATACCTACAACGCTTCGCGGGTTCTAGGCGCACCCTGCGATGAGCAACAGTAGTCTGATCGGACGGGCCCGAGCGGGGACGGCCATGGCGCGCTTGATGATTGGCGGCGGAGAGGACAAGGCCGCCGAGCCTGGAGGAGCGCGAGGACCTAGGAGGACCTCTTGCTAGCTCTTGCTCCGCCCGCTGGTTCGGGGCAATCAGACTAAGGGCGGTGCCTTGAAACGGGAGGACGGAGAACAACAGGGCCTGAGGGACCTGTCCCAGAAGGAGGACGGTTGCCCAAGCACCAGAATAGATGAACGTTGACGTTCAAAACGGGTCGAGTTGCGCATTGACTTGAGTGAGGGCAGCGGCATAGCGACGAACAGGCCGGTTTGTCTTTCCGTGCTGATGACATCCGGATCGCACCCAGAGCGGGAGTGCAACTGACAGAGTTTGGCCCGATTGCGCGTGCTGAGCTATGCCGGAATGAGCAGACAGGAGGCTGCGCACACGATGACGGTCGCCCAGGAACGGACGGAGTGGAGGTGTCGGCAATTTTTGAGCGCCAAGAGCAGCAGGCGCCGGGAGCAAAGTAGAGTTGCATTGGCAAACGGCTGTCACGCTCGCCTCCGAGATGCGGACGTCGCGATCGGCGGACGCTGCCCGGACAGGGCGCCGACCCATGCCGAGCATGACCTAGCGGCCGCACCGCGCCAGGTGTGTGCAGGGGTGATGTCCGGGCTCAAAGCCGACCAGGTTCCATATTCTGGCACGAATGCTCGTGGCCAGGTCCATGCACCTGGAGGAGACACGAGCGATGTCACAAATGCACCTCGAGCTCGCGACATAGACAGGCACAGTGCCCCAGATCATCGGGCTCGAGCGCGTTGCGGTTGGACGATGGGCGCGCGCGCTGACCGCGCTGCCCAGCCGCGGACCCGCGAGCGACGCGCGATGGTGGCGGCCAATGGGCGGCCAGGATTCGGCACAAACGCTCGCCCAGACCGGACCGCACCGTGTGCCTGACACGCGGTCACAGTGACGGTCCTCTGATCCCATCCACGTGCCTCTGGCCTTGGCCACCCGGGGCGTCATAAATGTCCCGCTCAGTCCGCTTTATCTTTACCAACCCCCGCTAACCCCTACCCGCCCTCCTCCCGCCGGCAACACTCATCCACCATGCGCTTCTCCCTCGCGTCTTCTCTCTCGCCGCTCTCGTCGCCTCGCCTCTGCTGCCCCCGTAAGTTTTTTTCCGTCAACCTCCATCGTCACGCCCTTCTGACCTCCCTCCCATAGGTCGACGTCGTACGTATCTTCTGCTAAGCCGTCACCTTCCTCGTTCCAACCGCGTCTGTTATAGGAGGGTCGCAGCAGCCCTGGCGGCGGCCAGCAGCCAAGCTACAAGCGCTCATGCCCCAACGGCAGCACAGGCTGTCCCGACAACCGCGCTATTGTCGAGGTCCGTCCGCACGTCTGGTCGTGACCTTCAACGTCCAACACCTCTCCACAGCGCTGCACTGGTGCTGCTGCCCACTGCCCCTCATACTAAATCCCGATGTCTCGATGTCTACCTCTGTCACTCCCCTCTTGATTGAGGATTGTTGTTGCGGTATCCCCTCGTCGGTGCGTCATTTCACCTTCTGCATGTCGATACGACGGCTCATGTCGCCCAGTCTTCCCCTCCCACTTTCATCCTGGTCTGAAGGTCCTGTAGCTCATGCCCTGCACACGGAAGGTCGGCCCCTACGGTGCTTATATTCTTCCTTCCGCTGTCGCGTCCCCTCCTTGTCGCTTTGCTTGAATTATTCTACTCGATTAATTGCGCCCTCTGTATCATATGTACATCAAGCCCTCCAACATACATCTCGCATTGGACTGCAGTCCTCGTCGCGTGTTTGAATTCTAATGCCATGAGACGGGTCACGGCCTCCACTACAACCCTTTGCCTCGGATGGATTCAGGTACATCATGTCAGGCGACCTCTTCGATAGATAGATAAGTATAGAGCTTGGATTGAGTTGGAGTACTTTTGGAGCGGACTGTACGGAGAAGAAGCGTCGACGCGGAGCAACAGTGCCATACATCACGTGCAAGCTTCAGGGCAGGCCGTTACGCGGCTGGTCGCGTCAAATGAGGGAGTCGCGTCTTTTGGTCCCATCGGTACCACCACTCTCGCCTCTCGCCTCCCATTCGCCACCATGTCTCTCCTCGATGAACCAGTGCCGGAAGATGAGGTGATGAAGGAGCGGGCGCGTATTTTCGAGGAATTCTGGACGCCGTCACCGACGAGTACAGCTATGGCGAAAACATCGGCCAGATGCTCCGCAACGACGAACACCGGTTGATCGTCAACGTCGACGACCTCCGGGACTACAACGCGCCTTCGCGGATGGCCTCCTCAAGCAGCCCGTGGAGTACCTCCCCGCGCTGGAGACCGCGCTCGTCGAAGTCGTCAACCGCGTCCACGACAAGGACAAGCACGAGATCGAGGGCAAAACCTACCGCGTCGGCCTCAGCGGCTCCTTCGGCGACCACCACGTTAGCCCGCGCAACCTCCGCGCCGCACAGCTCGGCCGGATGATCTCGCTCGAAGGTATCATCACCCGGTGCTCGCTCGTCCGGCCGAAGATGGTGCGGTCCATCCACTTCTGCGCCGAGACCGGCCTGCACCACTCGCGCGAGTACCGCGACGCGGCGACGTCGACCTCAAACCTGCCGCCCACGTCGTCCATCACGCCGCAGAAGGACGACGAGGGCCACCTGCTCGAGATGGAGTACGGCTTCTGCGAGTTCCGCGACCAGCAGAGGATCAGCATCCAGGAGATGCCGGAGCGCTCGCCCGCGGGGCAGCTCCCCCGGAGCACGGACGTCATCCTCGACGGCGACCTGGTGGACAAGTGCAAGCCTGGGGACCGGATACAGCTCGTCGGCGTGTACCGCAGCGTCGGTGGCGGCGCGAGCGGCTCTTTCAAGTGAGTGTTACCCATTGTCTTATTCGTGCGTTTCGTCTCCGACGTTCGCTCCGGGCACGTTCGGAGGTTTGCCGGTATCTGCAGCGTGTTGCCCGCGTGGAGGATGAGATATTCGCGTCAGGCGGGTCTAGATATTGCTGGGAAGCCCGGTTGTCGCTCGGGTCTTGCGCGATCGCACTAGCCACCCTCGAAGTTTCCTAGCGCATGACTGCGGCGAGGCTGTATTGCGTCGGTCACACGCAGTCAATCGTCTTTTAGTCATGGATACTATAACGCAGTGCGAGACGCGTTGATCTCGTCAGCTAGATTGTTTGTCGCGGCACTGGCCATGTCACAGCAGAGTTCTCGTCCAACGTTTCATGCTCATCATGCTATTCCAGATCCCTAATCCTGGCCAACAACATCAACCTGCTGTCGTCCAAAGTTGGCGGCGGCATTGCACAGACGCCTATCACCGACTGGGACATCCGGCAGATCAACCAGCTCGCGAAACGCTCCGGGATCTTCAACCTGCTTTCGCAGTCCCTCGCGCCATCCATCTACGGCCACGACAAGATCAAGGAAGCAATTCTGCTCCTGCTCCTTGGCGGCGCGGAGAAGAACCTCCCGAACGGCACGCACATCCGCGGGGACATCAACATCCTCATGGTCGGCGACCCGTCGACGGCCAAGTCGCAGATGCTCCGCTTCGTGCTCGGCACCGCGCCCCTCGCGATCGCGACCACGGGGCGCGGCTCGTCGGGCGTCGGTCTCACCGCGGCGGTGACCACGGACAAGGACACGGGCGAGCGGCGGCTCGAGGCGGGCGCGATGGTCCTCGCGGACCGCGGCGTGGTGTGCATCGACGAGTTCGACAAGATGTCGGACATCGACCGGGTCGCGATCCACGAGGTCATGGAGCAGCAAACGGTCACGATCGCCAAGGCCGGCATCCACACCACGCTCAATGCCCGCTGCAGCGTCGTCGCCGCCGCGAACCCGATCTACGGCCAGGTGCGTCCCCCTCCTCCGCCCGCAGAGCCCGTCGACGTCCGCCTGACCCGCGTGCGCCCGCGCCCGTCCCCGCGGCGCGCAGTACGACGTGCACAAGGACCCGCACAAGAACATCGCGCTCCCGGACTCGCTCCTCTCGCGTTTCGACCTGCTCTTCGTCGTCACCGACGACGTCGACGAGACGCGCGACCGGATGATCGCGGACCACGTCCTCCGCATGCACCGCTACCTGCCCCCGGCGTCGAGGAGGGCACGCCCGTCGCGGACTCGCTCGCGCAGCCGCTCGCGGTCGACGGCCCGCGCGGCGCCGCGGGGGACGAGGACGAGCGGGAGCCGTCCCCGTTCGAGAAGTTCGACCCGCTGCTGCACGTCGGCGTCGGCGCGGCGCACCGCGGCGCGCGGCGGAGCGGGCGCGCGAAGAAGCCGGAGATCCTGAGCATCGCGTTCGTGAAGAAGTACGTGCAGTACGCGAAGAGCAAGCCCGCGCCGAAGCTCACCCAGGGCGCGGCGAACCACATCGTGAACGTGTACGCGACGCTCAGGAACGAGGACCTCGACGGGACGCGCAAGAAGCGGGTGCGTGGTGTGGGCGCGGGCGGAGACATCTGACTGTCGAACTGACCATCAGGGCACGCACGCACACAGACTTCGCCGCTGACAGCGCGTACTCTCGAGACGCTCATTCGGCTGGCGACGGCGCACGCGAAGGCGAGGCTGTCGACGGAGGTGAAGGCGACGGACGCGAAGGTCGCGGAGGAGATCCTGCGCTTCGCGCTCTTCAAAGAGGTCCTCCGCCGGCAGCGCCGGAAGAAGCGCAAACTGAACAGCGGCGGGGTCGACGCGGTCGGCGACGAGGACGACGAAGACGGCGAGGAGGGCAGCGACAGCGACGAGGAGGAAGAGGAGGTCGAGGCCGCCGCGACCAAGCGCATGGACATGCCGAAGGGCAAGGGCGTGTCGCCGGCTCCGGCGCCGATCGCAGACGCGGACGCGGGCATGGACGTCGACGACGCGGCGGGGACGCGAACGCGCCCGCGGGACAGTTCGACGGGACGCTCCGTCCGGAACGGTGCGTGTGTAGGGCTCGTTCGGGCGGGAGGGCGACGCTGACGGGCTCGGGCTGCGACGCAGGCTTGCGCTCTGGCGGCGGCGCGTGGCGGAGATCTGGCGCGACGCGCTGCGGGACGAAGACTCGGTATACCTCTCCACGCTCCTGCCGATGGTGAACGAGGGCTTGGCGGACGCCGCGCTGTTTGGGACCGCGGAGGCCACCAAGGCGTGCGACGTTATGACGGCGGACAGCGAGCTCATGCTCAGCGATGGTGTCGTGTACAGGATCTGAGCAGAGAGAAGCCTTGTGTTGTGAGTCTAGTCGAAGTCTGTAATTGCTGTGTCTTGCTTTCATATCCTCTCCAGACTTGCATGTACCAATCATGTATTGTAGACATTATATCTCTCTCCTTGACCTCAGCTGCACCCGCGTCCGTCATGTTGCCCAGCGTGATCAAAGTCCGTCAGAACGGCGGGCCGACCTCGCATGCGCATCTTGGCGAAAGGTGAGTCTGATGCGGTCCCCCAGTACTGCTACAGAGAGCGGACTCATGACCAACGCTCCAGGTGGACACACGCTCAGCTGACCTCACCGGGCGGGGAGCATATATGGGACTTCACGCGCTCCCCGCACGGCCCCATCTCAGCCGAAGCCGCAGCCCAAGTTCTGCCGCGATGATTAACCGCTCCCGGATCTCGCTCCTGGGCTTCTTGCTCGCAGCGTCCGCGGCGCGCGCTCAAGCCAAACCTCGAGGCCTCTGGCAGACGAACGGCACGTACATCAATAACGCGACCGTCGTCGCCGCGGATCCCTACGTGCGCTGGGACGCGTCGACCGGCTCGTACTGGGCGTACAGCACCGAAGGCGCGGACGACGGTGGTATTATGGGATCTATACCTCGCCGGACTTGAGCACGTGGAGCAAGATCCCAGGGGGTGCGATCAAGAACGACTCGAAGAACGTCTGGGCGGAGGATTGGTGGTGGGCACCAGAGTGCTATTACAATGTGGGTGTTTGGCTTGTTGAGTTCAGATGGAACGCTCATCGTTCTACACGGATATAGGAGAAGACAGGATGGTACTTTTTGTTCCATGCCGGCCGGTATCTCAACTCTACCAAAATCGCAGAGTACTTCAAGTATGCAACCTGATCTTCACTAGAAATGCTCTCAAACAATCTATTCAGGTACCCAGACTTTGAAGAAGCCTCGAAAATCGGCGTCGCAGTGTCCCGCTCCCCAGCAGGCCCCTTCGCTTCCGTGGCCGACCGGCCCATCGACTACTACCCCTTCGACCCGACCTACCACGACGTTAACCTGCTCATGTCCCCGCCCTACCTCACCCCTCCCGCGACGCTCGCGGAGGGCGAGACAGCCCCGTTCGGAACCTACATTCCCTCCATCGACCCGAACGTGTTCTTCGAGGACGACGGCTCGATCTGGCTCTTCTTCTCCCGCAACGCGTACCGCAACTGGGTCTGGAGCGCCCCGCTCGGCAAGTACATCGAGGAGAGCAACATCTACGCCGTCCGGCTCGACGACGCGTGGTGGCACGACCCGCACGCCCGCACGCCCCCGCCGTGCACGCGTCGTTCCGCGACGTGCACGGGGGCGAGCCGGCGGGGTGGGTGCAGAGCGTGAACGCGAGTCTCCCCGGGCCGACGCGCAAGGACGGGTGGGTGCCCGTCATCGCGTACGCGACGCAGCCGCAGGTGTGGGAGGACGCGCATGTGGACGACCACGCGGCGAGCGCGGGCACGCTCAAGGACCGGCGGTGGGCGGAGGGGTCGACGACGGTGAAGCGGCACACGTCCGAGGGCGATGCGGTCTATTTCTTGACGTACAGCGCGAACAAGTGCGTGGGCTCGAGGTCTATACGTGGGAGACGCAGTGCTGACCTGCGCTCCCTATGCAGCTACCAATCGCCCGACTACGGCGTCGGGTACGCGTTCGCGACCTCCGTCACGGGCCCGTACTACAAGAGCGGCTCGAACCCGGTCCTCTCCCAGGACGCGTCTCGTCAGTTCTGCTCCTCTCAACCCGCATACACGGGCAGCTTACCGATGGCCTCTTGTCGCAGACTCGGTCTACTCCACGGGCCACGGGTCCATCGTCGCCTCGAGCGCGAACCCGAACGAGCCTTCTACCCGCACCACGCGCGCCCCTCGCCCGCGGACGACCGCTGCCTCTACACCGCCCGGCTCTTCATCGAGCCCGACGCGCTCTACCTCGGCTTCGGGCCCGACGCGGGGGATCTGCGCCTCCCGTCTGGGGTCGTTCCGCTCACCCTGGCCGCGAAACCCGTCGCGAACGGTTCCAGCGCCGGGGTGCGGGAGTTCGAGGTCACATTGAAGAGCGCGACCGGGGCGGCGTTCGACTTGGGGAGCCCGCTGGGCCGCGTGAGAGCAGAGGTCGTGCAGGGCGGCGGGAACGTCACCGCTCGGATGGCGAACGGCAGCACGCTCGTTGTCAGCGGCGGGAGCGGGGCTCAGGTCAGGCTTGTGTACGAGCGCGCGCGCTCAAACGTGACGGCGCCGTGGCTTGCGGTATCGCAATCTCGAATAGGAGGGGATGTTGAGGTCGTCGAGACGACGTGATGTATGACATTACACGTGGTGCTAGTGTACAACAACTTTCTGAGAAGAACTTCGGACATGGCTGCAAGGAGAGAGGACATGAGTGCGGGTGGACGGGTGGCCAGATCACGAAGTAGGAGGTCGGAGGTCAGGTGTGGAGGAATCATGGGCAGCTACGAGCCGAATGCTTGGGCTAGGGTAGACGTGAAGACCGGAAAGAGTGTGTCCAGGAACTGAACCAGTCCAAGGATTTGGCGGCTGGACTTCAGGGTGCCTGTAATGCCAACAGAAGGCTTGACAGAATGCCCTGCTGCAGTATCGTGGCGAGAACCGGCGAGGGCACCAGGAGACACAGGGTGAGATGGAAACTGAGATGGAAACTGCGAGGATGCCGATAAGGAACCAGGTTTGATGTCGCCAGGGGTCTTGTCACGACTGAATGCACTAGAAAGGACTGAAGCGACCGTTTTCGCAGCCGACGCAGTTGAATCAGAGGGGATTTGCGGGTTCGCTCCGGAAAAGCTTCGACGCCACGCGTTAGCAGCCGGGCGCTGGCTTGGCGTGGACTATCGACATCAAAAGTCAGTGGACATGAGTGCTGCCAAAACCGGCTGTATGCGCACCTTCCTCGGACCAGATCCAAGGTGGATTGCAGGATGGTCCGCAAGACGATCTTTGACATCGCTTAAACCCTCTGTCCAGCGAACACGGTAGCCCGGAGTGGTCGTGGTCGGAGTAGCGCGGGCAAAACAGCTAGGGGAGAGTGTGGATCTCTTGAGGATCGTGCGAGGGATGGCTGGCTGTCTGGCGACGGGAGTCGTAGAACGTGAGGTTTTGTCGCGTTGAGCAGGGCTGGGGAGCAACTTGATGATCTTGAGGGGCGGCCCAGGTTTTGCGGGGCGTTTGAGCAGAATCGACGCCTTCTTCCCATTCTGCTCGATGTGAAAGTAGGCGTCCCGACGAGATGGTTGTTTAGACACAGGGCGACGTCGTGGAGCTTGGGACAAAGATGTAGACGGAGTAGTGCAACTAGGAGCGCAGGGCTTGATGGCCTGGGATGGTCTGGCCTTGCTGCTTCGGAGGAAAGACCAGTCTTTTCGATTCTTGGATGTCCTCGGACGGAGTTGGCGCATGTTGTGAGGGGAGGAAATGAGTGGAAGGGCGAGCGGACCGAGTCGAGGATGGATGATCGAGATGATGCGCGCGCTAGAATGACGCGTCAATCACATGCGACCCTCAGCTTGCAATTGTGGCCGGAGCTCACAACGCGCGAGTCTCTCTCAGACCCGTCCTCAGGCCTCATTCCTCCCCTTACCTTCTCTCGACGCCCCCGCCCGATGTGCATTTGATGGCCGTGCAGTCTACCCTCAGGCCATCCAAAGAGCGCATCACCCAGCTCGTCCAAGCATACGCCCGCCACCGTCCCATCGTCCAACGCGTCCTCACCGCCGGCTTCGTCGTTTACTGCATCACCTCAACTTATAGAGGTCTCGCTGCGCGCCCCGCCTCTTCTTCTTCCAAGCGCAGGGGAAAGGGAAAGGATGATGGTGGCTCTGCTAAACCAAGGGTCGCGGTGAGTGTTGATTTTCTACACGCAGGTTGAGCGCGAAGTCCCTCATCCGCTTCCCATCCGCTCCAGGTGGACGCGGTCTTCTACCAGAGGCTGTCGCGCATATTGCGCATAGTCATACCCAGCTTGCGGTCCAAAGAGGCCCTGCTGTTGTTCATGCACTCCAGCCTGCTCATCTTTCGCACCGTGATCTCGCTGTATGTGGCAGCCCTGGATGGAAAGTAGGTCTCCTTTGCGTCGAATGTGTTTCATGTCTGATGTGTGCTAGGATCGTTGCCTCCCTTGTGCGCGCGCAGCCCGTTTCGTTCCTACTGAACATTCTGCGCTGGCTGCTTGTGGCCATCCCCGCAACATGGACCAACAGCTGGCTCAGCTATGTTCAAAACAAGCTGGCACTGGCTTACCGCACGCGTCTCACGCAGGAAGTCATGAGGCAATACCTGGGTGATGAACACGATCCCTCAGACCTGAAAGTGTTCTACAAACTTGGTGCGCTCCCCCTCCAGCCGCTCCGCGCCCGCCCTGACGCATCACCACAGCCAACCTGGATGACCGTATAAAGAACCCTGATCAGTATGTTTGGAGTCTCATTCGATCGACGGTGGTCCTGATGCAACGTCCTCAGGATGATTACGCATGATATTCAACGCTTCTCCACACATCTTGCCGCAATATACGCCAATGTCGCGAAGCCTGTGCTTGACGTCATCCTATACAACTACCAGCTCTCCCAGAACGTCGGAGCAGAGGGGTTGGTCATCCTCACAGTACTTGTTCAGGCGTCTGCTGCCCTCCGTAAGCCCTATGCGGTGTCATCATTTTCTACCGTCATTGATGCCATTTTCTTTCAGTCCGCGCACTTACTCCACCCTTTGGACAATACACGGCCACGACGGCACAACTCGCCGGCAATCTTCGACACACGCACTCTCGTATTGCTGAATTTGCTGAAGAGATTGCTTTCTTCGGCGGCGAGGGACCGAGAAGATGCTTGCCGAGCGCGAGTTCGCAGCAAAAATGGGGCATGAACATCGAGTGCTGCGGAAGCGATGGTGGCATGGCTGTGCTGAAGAGGGCATCGTAAAATGGCTGTGGGGAAGCTTTGGCGTACGTATGTCACTATCAACTTGCGGAACGGGAACGGCTCATTCTGGTCGAACAGTTGTGTATCTGCGCTATTCCCGTGTTTTTCAAGCTCCCGGGTGTTGCTGCGCTTGATATGGGCGGTCGCACAGAAGGTGACACTTTAGAGTACCTCGAACGAGCTGGTCTGACGTCCCCTTTCGTCCAGGCTTCGTTACGAACAGACGTCTTCTTCTATCTGCCTCTGGTATGTCTGCATGCATTTCAATCAACGTCTTTTACTTATTCCTGTCCAGACGCGTTTGGCCGTGTGATGTACTCCTACAAGGATCTCTCTGAGCTCGCCGGATATACTTCGCGCGTCGCTCTGCTACTGGAGACCATGGAAGACGTGCGCAAGAGCAAGTTCGATAAGGCTCTGGTGAGTAGCGCGAGCATCGAAGAGAACGCCAAGAGTATGTCCATGCATTTCTTCTCCACCACTGATAACTAAAATATCTGTTGTAGTTCTCAAAGGACGCGGTGTCGTTGAACTCTCTGAAGAGATTCAATTCGAGAACGTCCCTATCGTCACCCCCAACGGTGACATCCTCGTGAAAAGCCTCAGTTTCTATGTCAAACCTGGAGTATGTCTGATGTATATCCATGCGTTGCAACTCCATGGCTATTTTTGTAACAGCAACATCTTCTGATCGTTGGTCCCAACGGCTGTGGGAAATCGTCACTCTTCCGAATACTGGGCGGCCTATGGCCTGTGTACGGGGGGACCGTTCGGAAACCGCCTGCGGATGAGTTTATCCTCATCCCCAACGGCCATACCTCTCTCTTGGCACACTTCGGGATCAAGTCATCTACCCCCACAGCAAGGAGGATATGGAAACTCGTACGTCGGGTGTTTCATGAAAACCCTGACGGCGTTTCATCGACGATTGAACAGGGGGCATCACCGACGACGACCTGCTCGAGATCCTTGCCCTTGTGCAGATGGAGCACATCGTCGAGCGCGAGGGTGGATGGGACGTTGCACGTGAATGGCGTGACGCTCTCAGCGGTGGTGACCAGCAGAAGATAGCGTGGGCCCGATTGTTCTATCACAAGCCCAAGGTGCGTATCTTATCTCCTAGCCTACCACCTACTTCTGATGAGTCGCTGCACAGTACGCCGTGCTTGATGAGGCGACCTCTCTTGTCCCCCTGACATGGAGGGCATGATGATGGATCACGCGACGCGGCTGGGAATCACACTGCTTACCGTCTCACATCGTCCGTCCCTCTGGAAGTATCATTCCATGATCCTTCAGTACGACGGACAGGGCGGATACGTATTGTGCATCTGCTTATCATCTGACATTGTCCCGCCTGCTCATCAATACCTCTTGCAGTACGAAACTCGACGCGGAAAAGCGACTTGCATTCCAGCAGAGAAAGAGGCGCTCGACTTGAAGTTGCTGGAAGTGTAAGCCGTGATAGTCCTTGTTTGCATTGCGAGCATGCGCTGACATTTTCGGCGACTTTATCAGACCGAAGATGAAGGTGCGGCTTGCGGAATTGCAAGAGCTATCTGCATTACGGACCCGAGTGTAATGCATCCTCCGTACGCGCGTTGGCCGTTCGGTTTATTGTTATCACGGACCTCCTCCGCCCAATCTTGTAATGTATCATCTACAGGATATATGTATATCTACCCGGACCGTGCTATCTTCTGCGTTTGACCTGGTCGTGTGAGCAGCTTGAGGGCGCTTTTGTCTTGCTGCGTGTGGCGAGCGGAGGCATTCGCGCCACCACCGCCATCGCGGCGCTGGTGTATGATCGGCATCGTTACGAGTTGGACGGTACTTTGTTTGAGGGCCCTACTAGGAAAACTATCAGGAACCTACCCAGGCCGCCAGCCGCCGATGGAATGGTGTGTGACAAGAGCAGAATAATATTACGGGCCTAACAAGATTACTGCAGTGAGCACGCAGCAAGCAAGGGAAGATCCTTGTCGTTCCTGGAGGAGGATCATGGGTTGGACGAGCCAGTGCGGGGGAGCGCCACGGACCTTCGCGGGCCGACACCACGATGAGACCTTTTGCGGGGCGCGCCAATCGGATTGGAGCATTTCGGGTGGACTCGGAATTTTTTATCACGCTCCAGTCTCACGGGCGCTGATTGGCGGCCGCTCGCCACGACGGCCTGTGTCGCTCCGCCTCTCGTGTGCCCGTCTCGGCGTTTGCGACTCTTTCTCCACTCCCGTCTCTCGCCCCTCGGTATCTTATATTCGCATAGACCCCCGCACGTCCGCGTGGTTCCGCCTAGAAGTCTCGTCTCTCTCCAATCCACGATGCACTACTTCTCGCAGCTCTTCAACTACGAGTGAGCATTCTCTTGGGCGTGTGATCCGTCTCCGCTTGCTGACTACTTGCTTGTCTGCTCTCTTTCCCTCGCCTACCCCGCAAACCCTTGTAGTCACCCGTGGTCGCACGTCGTCATTGGCATCTGGCACAAGTATCCGAATCAACACTGCAGCCATGTGCTCAGCATAGACGTCGTCGACCGCTCCGTCAACCCACAAACGGGCATTATCCGCACGGAACGGATAATGGGCTGCAAGCAAAAGACACCAACTTGGATTGTGAAGGCAAGCCTACCTTCTCATCCCCTTGTCGCCGTCGCGGTGTCTGACGATTGTCTTCGCTGCCAACTGCCATCATCCCTGCTGTCGTCCCCCATTACCCCCCTCACGCTGCGTCTCGCAGTTCTTCGGCGGCTCCGAAGACGCGTTCGTGCGGGAAGTCTCATTCATCGACCCCGCAACGCAAACAGCGACGATCACGTCCGTCAACCTCTCGCTCTCGCAATTCGCGACGTGCAACGAAAGCATCCGCTATCAGCCCGCGCCAGGGAACAAGACTGCGTTCGTTCAGACGGCTGAGATCCAGGCCCGGATGGCGCTCTGGCGGTCTGCAGCGGACAGGCTGGAGAACTGGCTCGTGCAACGGTTCGAGCAGAACGCACAGCTGGGCAAGGCCGGCTTCTCGGACGTCCTCCGCCAGCTTTGGGAGCCTCGAGGGGAGCAGCGGCAGGCATAGGCCTGTGTGTCTTGGGATTCCGTTCGTCTTTTCTTTATCCCCCGGCCGTCTCCCCTTGGGACATTCGCTGGCTCCCTATAGTTATTGGCTCCCTAGAAGTCCCGCGCTCTGTTCCCTCGCTCTCTCATCGCTCACTTTGCGGCTCCCATAGACGGGTTCGAGGAAGTTTATCATTAGTAGAAATATCCGTCGCATCTACCAACACACCACTGCAGCTCAAAAGCGTCCGGCATGACGCCTGACGACATCATTACGATACACTCATTGTATTCTATCCCCGCACCCCCTCACGACACTCCTCCCTCTACCCCCGCACCTCTCCGACGTCAGCCCTCCCACCCTCTTCTTCCGGATAATCGTGTCCGCTTCCCGCTTGTTCGCGGATACTGTACGTCCGCTATGCGCCCGTAATACTATCTGCACCAGGCGATATAGTCCTGTATATAACTCACAGTGTGCCTTAATTTGTGCTGTTGGCTCAAGTGCCTGTCCACAAAAAGATCCAAAAAATTGATGCTCACACGAGCGACGTAGCGCGAGCTTGCTGCCCCGGGGTATGCCGGAACTCCCAAATTAGGAAAGCTGGCGCAGTGGCGTAATCGCAAGACGCACCGTCCTCGTCATCCTGTCCCAGCACACTCTCCAGTCTCTCCCTCCATCCACACCAGTACACGAAGAGCCAGTGTAAAGAAAGATAGCATACATTCACTAGATAACAAGATCAACACTGGGCTCGGCCCCTATTCATTCCAAGACGCGAAAGGAGGGATGGATGAACTCATCCGCCACTGCCTTCGCGAGCTCTCCTTCGACGGCGATCTAGGTGAGTGCGCGCAATTTTCGGTGATCACGTCGCTCGACGCGTTAGTTCGCGACGCGGGTCGGCGAGGTTCGTGCGACCGCGACACGCTCGGCGTGGGGTTCGAACCCTTATCGTACCACCCGTTTTACGCGCATATATCCACCTTCCATCTCCATCCTCACTTAACCCGTACCGCTCGCATGCTGACCCGACGCATTCGGTACAGGCTGCGACGCCTCGCGCCTCCACGACTTCATCCTCGACTTCTACACCCATCAGGCCCACGAGCAGGAACAGGAGCACGCCGCCCAGGGGCCGGCCTCCGGCCTCCCCGCGCAGACGATTGACGACGCGTTCTGCGCGTTCGTCTGGGCCGTCATCGTGCTCCAGCCTGGCGTGCGCGTCGGGACGGTCCCCGTGGGCGGCTCGACTGAGGTCTACATTGCCCCGCAGGCGAGCGCGGTGCGCAAGGCCAAGGCTAAGGGCGGCGAAGATGCGCCTGCGCCTGCGCCCGCGGCGGGTTTGGACATCATCGAAGACGCGACCGTGCGACCATTTGAGGAGCTGTGGGAGGCGTATGAGGATAAGCTGAGGATTGCGGTCGACCCCGAGACGACGTTCTTTGCGTTGACTGGGTCCCATGTGAGGGTAGGCGATTCATCTGATGCGTTTGCTTTATAGTAAGGTGGCTCATAACTTGCTTTGGACAGCCGTCGAAGTTGACTCCTATGATATACACGGGCCTGCAGATGATTACTCGTGGAAGGGACCAAGGTATCAGCGTTGTAGAACTTGGGCGAAAGTCCGGCTACGATCAGAAGACATGCTTCTACATCATCAAACAGCTCGTTGAGCTCGATCTGGTGTACGTGCCTCTGATTCTTCTCCACTCGTCGCGTTTATTGACGTCCAATGCAGTGTCAAGCTCAGGCAGCCAGGAGTCAGCGGCAACATCTGCGTGCACAAATACTTCTACGAGCGTAGCCCAGTCTGGCAGCAAGTCGTCGCGGAAGAGAAAGAGGCCGTCTCGAAGGCGCAGGTTGACGGCGGTGATTCGGAAGAAGAGGACGAAGCCGATGAGACGAAGCCGCTTACCAATGTGCACTTTGACCCCATCGACTCCCGCCACCTGTCGAGCCTGCCTGTGCTTAAGGCGCGTCTGATGAAGCTGTTGAAGAACTGCCCGCATCAGATGCACACGTCGACCAACCTGATGATTAAGATTGTGAGTCTATGGTGATCTCGAGAACATAGATGCAGAAGGTTGACATCGCGTAGGGTTTCGTCAACCCAGTGAAAGCTGATCGCCGTTTCTTCCGCACGAGATTGCGCGAGCTGGAAGACCAAGGGTTCATCGAGAGAGTGCGAGTTGCGCATATCAACAGGAAGCGCTTCCCCGACAAGAAGATCATCTGCATCCGACTCATCTCGAGTGATGGTGAAGAGCCAGAAGGGGCTCTGGCTGCAGACGAGGATGTGGAGAGTATGTTCTCAACTCTTCTCTTCGTTCGACGGCTCGCTGAGCGATCTACCAGTGATCGAGCCTGTCGATGACACCACCGCGCCCAAGACCAACGTCTCCATCCACCGGCAAATTATCGACATCATCGCTTCGGCTGGCACCAAGGGCGTGACGCTCAACGACATCTCCGTCGCGCTCGGCGACTTCGACAAGCGCACGATTGACCTCCTCCTCAACCGGCTCGCCAAGGATGTCCCCCGCGCACCTCGCCGACCTCGCCGTCGTCCAGCTCGCGGAGACGCACGGGCGTGAGCGCCGGTACAAGTACTACACCGCCGCACACTACCGCGCGCTCGCCGAGGAGGAGCAGTTCGACGACAACGACGGGGCGGTGGTAACGGACGCTCTGCGGACGACACGGCGGCCGCGGGCGGGTTCATGCCGGTAGAGGAGGACGCATTCTACGAGGACGCGGAGGCGTTGGACGCGTACTTGCAGAGGATGACGGCGGAGAGGATGAAGGGGCCGGGGAAGAAGGAGCATATCAACCCGATCTTGCCGGACGGGTCGGTCAAGAAGGGGCGGCCACGGAAGTCGGACGTGGCGTCGGAAAAGAAGGGCAAGAAGCGGAAGCGGGATGAGGAGGAGGGAGAGGGAGTGGAGCCACCGCCTAAGAAGAAGCGCGGTCGCCCGCCAAAGGTACGACCTCCTGAAGGGGAGGCTGAGGCTGGGCCTTCAACGGCAACGCCTTCCGCACCACGCAAGAGAGGACGGCCCAGGAAACATCCTCTTCCCGAGGAGACGAACGCGGAAGCTCGACCGTCGACCGCCGTTCAAGAGAGCATTTCGCAAGCACCTGCTCCGAAACGGCGAGGTCGTCCTCCCAAGAAACGGCTAGCCGAAGTTCCTTCTGCTGAAGACGCCCCTGCCGAGGACGCCCCTGCGGCAGCTGTAAGCAACGAGCCTGGTGTCATCGTTGCTCCGGAAAACCAAGAACCTACCGACGCTGACGCAACTCCTGTTCCCCCCATCGAGCCCGCAGTTGTACCTCTGGATACGGCTGATAGTGCAAGTGTGGGCGTCCGACGGTCAGCAAGGACACTAAAAGTGCGAAAGCGCGGAGAGTCGCAATCACCCGTCCGCAAGACCCCCCGTCGCGCGTCGAGACCAACGGCAGTTACTACAGCGGAAGCCGACGTGTCGTCGAACATAGACGTCGATAGGCCTGCCGAACGGGATCCTAGGCCTGCCAAGGATGAGGCATTTGCTGCAAGTGACGCGAATAAAGTACAAGAAGTCCGCGCTGTAGTGTCGGTAGTTCAGACGGCCGAGGTTGCGGCGCCGCAGGCAGACCTCCCAGACGTCCCCATTGATCCCGCCCTCCTGGAGCTGCAGAGCATTTCACAAGCTTTGATATCCATGGTACGCCCTTGCCCCCATATCTTCATGTCTCATCCACTAAATTCCAAATAGACTCCTGAAGCAGAAATTCCAGTTGATGCACAGGATGTGTCGAAGAAGCGAGATGAGCCGGAGACGCCCTCTTCACAACCAGCAAGCAAACGTATCAAGACCGAAGGGTCGTCAAAGTTCAAGGCCAGGCAGAACCTGTCCCAGTCGCGACGAGAGAACGAGATCATGCGCATGCTGAACGAGTCCGACGGGATCATGAATACAAGTTGCAAAGAGTTCTTTGAGGCACATGCGGCACTAGTCGACACCATCACCGCAAGCGGCCAAGAGGCCAGTACTCGCCCCGGAGCTAAAATTGACAAGAGGACGCTTGACGCCACGCTGAAGGAACTGGAGACGAAAGGGAAGATCAGACTTATCACCACATCAGTGTCAACACTCACTGGAGGGACCCGCCTGGCCCGTATCATGTATCATCCGGATACCACTCAAGATGCGCTGAACGTCTTCTTGGTGACCCTCAGTCAAGACCTTCAAGTTCATCAACCTATCTCGAATGCTCCTAAGAAGACTGTAGCATTCCCCGTCCAGTATGGTGGTGCAAGTCGGCAGCGCCCTAGCAAAACTCCTTCGAACATTGTTCAAGACGTGGCTGAGGATCAACAAGAAGTCGAAGAGGTCAAGGTCGGGATTGCAAACCTTCCCCAGCTGTTCGAGAAAGACGATCAAACGATCCGAGACGCCTTGCTCATGGACAAGAACACAGTGGCACAACTCTATGGCTACATTGCCGGCAGGGCAGCCCGTGCTCGCCTCCTCCATTCACTTACAGTGGAGTTGTTCGAGAAGGACTCGCAGTCATCTCAGATCGTCTCGCACGAGCACAAGATTGTGCATCTCTCCTACTACTTCACCGACATCCCCATCGCCACCTACTGTGCCTTGATCGCAGTCGTCAGCCCTATGGAAGAACTTGAGCAGCTGCTTCAGACACCGCAAGGTTGCGAGACCCCTATGCACTCCGTCTCAGATTCTATCCGGAAACTACTCGCTCCTTCGCAGGCCAGGTCACGCACCCGCATTGTCTCCCTAATGGACATACTGCGAACCCTCGGCATCGTCACGCCTCTCGTACCGTCTGAGTCTCCCAACCCGTCGTTTACTTGCCCGAACGAAGCTCAACATCCCACTACCTTTGAATATGCGGACGCAGCTCAATACACGCCCACCGGTGCCCCATTGTTCTGGAAGTTCAATGACGCTGTACCTTTGCACCTTTGGGCCGTCGGAGAAGGCGCACCGTCGACCTGGAAGACCGTCTCTGTTGCGACCACTGAGCAAGTTGATGCGTACTGGCGCGATCTTGAGCGCGTCAGCGCGGACCCGGCCTACGCTCTGGAGCTTCTAGGCGCAGCTCCCGCCTCCGAAGGCCAGGCGACGGAGGAAGTCAAGGTCCTCGCAACGACTCTGCGCCGTGCGGCTTCGTGGAGCCCCACCTACAATCTCTCGTTTTACCAAACAGAATTCCTCCGCCGCTTTATCGAGCCCACGACTGGCAACACCCCACTAGAGATCCTCGACGAGGCTGCGCGCGGTGTCGAGCTCGGCCGCCTCGCGTGGGTGATCAGCTCATCCCCCGATACTGTCGCGTGCTGGTTCGAGAAGGCGCGCAAGCGGCACGCCCGCGATCTCAAGAAGCTCAAGACGAAGAGCCGCGGCAAGCGCAAAGCCCGCGCGCCGGACGCAAACCAGGACCAGGGCGCCCGCGACGCCGAGTTGGCAGCCGAGCTTGCGCGCCGTGCCGCGGAGGAGCGCGCGCGGCGCGAGGCCGACTGGGCGGAGATGGTCGCGCGCGTGCACCCCGGGGAGCTTCGGGCGTCCGCCGTGCACCGCGTGCACCGCGTCCGAGGCCGATTCCTGGCCGGGGCGGGCAAGCCGGGCGAGAAGTGGGAGGGGCGCATCCGCGAGGCGATTCGCGAGGCAGACGTCGTCGCAGAGGCACTCCTCTCGCAGGGCCGCGCGGGGCTGTTCGCGCAGGCGGCGATCGCGGTGCCTAGTGCCGCGGGCCCACCGGTCGCGGTCGCAGCTGCAGTGCAGGAGAAAGATGTAGACGAACTCATCGCGGCGCAGGGGCCACGGGTGGCAAAGAACGCGACGACAGGGCAAAAAACGAAGAAGGGGAAGGGGAAGGGGAAGGACACCGAGAAAGCTCCCAGTGCGTTACCTCGCTGTCTGTGGGGTTGGCGATGACTGACTCAATCCGCAGAGGACCATACCCCTCGCCGTCATCGTTTCCTATGGAACAGGGATTACGATGAAATGGTCCGCGATGGATCAGTCATCATCAAGGCGCGGTGTCGTCATGGTACGAGGCTCGATTGGGGAGCTATGGAACAAGTTTTCCCCGCTGTGCCACGCAACTCGGTTAGGCAGCGGCTCGTTCACCTGAAAGAAGTCCCGGGCACTGAGACGTACCTCACTCGTCTCGAAGACAAGTGGTACGAGGTATGGGTACAGAACAGAGGCACAGATGAGCTACCCGATCCAGATCCCGAGAGCGCTACCAATTTCGATCTTGCGGCACACATCAAGTTCCTGCGCAAGCACGTTGACAAGAATGCTATGTAAGGTTTTTAGACTGGTTTCCCCTCGACTGTACTGAGCAGTGGAATACAGTCGTGTCGGGTTTGTCGAGATTGATGCCAACCAGAAAGTGGATCTACCTGCAACACTGGAAGACATCGACGAGCACTACGACGTCGTGGAGAAGCACCCGAGCGCACCACCATGGGATTTTATGTGGACCGTTGTCGCAGAAGAAGCTCGCGAGAAATTGTTCGCCCATCATGCATTCACCGCGGACATCGAGGATATGCCGCCTGCATCATCTCACAAATCCGACCTGCAGTATGTAGCCGATGCAGCTGTGAAGGTCTGTCTATATCTGCGCTCTATCCCCTCAGCGTTGACGAGCATGCTGTAGATCGCATTGGGCAATCCTAACGAGACCTACGACATGGACCTTGCGTCAGACCTCCTGAAGGCCGTCGGTGAAGATCGAGTCAAGTCGTCAACAACAGACCTTCTCAATCGCGGCGTGCTCGCCAAGATGGTCCGCGATCCCGCCAAGCTTAAGCCCGGCAGGACACTCAAGATCTCCGAAAGGTGCAGACCAACGTTAACGCTGACAGGCGACTTTGACTGATCTACGCTTACATCGCCAGCAACTCGAACGCGCTAGGCGGTCAGCTTCCACGCGAGCTGTTCCAAGACGCAGTGGCACTTGAAGAGACTATCGTGCAGCAGCAACAGCTGCGTGAATCAGAGTCAACGGAGGATTGGCAGGAGTGGCCCTTGCTGGCAACTGATGGTGACACCGCATTCTTGCTGGAATTAGCCTCCGATGGCAAGGTGAGAACTCGCTTGATGCTGTATCTCGATGGTCGTCCTCTGGTAGACATCGAGGTGTGGTTATATAGCACCGCTACTGACATTGTTTGTCCACTTCGCCGTCGCACGCCGACGTCCAGGCCCGCTTTGATGTCGACACTTCGCAACCACGATCAATGCGGGCCGCCATCGACTGGAATAGCAAGAAGGCGGGTACGTGCCCAGTGTGCACTCGCCAGCGACCCTAGCCTGACTTCGCATCGCCTCCCCCAGATGATGACGACATCGAGACCGCCGTCCGCGTGCACTATGCCGACATCGACGCTCCGCCTTCAGACACTCCCGCGGGACCTGACGAAGGCCGCGAGCCACAGACCGCGACCCTTACGACCATCCCGCTCGACCCCGCGCTAGTGAGCGAGGAGGCCGCCTTCGCAGGCCCACACGGCGTTCTGCTCGACGGCGCGCCCGCATTCTGTCGTCAAACCTCTGACGGACTGGTCGACTGCCCTGCGTGCATCGAAGCCGCCAGGACGTCGCTATTGGCACAACTGGAGCAGAACGAGACGTGGGTCGCGTGTCGTATGGTTGCTGCGCTCCGCAGTGCAGGCGTGATGGGATTGACAAAACGGCAGCTTCTGGTGAGTTTTGGCGGCGCTCGCAGGGATCGCCAGGCGCAAGGGTTGGCAGTCCTGCGCGTGTCCCGTAGAGTTCAACGGAAAAAAACGGAAGCGCTGATCACACCGTCTTCTCTCACAGACGGACATCAACATCGTTGAAGATGGAGAAGAAGCCCCGGCAGGAATTACGGAGAGCACGGTCTTCGCGGTCGCCCGGCGTCTAACCGATGGGGAGGTCCCTCTCGCGCATTGGACGGGCTACATCACCCCGGTCCTTGTCTCAGCGATGCACCTCCGCGAATGGACCGTGGTCGTCACCGGACGAAATGCTGCCGCCGACGACGCCGACGGCTCTCACACCCACGTCGAAGGGACCGACGATGATGCCGGCACAGCCGCCCGTGCAAACGCGCGCAAGTCGATGCTTTTCCCGAGACGATGGCTCGACATCCGCGGGTGGAAGCTAACGGAGGTGTGGGACGCGGCACTGCGCGCGGTGCTCGCCCTCGTGCTCTTGCGCCCGGGGATTTCTCAGGTGAGCGCCACGTTCCCTGCCCTGAAGGGTTCTTTGCTTGATGGTCTGACCGACGACCGCTCATACTGGGCAGGCGGAGATACGCTGGCGCCTGAGATCTGTGTACGACAGGCAGGAAGTCGGCGAGGTGCTGCAGGCGTTACTCGAGGAGGGACAGATCGCGGCGAGGGTGGCGGAGGGCACGCGCACGCCGTTCGAGGGAGGCATCCCTGCGGACGAGCAGGAAGAGAAGTTCATATGCTGGTTCTTGGCCGACGGAGAGAGGCGCTGGTATCAGCTGTAGATTCCGTGTCGATATGCTTATTGCTCGCCTTGCCTTTGAGATGAGTGTCGGTGAATACTGGAGGCACGAGCCGGGGCAGGTGCTCCCCGCGTTGTGCTCCCAGCCCGTAGGTCGCATCGACTCACCTCACACAATCACACTCGCTGTCACCCGACACACGCTGTGCTTCTTCCGCAAAATCTCAACTACCACGCGAGACAGGCTGGCAGTTCAAGATCGATTGTGGCTGTTCGAAATGTCCATGAAGTCGGGCGACATCTGCGTGTGGCGAGATATACTTAAAGCCAACCGCAGGCACATCGGGCAGGCAATGCACTGTGTAATGGAATCAGAGCGTGAAGCATTTAATAGCCGTGCTTCGATGCTGCGGGCCATTTGCGTCGCCAGTGTGACGGCGATTATGAAGGGGGTCACAGGCCCTAGCCCAAAGGTAGCGATGTCAGCTGGCGTGGCGGGGAAACGTCTCCAAGGAGCGGGAGGAGGATGCACAGCCTGCGCGACTTGCGCGGGAGACTTTTCCAGCGGATGAGGACGAACTCGTGCGCAGTCGGAGGTTGGTGACGGCCGGGCGAGTGAGCGATGTGCTCGTCCGGGCAACACACGGGCGCGAGCTCGGGCCTAGGGGAGGTGATGGCTGCTGTGCAAGGGACCGTTGCGGATTCGCACAGGCGGTGGGGGCGAGGAGGGTCGAGGAGGGGCGTTGCTACGGAGGGTGGACTCGTGGAGACTGCAGACTGCTGATTGACGGCAGCCGTTAGCCGTTCAGCGCCTAGCGCGCGGACATCCCGCGAGACGCGGTTATGAGCCCAACGACGGCTTTGGACGATGCGCTCCAGCCACCCATTGTTGGTCCCAACCCCCATCTCCTCCTCCCTCCTCCCCTCCCCCTTCCGCAACTTTCCCGGATTGCATCCCGGCGGGCCAGTACCGTCGTTGCTCTCCCTTTCAAGACCGCTGAAGTTGCACTGGCTGGGCTTCACGTCGCTTTTCTGCCCTAGCGGCATCTCGCTCTTCTGCCAAGGTCTTGCTCTCGACCCGGCTTGGTGCGTCGCTACGTACGCCAAGCAATGCAATCCGTCTGACCCGTGCTTCATGTAGAATTACTCATTATGCAAGTGCCAAATGCTTTCGGTGGCTTGAAGCTTTTCGTGAGTCTTGATCCCCACCTTTCGTCCGTCCCCGCGCCCGCAGCCACACTCGCACTGTATGCGTCGCACAAGTGCCTCTCTATGCCCGTACGCAGCATTCGCGTAATGCCCATGCAAGCGACGCGCTTTCTTGCCCGCGACCCCAATCGCGACTAGATCCTCTGCTGACCGCGTTTACAGTGGGATCGTGTCACCTTCTCCCGCCTCACGAAGTTCTACTTCATTTTCTCTGTCCTCCACTGCGTTATCCAGGTCATTTTCCAGGCCCAGGCCTACGTCGCCAACGCCGACGCTGCTTCTTTCATCAACGGCCTCATTGTACAAGGCAACGCCACCGACTCCGGTTTCGCCGTCTACGATGGTGACCTCCGCATTTGTGAGACTGTTCCCACCACTCTTGACCCCAGCTCTTGCGATATCGTCTGGGATGGGCACACCAAAGGAAACGTCACCAATATTGTCACCAATCCCGACACTTACAATGCCGCCTTGATGTCCAGCCAAGCGTCTTCATCCTCATCTTCTGTCTCCTCCGCCGCCCGTACGCCATCAACCTCTGCCAATGTGGTGGGCTCCACCTCATTGTTCTCCTCGTTGGTGTCGTCCTCCACCACATCATCATCCCCCCCGGTGTCGTCCTCCACCCCATTGTCTTCCTCGTCGGTCTTGTCCTCCACCGCTCGGGCTCCTGCAAGCTCCAACACAATCGCGTCAAAACCTGTCACTATCACATTGACGACCTCGACAGTCGTCGCTACCGTGAGGGACAAGGCTACTGTTACAGTCACCTCCCCAGCCCCCTCTACCACTCTTTCTCACGCCGGACAGCTGGACGCGGACAGTGACAGCGATGATGGCGACAGCGACGACGACGACGAGAGTGACGACGAGGATGATGTCGTAATCATTCACCGCCGCACTCCGGTTCTTCCCTCAACCCTCCAGCGTCTGAGCCTCAAGCTCAACGGTTCTGCCACGGTGGATCTCAATGGGGTCGGCGGGTACGAGACAGTGAACATTTCGCGCAAGTGTCTTTACTCGTTGAACTGGCCGCTCGACATGTACGCAGCCTCCCCGTTACCTCTGTAGCGTAATGGTACTCACACTCTGGCAGCGTCGAGAACACGAAGCGTGAGGATATCGCTTTTATTGCTTTCCAGTTTTGGCTGCTTGGAATGTCGCTCGTGGCTTTGCTCAATGAGTCGATCCCGCACATGTGCGTTCCAACCACCAAACTTTATGCCACCTTCTCACTCTATGCACAGTGTGGCCTCCTTGCTCACGCATATCCTTGCGACTGCATGGGGAGGCTTCCAAATAGTGAGTTTCCCTGCCACAAAATCAGATGGTCATGACTGAGTACTTTCCATGTCAGGCGAACACAGAGACTTTCCACCGCAAGTTCACCACTCTGACTACCCAGGGCGCGTGTGGCGTTAACCTCCTGCCTAACTACTGGAGGGATCGGTCGAACGCTGAGATTCCGAGCACGGCGCTCAACTGCTTTGCGCTTCTCGTCTCGGTCTTCCTCAGCTGGAAGCTCATGAAGGTGAGCCACAGCCATCTCATGATATTGAATGCGTTCTGACTGTGACCTGCAGACGTTCGGATGGCAAACTTTCAAGCGCGTTGGCGCATCGCGCACCATCAATCGTGTTTACAACTCTGTTCTCGTGCTGTCGATTGTGATCCAGCTCTCGTTGTTCTTCATCGGCGCCTCTGCTGCGCTGTGGCTCGACCAGGTCTCCAACGGGAACATTGGCCGTTTGACCGGTGACCCTATGCTCTTCAAGGGTGTCATGATCACGGTGTTGATAGTACGTGCATCTATCAGTTGTTGGGGACGACGTCTGATTGTAATGTTATACAGCTGCTGGTTCCGTGGCTCTCACTCGTGAGTACCAGGCTTGTCGATCTGCTTGTTGATGCAGTTCTACTGGGAGTCGGACTGACTGTGATTTCAGGGTTGGATATCTGTCCGTCAGGAGTTCAGGCTTCGAATGATGGTCTTCCTCAGCGTCGCTGTGCTTATCCTCGCGGGCTGGGCGTCGATGTTCATCGCTCCCACCTTCCGCTGGACGTATGCGACTTGGCTCTTCTTCAGCCTGATGACCACCGGGGCGTTGCTTCTTGCTGTCACGACGTTGGTCCTCGGTATCTTCTGCCGCCTCAACTTTGGCAAGGGTCTCAAGCGCTACTGTATGTACCCTCGCGTCGCAAGCTTATACGTTCGCTCACCTTGTGCATCCCTTCCTCGCAGTGAACGCAGAGGAAGAGCTGCTCGACTCGCCCGACGAGACGACGTACGACTCGGAGAAGTTCGCCTTCCCGTCGAACGACTCCCCCATCCCGACGTACTCGGTCTCCTTCGGCTCCGGCTCCGAGGTGCCCCCGCCGTCGCAGATGCGGTTCGCGACGCGCGGGCCGCGCTTCTACTCGTCCTCGTCGAACGGCTCGAATCCGTTCGAGTCGCCGTTCGAGACCCCGCCAGGCTCCGAACACGGCGGCTCCCCCCGTGGTGCCGGCCTGGTCGGCCTCCCGAGTCCGCCGAGCCTGAGCCGCCAGACCAGCCGCTCCTCGACGCGCTCTGCGAGCTCGACGGCGTCCAAGGGTACCCAAAACGCCCGTCGGTGGGTGATCGAGTAAACACCACGTGGCGGATCGAGAGGTCCTCACGTCCTGTAGCCATACCGTACTGCACCGCACGCCTTCCGGCAGACAATGTATATCCCCTCGCCACCCGCCCCTCGTTTATGCCCCGTGACACGAGGTCCGTATAACCCAGCTTCGCGCCATCTCGGAACCCCGTTGTTTGTGCCTGTCGTTTTGTTCAGAACCCGCAGTGTTTTCCATCTTCTTACCTTCCCCGACCACCGGATGGCCCTTTTGCAGCTTTCTTCACTTCACGCTTGCTTCCCTGCTCGCGTGTCGCTTTGTTCGGACGCACCCCAGATGTTTCACAGTTCTGTTGTTTCTTTGTTGTTCCCGTGTCAGCATGCTCCCTTGGTCCCGCACCGCCTCTCTCCTTCAGTCGTCAGCGAGTCTCCGAGGAAATGCTGCGTGTATTACGATAGTTCCCCCCTGAATCTCTCCAGATCGTTGCGTTCGTGTGCTGGTAATAGTACAGGTATGCGGCGCGACGAGGATTAGCACGCGTGTATGCGCGCGTGCGTGCGTGCGTAATATCGGATGCGAGAAGGCGCTCGAGATGTATATGAAGGTGTGGCGCGGAGGCGGACGTGCACGGATGGAATGCGGGATGGTACATGTACATGCGGGGAGCGAGTGAGCCCGGAACCAAGGGGAGACAGATGATATAGTGGAGGGAATCAAGTATGTAGGCTACATGCATATGCGGGATGAGAGGCGAGGTCTAGATCACAACGTCCGTCATCGGCGTGGATGGAGGGGTGCAGAAACGTAAGAGTGGGAGCTGGCGCTCTACCATCGGCGGCGGTCCGGCTCAGTCGGACGGAGGGGGCGCGGGCAGCTCGCCGCTCGAGTCCGAGGGCGACGAGAACGGAGACGAGTCCAGCGGGTATCCGAGCCCAGGGGAGGAGCCCTCGGCGGAGCCCTCCGGCGTCGCGAGCGGGGACATGCTCGGGCTCGCGGCCCGGATGAGCTCCGTCTCCTGCTCCTGCAGTATCGCGGCCTGGCGCGCGACGGTCTCGAATATCGGGGTCCCGGGGGCAGCGGCGGCGGACGTGACGGGGGGCACGGGCTCGCCGGACTCCGCCTCCTCGTACGAGCGCAGCTTTTCGCGGAAGTCGAGCATCCACGGGTGGTCCATGAGCTCCACCGCGGACGGCCGGTGCGCGGGGTCGATGGTGAGGCACTGGCGGATGAAGTCGATGCCCATGTCGGAGAGCTGGCCGGGATCGGGAAGGGGCGGGTGCTGGGTCGCAACACCGATGTGGAACATGATTGCCCTGCGGCGAGGGGACAAGGGAAGGTCGACGTCAGCTTGGAGACAGTTAGAACAGATGGAGACGAGGAAGCACGGACCATTCATTGTCCAAGTTCGACCACGGTTTGCGGCCCGTCGCGCATTCGAGCACGACACAACCGAGCGACCAGATGTCCATCGCACCCTGGCGTCCGCGCTGGTTGTTGCGGATGACCTCAGGCGACATGTACATCGGTGTGCCCGTCAGCGAGTTGTTGACGCCGGGGAGCGGCGTGGCCGTGGGGTCCGCGCCAGCGGCTGAGCTCGCTGCGCTGGGTGCTGGATCCGACGTCCGCCGTGTGCGCTGAAGGGTGCGTTGATTCTTTGCGATGATCTTCGCCGCACCAAAGTCGACGTACTTGATAACGCCCATGTGATCAAGGAGAATGTCTATGCGGACGGGCGGAATGAATGGTCAGGTCATGAGGGGAGGGCGCCCGATCGTCCACAGAACTTACTGTCGGGCTTGATGTCGCGGTGGACGACATCCTGAGAGTGCAGGTACGCCAGACCCTCGAGCATCTGCAACGTGTACACCTGCAGGATACCCTCGTCTTCGATGCGTCCATGTTCCAGGAGCGCCGCCAGACTACCGCCCTGACAGTACTCCTCGAAGATGTACACCTTGTCGCGGTGGACTTCGATACCGTAGTATTCGACGACGTTCGGGTGATGCAGCATCTCCATGACTTGCAGCTCGTCCCGGATATACGAGTAGAGGCTCGTGAGGCCCGATGTCTCCTGGAACTTGACCTCCTTGACGGCCATGAGCGTGTTCGAGTCGAGGTTGATCGCGAGGTACACGGAGCCAAAGGAGCCTGCGCCGATGAAGCGCCGCTGCTGCCAGCGGATGGACACGTTCGACGCGGACCCGGCGAGGAAAACAACGGAGCGATCGACCAGCACGCGTTCGTCGAGCACGCGGCCGACGAGGTGGTGCTCCGTGCCGGCCTGCACGCGCTGCTCGTCGATCTCGCGGGCGAGCGCCGTCGCGCGGTCCCAGAACGCGCGGACCGCCGGGTCGGCGTACGCGAAGACCTGGTCGACGTCTTCGGAAGAGACTGGGAGCGCTGCATCTTCCTCGATCTCCTCCGACATCCGGTTCGAGGATTGCTGCCGGATGAGCTCCTCCTGTCGCTCCTTCTCGCGCTTGGCGTCGAGCGCGGAGCGCGCGCCGAGGATGTCGAAGTGGGAGATGAGTAACGTCATGCAGCTCGCGACCTTCTGCCGCAGGAGCTCAAACTGGTCGTCCGGAACCTGGAGGATGTTGTTCCGCCGTGTGCGTGACAGCGTGAATTCGAGCGCGAGCACGGCCCAGCGGAAGATCTTCCGGTCGTTCGGGTCGCAGTCGTCGCAGATGAAGGAGACCCAGGAGATAGCGAGTTTGATGAGCGCTTGGTTATGTCGGGGCGCCGTTTGCCGGTCCATGTATTTCTGCGCGTGCGAGCCGTGGTCGGAGGCGAACACGTACCAGTTTTCCAGAAGTTCCTGGTAGTTGTTGGTGTCTTGCAACGTTTCCCGGACATTCTGTACAGATTCGACGATAGACTCGGCAAGACGATTCGTGGCGCGGGTGATCTTACGCAACTCGCGGTTGACAGACGGTAGGTGAGCCTGAGCTTCGATCAAACATGTCAATGGTGGCATGACTGGATCTATGAGCTCCCCGGTCTCTTCATCCTCTTGAGGCTCAAAGAGTTCTGCGAAATGGCGTTTCGCAGCCCGGAGACGATGTTGAGATCCGTCGGCCACCAGCCGGACACGGTTGTCTTCTAGCGCCAAGTCGATCTTGGGTACCGGCAGCACTACCACAAACCCGTTCCAGAGGAAACGCGTCCGTGGCGACAGAATGAGTAGATAGCAAGCATCTTCATCCTGGTCTGGTTCCGGGTCGCCGCTCTCCATCAGCCATGTTGTCTCGTCTATCTGGTTGACGTGGAATGCATCCACAAGGAGCCGGCGGATGATTTCAGGGTGATTGCGGAGACCAGGGGGTGCGACAATGTACGTCCCGTCCTCCTCAAAATGTTGTGTGTAGACGAGGAAGTGATCGCTTTCGACCAGTGTTGCAATGAACAGGTCGATGTTGACGTATTCCAGGTCATACTCAGCGGAATCACTGAAGCGATTTGAGAGGACCCTGAAAGCGTCCGTGCCCCATGAATAAGCTGTCAGGGTGCAGCGCACGGATATTCATACCGTGCAAGACGCTGCAGTTTTCGAGAGCGCTGCCGGACGCCCTCCAGGACCTTTGAGTACCAGCCGACAAGTCGATCCTTCGGCACGCCTGCAGGATGTTGAAGGCCGTTGGCAAGCGGCTGCTGTCCTGCAGCGTTAGTCCCGTTTACCCGCATTGAGTTGCGTACGCGTTCCGATAGCACCGCGCTGATTGGACCATCGGACATTCCAGGCACTCGTATGGAAGTGTCGAAATAATTTGTTACGCGGACAATGAGCTTATTTGTAAGCGCACTGCGATGAGTGTCAGCATACAAGCATTGCTGCAATCTGCGAACTACCTACCAAAGTTGCTCGGCTACAAGAGAGGCTCCTCCGGGTATGGTGAGACTGACGTCGCTGAAGGTGGCCCACTGAGCTTCGATGATGTCTGTCTCTTTGAAGTAGGCTCCTTTGATGCCGCTCTTAAGCTTCCAATGTATGAGCTTGAAGAAGAACGTGAGCGCTTCAAGGATGGTAGAGTCGTAGTTGACGTCGATACAAGGGGGTAGCTTCCAATTGCCTCCAGGATCGGGTATCAAGAAAGCTTCATACTGTCGTTTTAGCGTACATGCGAAGCCAATCTTGACCTTCAGGTCGTCGGTCATTTGGTCGATGATGAGGACGTCTGGGTTCTTGAGCTTCTGAGCGTAAGACAGCCGAACCCGGAGGACAGCCTGGGCGAGATCTGTGAGGAAGGAGACCAGCGGGACAAGCTCCTGCTCAAATGACGGAAGGTTCATCTCCTTGAACATTGGCGCGAGGTTGACGTGTGCGTCGCGAGTCGTACCGACCAGTGCGTGTATGGTCGTCATCGAGCCCTTCTCGAATTGCCGCTGGACGCCCTCCTCCTTCAGCAGCCGTTCTACGTACGTCATCTCCCCAGTCGTCCCGTCGCTATTGGACGTAGGTGTTGCATGTTCTGAAGATGGCGCGGTGACGTGCATTGTTTCGTTCCCTGTCCATTTCCGGAGCGTACGGAGGAGTTGTCGGAGCGAAGTCAGGACGGTCGACCAGGTGTTGAGCGTGTCACACCGCGACTGGAAGCCGACGTCCGTCGCGGCAGGGTAGTCCTGGTAGAACGCGCGCAGCGAGGAGTAGAGCGAGTGCGCGATGTCCAGCCGGCGGAGGAGCGCGTTCACCTGCTGGAGCGCGGCCGTCTGGCGGCTGTCGGACGAGCCCGCGGCCGGGTCCTGGACGCGGAAGTCCATGACTTCCTTGATGACCGAGTCCACCATGCGCAGGCGGCGCTCCTCCAGCCGCCGCCGCTCCTCGTCGATGGTGTGCCCGTGCAGGCGCGCGCGGATGCCGAGCCAGATCTCGGTGCGGGTGTTGTGCTCCACGAGGGTCGAGGACTGGAGCGCTACGGATATCCGCGTGTTCTCCGCCTTGAGGACGTCCCCGGCGAGGACGGACGCGAGCATCGTCTGCCACTCCAGCCGCTCGCGTTCCTCGAGGGACTGTGGCTCAATCGGCTCCGAGTCGAGCATGAGGGATGAAATGCGGTCGTACGGTTCGTTGGCTCCTGCCGCGCCGCGCGCGTCGTCGTCATCGCTATCCGGCCCGTCGAGCAGCTGCGCGAAGCCGCGGTTGTAATAATGCATCTCCGGGTCGTCTCGGGGGTCGTCTGTCGGCATTCGGCTGTTGCGGTATCGCCGCACGAACTGGTTGTAGATGTTGGTGTAGTTGGAGTGTGGGGCGGATGGAGGGGTATAATTCGAGGACGTAGACGGCATGTTCACGTTGGACGAGTTTGGGGAGAACGAAGAACGCGACCTGTTGGACTTCGGCCTGCTCTTGAGGCTCCCGGAGTTGGTGGAGTATGTATGCGAGCGCGAGCCAGACTGCCAGGACTCCTCGTCTTCGTCATCCGCGTCATTTTCTGGGTGCGTGAAGAGCGTCGGTTGGTGTCGTTTCGAGGGCATCGGGAGGGAGAACGCGGGGAGCAGCGGTGAGAGGCGGGAGCATCGGACGCAGCCCCTCGTCCGGAATGCTCACGCCTAGCGCTTGCTGGCTCTCGTGCTTTCCACCGCGTCCTCTTACGCCCTGCTCTCCATTGTAGAGGTTGGAACGCCAAGTCAGACGTTGCCCTGTAATATCACTTGCATACAGGATGGGTATAGTCGAGAAGGTGAGCTCTTTCTTCTTTTTCGCGCAACTGTGGCTGATGTCACCCACTTGACAGATCAAAGAGATCGAGGGTGAGCCCTCGCAGCCTCACGTCCTGCCGGGTCTGATGATGCATTGTACACGCAGAGGAGATGGCGAGGAGTGAGTACAACGCCGCCTATGTGCCGTACCAAGACTGATGCACTCCCATAGCGCAGAAGAATAAGGCGAGCTGCTGCTCACGCCGCGTCTGCCCAGATCGGTGCGCTCACTCGTGCGACAACTAGGCGACGGAGTACCATCTTGGTCTGCTTAAGGCCAAGCTTGCCCGTTACCGCGCCCAACTCCTCGAGCCAACCACGAAGTCCGGCGGTGCCGGCACCGGGTTCGATGTGCAGAAATCAGGAGACGCCAGAGTCGCCCTCATCGGTTTCCCATCCGTGGGCAAGGTGCACCTTGGACATTAGCGGCCTACGGTCTCGCGCTGACGTACCATCATCCCTGTTTCAGTCCACTCTTCTTAGCAAGTGCACACACACGCAATCCGAGTCCGCAGCGTACGAGTTCACCACGTTGACGGTGTGTCTCCCACTGCGCGTCCGATGATTACGTCTTTGGTGTCTAAGGCGACAATGCTTCCAGGCTATCCCGGGCGTTTTGGAATATGAGGGGGCGCGCATACAGCTTCTCGATCTGCCCGGAATTGTGGAAGGCGCCAGTCAGGGTCGCGGTCGTGGACGGCAAGTCGTGGCCACCGCGAAGACTGCGGACCTCATTCTGGTCATGCTGGACGCTACGAAGTCCGAGGAACAACGCAGACTCCTTGAAATTGAACTGGACGCAGTGGGCATTCGCTTGAACAAGCAGAAGCCTGATGTTGTTTTCAAGCGGAAAACGACGGGCGGGGTGCGTATTTCGCCGCCTAAGACCGTTCGGCTTCCTGAGCATCCCTCCGACCTTCTCGGCGCAGATAACGGTGCGTGGCCTTTCATGTGACTGCTCATGCGCATGACGCACTTAATCGTATCCAGTTAACAAGACAGTCCCTTTGACCAAGACAGATGAGAGGACTATTCGGTCTATTCTGGCGAGTTGTGCGTGCCCGAGTGTGCGGCCCTTGCATCCGCGACTGATTGCCTAATCTGTGCAGACAAGCTGCACAACTGCGATGTCATGATCCGAGAGGACGTAAGTTCTGTCTTATTTGCTTTGCTCGATCGCACAGCTGACATCTCGAAAGATCACTACCGACGAATTCATCGACGTATTGATCGGTATATTCAATCCCGTACCCTGTCAACTGTGTCCACTTATCCCATAAAACGTATACAGGGACGCGCAAGTACTTGCCTGCCTGTGTAAGCCACTCTCGCGCCGTAATCTCGTGCTAGGCTAAAGGCAGCGGCGCAGACGTCTACAATAAAGTGGATGCCATCAGCCTCGAGCAAGTGGACAAGCTCGCAAGAGAGGATCATACCGTTGTGATTAGCTGCGAGCTCGGTCTCAAGTGTGTACTCGTGTTTCTAGTACCCAAGCAGAGTTTGGGGAGTTGGTGTTCTGATGACCGTGCACGCAGCTTGAACTACCTAATCGAGAGGATATGGGACGAACTTGGGTTGGTGAAAGTGTACACCAAGAAGCGAGGCGCTCACCCCGATCTCGAGGACCCTGTCTGCTTACGCAAGGGGGCGACAGTTGAGGTACGCGCGCTGGCACCTCGTGTGACACGATGTTCACCCATGACCCGCTTGCGCAGAACGTGTGCAACGGGATTCATCGGTCTTTGGCAGCAAACTTCCGCTATGCACTTGTTTGGTGAGTCCTGTCCGGTCACTCCGTTGTACCTCGGCGCGCTGGAGACTGACAGATCTTATTTTCAGGGTGAGCGGTGCGATGAGTCCACATGTGGGCGACGATTGATGATTGGTCTGTCAGGGCAAGTCCTCGAAATTCAGCCCGCACGCCCAGAAGGTCAGCCTGCACCACCAAGTTGCAGATGATGACATCGTATCCAGTGCGTAATACCCTGGCTGCACGGCTCTCGCGAGGCGTAGTCAAACTGAAGTACGGCGTCCGGCAGTTTTACCAAATAATAAGGCGCGCGCCGCAGGAGAACTTTTTGTGTACTAGTTAGCGCCAAGTAGGACGTCACGGCGCTGTGTATGCCATTGTGTGTATTCAGATGCAGCGCCCAAGTACAACCCTGGTACTGCATGTGGATACTGTCGTCGCCTGCGAAGCCCAGGCGCGGATGTGTGTGGTCGCCGTGGTCCACTGCGATCTGAGATCAAGGGTCGCCCACGTGGAGCGGAGCGCGTCGAGCGACCTCCGAGCCGGGGTGGATCCGGCGGCGGCAGTCGCTCTCTGCACCAATCCGTCCGTCCTCGACGCCCTGCTGCCAACCACGGCCTCGCCCTCTACCCCGACTTCCGGCGCGCCGACTGCATCGAGGACACAGACGCCATGCACGTGCACCACACCCGATAGTGCGAGATCTGCTCCCGCGTATCCCGCAGGCGACGCACCGATTTCCGTCCGCGGCTTAAATACGAGCCATCCGGCCCCCGTCTCTTCATCTTCACCGTCCTTCCTTCGGTACCACCACTTCTGCGCCCACCACGACATGGGTTCCATTGAAGCCCTCTCCCGCCCGACCATGATGCTGTCGAGTTCATTCTGCTTGGCACTGGAACGTCCGGCACCCTCCCGCATGTCGACTGTCTCACCGCACCACCTGGTACGAAGCGGTGTCGCGCGTGCACTGCGTCGCTCTCTCCAGGAGAGGGGAGGAAGAACAAGCGTGTACGTCCTCGCTCTCGCTCCGTTGTTCTCTTCCGCTCCGTCTCCGACGTTCCGTGGCTCATCCGCGCCAAACAGGCGAACACTTCCGCCATCGCCCGGGTTCGCGGACGCGATGGCCAGCTCAAGTGAGTCTCTGTACCCCCTCTCCATCGATAATCTCGCGCGCACCTCGCGCGCACAGACCCGTGCTCCCCCTCACGTCTCGATGGCATCTGGCGGCGCCGAGTGCTGACCTCCGCGACTCTGCGCCTCCGCACAGGACGATCGTGATAGATGTCGGGAAGAGTTTCTTGCAGAGCGCTGTGGAGTGGTTCCCGAAGTATGGCCTCCGTCGGATCGATGCCGTGCTCATCACGCACGCCCATGCGGACGGTACGTGCCACATCCACCTATCTTGGGGCATTTCGTGGCCAGCTACCGGCAAGGCTTGGCTCGCCTCGAGGTGTGGCGTGCGGTCAGCGCATCCGGCGCCGCGAGTCCCTCGAGGCTACAGGACCCTGTCACGCGCACCACGGAGCGATGTCGAAGTGTTGACTGACGGGCTTCCCCTCCGCAGCGATGAACGGACTGGACGACCTCCGAGGTGCGTTTATCTGACGTCTGCTCCCGCGATGGACGGCCGGTTTGGAGGCCGGATCGTGCGCGCGGACATGGTGGCGGACGTTGACGTCTCCTCTCCAGGATGGACGCTCCGCGGCGCGATCCAGTCCCATGTGGACATCTACTGCTCGGAAGAGACATTTGAAGCCGTCAAGGTCACGTTCCCCTACCTGGTCAGGAAAGAGTTCGCGTCTGGTGGCGGAGATGTGAGTGCGCCGTTCGGGTTTTGCCGACCTGGAGGCGCATTGGCTGACAGGATGTGTGGACCAGGTACCGGAGTTCCGTTGGCACCCTTGGCTGGAGGACCGCCACACGTTTGAAATCTTGGACACCGGCATCAAAGTGACGCCTCTAGCAGGTACGCACACGATAGGAAGTTCGTCTTTGATGTCTCGCTGAGCTATGCTCAGTCAAACATGGGTTCTGTGGCGCGAAGGTGGTCCCGAAGCCTGAGAAGACGATGGGATACATGGAGACCACCAGTCCCATCGGCTCCGGTCTTCCTGGCACTCCGGTTGGCACCGGCACGCCGAAGCAGGAGGACTTTATCTGCCTCGGCTTCGTCATCCAGGACTCGGTCGTCTACATCTCAGACGTGTCCGAGATTCCGGAAGACGTCATGTCGTACCTGGAGAACTGCGATTGGCCCAGGCCTCCGAACCAACCTGCAAGGGGCCCTCCCGTTCTGGTGCTCGACTGTCTTTCATTGGACGGCCATCGATCCCATCTCAGCCTGGCGCAGTCGGTGGATTACTTGCGGAAGCTCAACGCCCAGAAGACGTACCTGGTCGGCTTCACCCACAGCACCGCACACGATGAGTACGAGACACTCCTCCGGGCCGTCAGTGGGCGCCTGCCGCTGGCGCATGAGATGACGGACCAGGTGGTGCACGGCCTGAAGACCCTCGACTTGAAGCAGAAGAGGCCTATATGGGCCCGTCCGGCTTTCGACGGGCTGCGTATCTTTGTGTCAAACATCGGCGCGGCGACAGACGAGGGCTATCTCCGGGACGATTGAGAGATGAGCGGGTGTTGCTTTGTCGTGTATTTAGATACGTCCGTACTTAGATTATTGCTAATCCCGCGGGCCACATACTCATAGACCCCGTCACCTTCGATAGTGTACAGTAGTCAGAGCTTTGGCCTGTAGTAATACCGGTAACGTATCGCACATCCCGCCGCTGGTGCACGTCGCACTGTTCTCTTTGCTCGCGCGACCCATTTACTACAGGCTCCACCGACGTCAGGTCCCCCATGCACGTCCTTGTAAGCTTGGGCCAGTTGGCCGCCGTTGTTATCACAAGCACGGACGGGGAGGGATGCAGACGGACGGCGTCACGGAAGGCAGGAGGAATACTCCGCCCCTGGCAGCCGGTGGGTACTGGTGAGCGCTTGAGCATGCTCCCAGCCCCGTCTATGTAGTACATGCGGGCCCATCGAACGTCGTTGCGGTTCTGACGTGCGCCTATCGCGAGGCTCAACAGCGCTCAACGTCACGACTGCCTTGCTTTTCTTCCCTCCCCTAAGTATTTGCACACGCGAAAACTTGCCGCGAATGACCATGGTACGACTTGCTCTGCACCCGTAGGGTTGACCACGGTGATGTTTCTTGTCCATTGCTGTATGCGGCATCCTCTTCTTTATGGCCCCCATATCGTACAGTGCAGGATGCTTACAGTCCACTCAGCCTTTCTCTACTGAGGGCTGCCAAGGCGAAAGAGCGCTCTCTCGCTGGTCTGGGCTGTCGCGGCTCCCAACGCTGTCGTCATTTTTCGGTGTGGTTCTGGGCTACTCCTTGGCCTTCTCTCCGACCGCGACCAATGAATTCATCGACAACCTACACAACTTGCTCTACGCAAGGCTCTCGGCGACCCCAGCCTCGGTTCGCTCCTCATCCCCGAAATCCTCTATAGTTTCTACCAGATGGAGTTCGCGTGAGTGACCGTGGCCATTTTGATGGGTGCGCTCGCGGTCCGTGGGCGCGTCGTACCCACCACGGTCCTCTCGTTTCTATCGATGGCTTTGGTGTACTGTCCCATTGCGTGTCGGGCGTGGTCGACGAATGGTTGGGGTTTCAAGCTTCAAGTGGGGAGTTCTAGACTACGCAGGTGCGTACTCGTTGGCCTGTGCACTCACTGCACCACTGACTGCCGGCGCGTATCCCGGTGGGATGTCCAGCACTCCTGGATCCTCGGACGGGGACCTGACGAGCATCCCCGAGAAGGTGTCCCATTGAAGGCGGCCTTCAAGGAAATGAGGTGATCCTCGATCATCACGCTTGTTCGCAAGCACGCAAAAAGTAGTGTAAAGGCTTCCTATTGCTCCTGTGGACGTTGGATGCGTGCGAACAATAAGCGGCTTTGCCCGTGTACGATGTGTTCCGCTGAAAGTACTGTGCGTCATCTAGATGTACCGCTTGCTTCGATGTGGTTAGGCTTGGTTTAGGTACTTGTTTGCTCTTTCGTGCACGGTTCATGGCCTCCGTGATATATTTGTTGAAGTTTCAATCGGATAAACGAAGACAAACTGCAAAGGATGGTATGCGCGTATTCATGCAAAATTGTGACCATGCCCACTGATTCCTCCTAAGCAAAAGTGTCTTGGGAACCAGGACGAGATTTCCATACACATCGAAGACCGCGTCCCAATTATCGCACGGACTCGAGGGGATGAGAAAGGGTCGCAAGACGAACAAAGGGCGCATGTCTAGGTGTGGGAGTGCGCGCCGTGTGCAGACGGCACTTCGTCATTGCCGAAAGATCATCTCCGTAATTAGGCCCCAAATTTTCCGACCTTTGCTGATGAATAGCGTTTTGGCCCCCTCTTGTACTCCTTCATTTCCTCACCGTTCGCTCTGGATAGCCTCACCACTCCCAAGTTTTGTACGATTTCCGGTTAATTCACTGGAAAATGGAGGGTATGCACCGCGCGGCTCCCAAGGGTGTGGTCTTGTAGAAGATTTGTGCCTGAGGTCGGGTCAGGCGGAAGTCCCACAATGGAAGCATGCCACGCCATATTTGTGCCTGTCCCGCGATTCGCCGTTTTGCTGGGACTAGGGTTCAGATTACGGGCATTGGAAAGTAGTGCTACTAGCCGATGTATGTCCCAGATCGTGACTCGTTGAGGTTGACCTTGCCGATTTCCCCGTATGCTTGGATGAAAAACAAAGCGCAGAGCCTTTCGTTTCGCTCATTGTTTTTCCTTCGTGGCAGAGGGGAGAGGCACGTCGTTGGTTAGGCCACGCGGCTGTACCATGCCGCACGTGCGGCTGCCTCATGGGGGCGCATGAGTGTGATTGCCGCTGGGCGCTCCGCACTTGGTTCGTTTTCAATCTCAGCCACGACGATTTCTTCCACGGCCATTGATGATCAGCACGCCGCTGACCACCCTGCCTCTTGCAATATAAGAGGAGAAATCCCTCATCTGGTACGTGTGTCTTCTCCCCTTGACCTCTGCCATCATGTCTCACTCTGGCGCCTTTTCGGGATCTTCTCCCATGAAGAAATCAGTCGTCAAGGGTGCTGGCAACGCTAGCATCGCCGGTGAATCTGGCAAAGAGAACCTAGAAGACCATCGCGGCCACGTCGCACAAGACATGGCACATAGGGCAGTCCTTGCAGAGGCACAGACTTCTGCGACAAGTTCTTCCCCATTCTCCCCAACACCAAGGGCCGTCCCGGCCGTCGCATCATCAACCCTTTCGGGGCGCTCGAGCGGGCGGGCCACATGAACGAGAGAGAGATACAGACCGAATTTGCAAGTCCTCGTTTACCTTAATCTCCTAGCTTGGGCTGATTTTGTACAACTAGGTCAAAGCCGTCAAGAAACTCGTCCCAGGCTTGGTGATGGCCGTCACGAGCGATAGGCCCGACGACCTCGTGGTAGACCCTAGCAGGCAGAAGGGCGACGCCGGTTTCTTCTATCCTGGTTGTGTTCCTAACGACGGCAAGCCCCGCTGGGCCGACCAGATCATCTCTGTCGAGTTCAAGCAGGGGCTGTCCGGATATGATCCTTTCGACGACACTCCCAAGGTTTCTGGGTTCTCTGAAGCCGCCTCACGCACACAAGTTCGCGGCCAGCTGATCTCCTACGCCACTCTCCTCCTCGCGATGCA